AGAGAGATAGCAGGAGAGTTGGCTAGAGACGGCACGCTCAAGAGTTTTGGAGAGAAATGAAAGAAGGGATACTGGTCTGTAGTTGTTGATATCGGAGGGATCAAGTGTAGGTTTTTTGAGGAGGGGTGCAACTCTCGCTCTATTGAAGACGGAAGAGACAGTTTGAACCCCTGCTGTCTCTGGCTCCACACCCACACCGCCCGGCCATCTAGATGTGTGAAAGTTAGTGTATAAGCTAATGATCCATCATGTATGACATTCCTGGGAGTGTGTAAACGTACATTTTGTATTACCATATCATTTTTGTATGTTCTGTATAGTTATGTACTTGAAAATGTATCAATTGACCAATTCAGCACATTTGGGCAGACTTGATACAAAATAGTCCAAACTTCAAAGTGTTTATTTTCAAATGGTATCAAGAATATGCATATCCTTGCTTCAGATCCTGAGCTACACAGGCAGTTCGATTTGGGTATGTCATTTTAGGCGAAAATCGAAAAAAAAAAGGGTCCGGTCCTTAAGAGGTTAAAGAAGAAGTTCACTATTTTACAACTTGACGTTTGATGGTTCCTTACCCTGAAAATAGTCTATGGACCAGGAGAAACTGTAATCCATAGTTCAGTTTTCTTTAAACAGCCATTACAAACTTCAGCTAACTTTAGCCACCGCAAGCAAAAAAATCTATGGAAGTGAAGGCTTGTGAGCATGTAAAAAAAAAAGATATGTCTAAATCCCCTTAAATCAACTAAATTTTAATTGGGACGTTACTTATTTGGCCATAAAAATTTATAAAAAACATGCTCACATTACTTCCATAGATTTTTGGCTAGCGGTGGCTAAAGTTTGTGATGGCTGTTTAAAGAAAACTGAACCATGGATTACAGTTTCTCCTGGCCCATACACTATTTTCAGGGTGAGAAACAATCTAACATCAAATTGTAAAATAGTGAACTTCTCCTTTAAAATGTATGACAAAACAAAACAGATTGATGCCCCTTCCTGAATTGCTATACAATGGAGCAATTAGGACACAGAAGAACATCATTATGTTATATACACTGCTTTTTCCATGGCATAGACTGACCCAGTGAATGCAGGTGAAAGCTATGATCCCTTATTGATGTCACCTGTTAACTCCACTTCAATCAGTGTAGATGAAGGGGAGGAGACTAGTTAAATAATGATTTTTAAGCCTTGAGACATGGAGGGTGAATGGGCAAGACAAATAATGTACAGTGGGGAAAAAAAGCATTTAGTCAGCCACCAATTGTGCAAGTTTTCCCACTTAAATAGATGAGAGAGGCCTGTAATTCTCATCATAGGTACACGTCAACTATGACAGACAAAATGAGAAAAAAAATTCCAGAAAATCACATTGTAGGATTTTTTATGAATTTATTTGCAAATTATGGTGGAAAATAAGTATTTGGTCAATAACAAAAGTTTCTCAATACTTTGTTATATACCCTTTGTTGGCAATGACACAGGTCAAACGTTTTCTGTAAGTCTTCACAAGGTTTTCACACACTGTTGCTGGTATTTTGGCCCATTCCTCCATGCAGATCTCCTCTAGAGCAGTGATGTTTTGGGGCTGTCGCTGGGCAACACGGACTTTCAACTCCCTCCAAAGATTTTCTATGGGGTTGAGATCTGGAGACTGGTTAGGCCACTCCAGGACCTTGAAATGCTTCTTACGAAGCCACTCCTTCGTTGCCCGGGCGGTGTGTTTGGGATCATTGTCATGCTGAAAGACCCAGCCACGTTTCATCTTCAATGCCCTTGCTGATGGAAGGAGGTTTTCACTCAAAATCTCACGATACATGGCCCCATTCATTCTTTCCTTTACACGGATCAGTCGTCCTGGTCCCTTTGCAGAAAAACAGCCCCAAAGCATGATGTTTCCACCCCCATGCTTCACAGTAGGTATGGTGTTCTTTGGATGCAACTCAGCATTCTTTGTCCTCCAAACACGACGAGTTGAGTTTTTACCAAAAAGTTCTATTTTGGTTTCATCTGACCATATGACATTCTCCCAATCCTCTTCTGGATCATCCAAATGCACTCTAGCAAACTTCAGACGGGCCTGGACATGTACTGGCTTAAGCAGGGATTTGAGTCCCTGGCGGCGTAGTGTGTTACTGATGGTAGGCTTTGTTACTATGGTCCCAGCTCTCTGCAGGTCATTCACTAGGTCCCCCCCGTGTGGTTCTGGGATTTTTGCTCACCGTTCTTGTGATCATTTTGACCCCACGGGGTGAGATCTTGCGTGGAGCCCCAGATCGAGGGAGATTTTCAGTGGTCTTGTATGTCTTCCATTTCCTAATAATTGCTCCCACAGTTGATTTCTTCAAACCAAGCTGCTTACCTATTGCAGATTCAGTCTTCCCAGCCTGGTGCAGGTCTACAATTTTGTTTCTGGTGTCCTTTGACAGCTCTTTGGTCTTGGCCATAGTGGAGTTTGGAGTGTGACTGTTTGAGGTTGTGGACAGGTGTCTTTTATACTGATAACAAGTTCAAACAGGTGCCATTAATACAGGTAACGAGTGGAGGACAGAGGAGCCTCTTAAAGAAGAAGTTACAGGTCTGTGAGAGCCAGAAATCTTGCTTGTTTGTAGGTGACCAAATACTTATTTTCCACCATAATTTGCAAATAAATTCATTAAAAATCCTACAATGTGATTTTCTGGATTTTTTTCCCTCAATTTGTCTGTCATAGTTGACGTGTACCTATGATGAAAATTACAGGCCTCTCTCATCTTTTTAAGTGGGAGAACTTGCACAATTGGTGGCTGACTAAATACTTTTTTCCCCCACTGTAAGTGCCTTTAAACGGGGTAAGGTAGTAGATGCCAGGCACACCGGTTTGTGTCAAGAACTGCAATGCTGCTGGGTTTTTCACGCTCAACAGTTTCTGTGGGAAGCATTGGAGGCAAGATGGGCCAGCATCCCTGTGGAACGCTTGACACCTTATAGAGTCCATGTCCCAACGAATTGAGGCTGTTCTGAGGGCAAAGGGAGGGGGGGGTGCAACTCAATATTAGTGTTTTTTACACTCAGTGTATCTATCTATCGCAGGGTTCTCCAACTGGCAGCCCGTGGGTCGAATTTGGCCCATGGGTGATTTTATTTGGCCCCCCAAAGATTTCTGAGCAAAACAAAAACAAGCATGTTTTATTGGTGGAAACAAGACTAAAAACAACCGCAAATCAGCACCAAGTGATTTAAATTTTGGAAATGTTCCAAAGTATTTCACGCATAATAGTGAGATATGTGATTGTATACAAATGTAAGCAAAGTTTGAAATGATTGTTCAGGCAAATATTATATCAGTTTGGGCTTCTTGGTCAATTTGCAGTCTACAAGTTATATTTGTAAATATGTACCGGCCCCCTGAACATCCGCTCAAGAAAAAAATATCGTCCCGCAGCTGAATTTAGTTGATGATCCCTGAGCTACAGCTCCCGAGTGGCGCAGTGGTCTAAGGCACTTCATCTCAGTGCTTGAGGCGTCACTACAGACCCCCTGCTTCGATTCCAGGCTGTATCACAACCGGCTGTGATTGGGAGTCCCACAGGGCGTCGCACAATTGGCCCAGCATCGTCCGGTTTTGGCCGGTGTAGGCCGTCATTGTAAATAAGAATTTGTTCTTAACTGACTTGCCTAGTTAAATAAAGGTAAAATAAATAAAAATAAATAGGACCTTATTCAAGTGAAGTATGCCTGACAGGATGTTTGAGATTAGTGTATAGCAGGGGACAGCAAACAAGAGACGTGAAAATAGCTCTCTTTCTCAGTCCGGTCTTTACTGCAACAGTTGATGTTTACAAATGTAATGCACAGAGTTGATGTTTCCCACTCACATACCAAATGACTCCATGCGCTTCAAACAGTAGCCATGGCAACAAAACTTGAGAGGTGTGGGTCAAGAGGTGGTAAGGGTGTGTGTGAGTCCTCCTGAGATACTTAAAAATGAGCTACATATACAACACTATCCAAACACGAACGATTCATGTCAACAACAAGGAATGTCGACAAAGCATGAGAAGGATAAACAGTCATCTAATGATATGAAAATATATTTTAAACAAACCATTCTGACGTTGTTGCATCATTGGTTGTGATAAGGCCACACACCAACTGGTCTACACCTAGGCTGTAACTGACCAGGGACGCGTTCAGCAGGACGCAACGTTTTGGAACGTTCAGATATAAATAATGTACCTGGACTTAACAGCCACCTAACAGGGGGGGGGGGGGGGGGGGGGGGGGGGGAGTAGTTAAGTGCATTTTAGCGAAACAAGTAACTTGACCCACCTTGGCATACACACACTACCAATACAACATGGGATGGCAATAAAAAAAAACTATTAACAACTTTTCAAGAAATGAGAACCAATGTGCGCCCAAACACCTATCCACATAACAAATATAAATACATCTTGGGGATTTTCAGAGATTGTAAGCGCAGTGAGCTGTGGTAACAAACAGTTGTGTTCTCAAACTTGCACAACAGACATAAATTAAATGCAATAAATCCAAAAGGTTTCAAAGTTGTAAAGCTAAACTGAACCCAATAAGAAAACACTGCTGACGTCCATCATCCTCCCATGGTCACAGTAGACTAAATCAAACCTGCACATTCCTATTGGAGATAATATGAAGTCCGTAAAATGTATGTATTGCTAAGTTTATAAAGCACTTCAGATTTGTTGTAATAATCAGTTAACAGCATGTTATTTAAAATCGTATTGAATTATGGCCTGCATTGTGAAATACCATTTTTCATCTTTCATGTTTGTTATGTAAAAATGTCAAATTAATGCTTTTGGATGGGTAAAGCTCAAGGTTAGAATGCCGACTCAGCAAGTTGTCAGATGAGAGTATGACATAATGCAGAACTGAAATGCCCAGTTTCCTGGGCATGTTCCTATTCCACCTTAACTCATTGATGGTTCCTATCGTCTAAAATGGACAGTGAAGGAGGAGGAAGAAACCATTCACAGAAATAAGAAGGGGGGTTTCATAAAGAACCGAAACTCCCCTAAAGTCCCAGCCGTGGTTTTAAAAAATGCCCCAGGGGCATGGAAGCCTTCCACACCCAGAGAGGGAGTTTGTTCCTTATAGTACCCAGGGTTGGAGCCACTTGTCCAGGCTGTGGGTGCCCCGGAGATGCCCCCATCTCTGGGTGTGTGGTGAGTTCATAAGTAAGTAGAGGAGGAGGGTTACTCCATCAAAGCTCTGTATATGAGAGGCTCGATGTAGTCCTCTCTGTAACGGGAGTTGATGACTCGCTGTCTCTTGGAGCCCTGCTTGACCTCCTTCTCTGTGAAGATCCCGTCGAAGCGCATGTCTGACGCCTTGGACTGAAGGAGCGAGAGAGAGACAGGCCATGAGTAAATTAGCATCCAGTTATCTATGAGTTAAGTAAGCCCTATTAACATAGTATTATAAATGGAAGAAATACATTTACATAACTAGAATTGAAGAAATACATTTACATAGATTGGCATTATAAACATGGACCGAATCCAATATTCGTAAAAAATTTAATAGAAATGATGCATGATTTCATTTCATATCACCTAATCTCATATAAATCAGTTTGGATTAAGGAACATTGGTAGAGACGCGTCTCACCATTCGGGACTTGACTCGTTTGGGCAGCTCCTCGTCTAGACTGTAGACATCTTCCCTCTTAGCAGACAGCAACGACCCGTCCTCAAACTCCATCTGAGTCCACACAAAAAAACAATGAGGACGTCAGCGCGGCGAAACAATGACAAGTCACGCAGAAACAGGCTTCCATTCAACGTTACTTAACAAAGTACCTCAGTCACCTTATATCAAAAACACCCTACGGAAGTAAAAAGTGAACTATCCCTTTAAAAGCACCATACTTAGGGCCTGGGGTTTTCCTGGTCACATGGAACAAAGTGTATAAAGCGGTATGAAATGTATGTCACATATGTTAACTAGTATGTGAAAAGAGTAGCAAGAAGGAAAAATATTTTACATGAAAGAAAAAAAACAAGCAAATCAGTACAGTGGAGGACCACATGATTGATGCGTTTTCAGAACAGTTGTACTTGCTAAACCAATTACACAATCCCACCCACAGTTTCTCTTGAAACCGTGGAGGACCACATGATTCTTTGATGTGTTTTCAGAACAGTTGTCCTTGCTAACCCAATTACCAAAACCCACCCATGATTTCTCTGTAAACGTCAACCCCCTGAATCTGTTAGTGTGGGCTGAATGTGGTAAGAGCGCAGCCTGAACCTGGTTGGCATGCTAGTGGTCCGCAACCGCAGACTAAAAGTGACGCCTACACCAGACCCCAACCCACAAATATAAAAAATGCTCTGTACAGTTCCCCCTTTTTCTCTTGAACATTTATTAAACATTTACGTTTTTCTTCAACGTTTAGGCCATTTGTTTATTCATTGGATATTAAGGCCTATTGAACAGTGACGATGCAAGCTCTAATGCTCTCTCATCACGTCGAACCACCATTCTACTACATTCCCCATGTGCACCAAGTAGCCTACAAACATTTCCATTTCTATTAACTGCATTACTGCAGTTGCATTAAACTTATGAGTGCACCATTCGTTTGTGCCATTAGAGGGAACACATTTCTTTGTTTATAAAATAAAAATGTACGAGTTTCACTCATTGTAATAGGTGCACTGATAAGAAATTGCTCCTCCATTGGTTTGAGAGCTCCGTCGGTGTAGGGAGTGCAGTGTTACCAGTGCGCGCACGCCACACCTCTCTGTATTTCACGCAATCCGTCATTGCATTAGTTAGTCCCGTTTGGTATTCATACTATATTCTGACAATGATCCATTGTATTGCTTAACCAGTAACTTAACCAGTAACCTCCATTCCCTGGTTGCTAAAATTCTAATAGGTCGCCTAATTTTAGTTTATGTGACAAAACCCGTCCCCTGTAGCTCAGTTGGTAGAGCATGGCGCTTGCAACGCCAAGGTTGTGGGTTCGATTCCCACAGGGGCCAGTATGAAAAAACTAAACAATTGTATGCACTAACTAACTGTAAGTCGCTCCGGATAAGAGCGTCTGCTAAATGACTAAAATGTAAAACAAACAGTCATTGTGTAGAGAATCATTGTACCATCTAAACCACAGAGAAATATATTTTCCATAATCAAAAATATTGTACTTTCAGCTGAAGCAGGTGTACAAAACCTAAAGTAAAAGACTCAAAAAACGAAACGTCAGAATGGGAAGCATAGAAATAGCACACATAGAACATATCTACTGCTTCTTAGACTTTTTTCAATGGGAATGAAAGATCTATAAGTCACATTTCTATGTGAATTTGGACAGGTCGACTGAACAAGTCCCTTAATAACCTTAATTCCTCCTGTAAGTCACTCTGGATAAGAGCATCTGCTAAATGACTAAAATGCAAATGTCTGTCTATTTGATTTCCTTTTAGTGTCTATAATGATGATCTATCCATATATCCGCTTAAAGTGCGCATTGGTATGGTTTCTCTCCAACTGGGTGTGCTTGGCTATTGTGGGTATGTAAGCTGCTGTTAAGGTAACATGTGTTGCTAAGTTCTCTAAACAAATTCTTAGTTACATGAGTTTTCTTGGCCTGTTATAGGCTTAAATGCGTTTTGCCTTTGGTAGCCGTTTGGTTGCTACTGCGTGCTATTGTTCTCTATTTTGACATTTTGTCCTTTTTGTCTTTTGTTGACTGCAATAGGAACCAGAACGTCATTTCTGGACTAATTCCGAGCCACTTTTGTCAATATTCACCTGCACTATTTTCACTGGAGTGCACTTGTAAATAAAACCTTAATTTTGCACCTTATTTTTTTATATGTGATCAAACCCTCCTAAGTTAGACTGCCAGATCCCGTGACATCTTAACAGAGTAGCTGAAACAAAAACATTTGTGTAGCCTATTTGGCGCATGTACAGTTAGGCCCTGAAACGTACACACTAATGCCAGATAAAAAGAATGAAAGAAAAACCTCAATGTAGCCTATAGATATGAATTGCACAAGAATTATATACACATGGATTTTTTTACAATTTATTTTTATTCACCCTGTCCGCCACCCACCCTTCATCCATCCAATATTTCATGATTCTACACTCGCCCGCCCCGCTGATATAACCGCAGGTTATGAGTCAACCCGCGCCTAACAATGGCGCACAGCCTGAATGTGGTTGAATTGAGGAAGTTAATGTGGTCCCTATTACCTGGTACATGGGGATGGAGTGCGATGCGACAAACTTGGCCCCATACAGCAGATTGTCCGTCCAGCGCACCTGCACCATGTCGCCCACTGCTGGCGGGCCCAGCTTGACGCAGTCCCGGTTCTGAAACCAAACCGTAGACAAGAGCCATCATAGGTCAGTGAACCACAGTTAAATACACCAGGACCATTAAAGCCAGTCAATATAGCCCACAGCACGACTGGATTGATTTTCACTTTTTAGGATTGGTCAATTTCTATGATCAATACTACCACTGCTTTTGCCATACCACTGTAGGCCACGGTTTGCACTTATAAAAGCAGACTGATCTATTGACACTGCTGCATTAATGCTCCTCATTGCAATACAACATTTAGAAAGGAAATGTTTCAGGCAAAACTGTCAACACAATTCAACTGTATTATCCATTTGTTACAGCAATCAACATAGATGTATCTTCTGCTGTTTCCCCCCCCCATGCATCCAACGATACAGGTATAAGTTTACTCACCTCGATGTGCTCAGGGAAGAGGTTGTCACTGTAGGAACCGTCGTGGAAGACAACCTCGTAGAAGGTGGCGGTGGTCAGCTCCAGCACCTCACACTGGTAGTAGCGGCCATTTTTCTGCTTACAGATAACCTGCTGGCCCACCTCCAGCTCTCGCATGGCCGCCTTATTGCGCTAGGAGGTAAGAGGTCAAAAACCAAACGCTAGGAGGTAAGAGGTCAAAAATCTAACACGCCATACATCACTGTAAATGGATGACCATAAAGACAAGACAACGTGAAAAAGAATATGGACCCGTAAAAGCGAAGGAATGTGGAGGAATGTGGACCTGTAAAAGCTACTCCTTTGTTAACATCTAACAACTTCTCCTTTTAAGAGCCATACATTTAGATAAATAAAATTTAATATTGACAGCTTTGCACACTCTTGGCATTCTCTCAACCAGCTTCATGAGGTACCTGGAATGCATTTCAATTAACAGGTGTGCCTTGTTAAAAGTTAATTTGTGTAATTTCTTTCCTTCTGAATACGTTTGAGCCAATCAGTTGTGTTGTGACAAGGTGTGTGGGGGGGGGGGGGGGGGGGGTATACAGTTGATAGCCCTATTTGGTAAAAGACCAAGTCCATATTATGGCAAGAACAGTCAAAGGTCAGTCAATATGGAACATTTCAAGAACTTTTAATGTTTCTTCAATTGCATTCGCAAAAACCATCAAGCACTATTATTTAACTGGCTCTCATGAGGACTGCCACAGGAATGGAAGACCCAGAGTTACCTCTGCTGCAGAGGATAAGTTCATTAGAGTTACCAGCCTCAGAAATTGCAGCCCAAATAAATGCTTAACTGAGTTCAAGTCACAGACACATCTCAACATCAACTGTTCAGAGGGGACTGTGTGAGAATCAGGCCTTCATGGTCGAATTGCTGCAAAGAAACCACTACTAACGGACACCAATAAGAAGAAGAGACCTGCTTGGGCCAAGAAACACAAGCAACGGACATTAGACCGGTGGAAAGGTGTCCTTTGGTCTGGAGTCCAAATTTGAGATTTTTGGTTCAAACCACTGTGTCTTTGTGAGACGCGGTGTGGGTGAACGGATGATCTCCGCATGTGTAGTTCCCACCGTAAAGCATGGAGGAGGTGGTGTGATGGTGCTTTGCTGGTGACACGGTCTGTGATTTATTTAGAATTCAAGGCACACTTAACCAGCATGGCTACCACAGCATTCTGCAGTGATACGCCATCCCATCTGGTTTGGGCTTAGTGGGACTATCATTTGTTTTTCAACAGGACAATGACCCAACACACCTCCAGGCTGTGTAATAGCTATTTTATCAAGAAGGAGAGTGATGGAGTGCTGCATAAGATGACCTGGCCTCCACAATCCCCCGACCTCAACCCAATTGAGATGGTTTGGGATGAGTCGGACCGCAGAGTGAAGAAAAAGGAGCCAACAAGTGCTCAGCATGTGGGAACTCAGGTGAAGCTGATTGAGAGAATGCCAAGAGTGTGCAAAGCTGTCATCAAGGCAAAGGGTGGCTATTTTGATTTGTTTAAAACTTCTTTAGTTACTACATGATTCCATATGTGTTTTTTCATAGTTTTGATGTCTTCACTATTATTCTACAGTGTAGAAAATAGTAAAAATAAAGAAAAACCCTTGAATGAGTAGGTGTGTCCAAACCTTTGACTGGTACTGTATTATATATCTATATATAAATATGCTTTTAAAGTTAACTCAGCTAAAGTATTAAAAACCAGACAATGCATAAGCCCTCGGTTAACTCAGTTTAGAACTAAAATCTTGCATGCCCCCTTATTATGCTGGGTGATTAAAGCGTTAGCCTACAATTATTATACCACTCGATAAAGCACCATAAACAGATGACCATAAAGATAACACAGAGTATATTTCCAATTGAATAATACATTACATTTGGTAAGAGGAAATAAATGCAAACTAAGGTGGATTCATAAAAGCTATTTAAGTAGTGGTGAATTGTTCTGGTCACGTGTGACATCCAACAGCTTATTTTGAAGTTAATTCAGCCGAGGTATTTAAATCTAGACAACGCATACGCTATCGGTGAAGAAAAAAAACAACATTCAGAGAACATTCATTTGCATTTCACTGAAGATTAGTTCTGTCTCCGCACGCATGTCTTCTGTTCAACTATAAAATACATTTCCCCTCCCCAACTAGCTAATTAAAGCACTGAGCTTCGACAAAAGCCAGAGAGCCCCTGCGGCACGTTAGAGGAAATAGTGTGCAGCCTGCTGCAGACAGACTGACTGACTACATCAGAGCAGAAGTGTTGCTCTTCGCTCTGTTCCAACCGTCTCCAATTATGGGAGTATTAGTATAAAATAAACATAAACCGTCTAGAACATGCAATCGTTTATAGATACAGCTTTTTATACAGTACACATATACACTCATTGTGATGTCTGTATAATGTATGGGAATCAGAATGTGTTGTCTTTATACTACGTTATATGTGTAGGATTGGTATTTGTAACCTGACTTGCCTTTCGTATTGCCCCAGAGGGGATAAATCCAGTTAAATACAGTGTAGAGAAGAATGGCTATAGATCAGGGGTGTCAAACTCATTGACACTCGGCCCTCCGTGGAATGAGTTTTGACACGTGCTGTAGATTATTCAACCAATGGCCTAAACCAGTGTCTCCAACTCCAGTCCTCCAGTTCCTCAACAGTACACATTTTTGTTATAGCCCCAGACAAACTCACCTGATTCAACAACTCATTGAGGGCCTGATGATTAGTTGAATAATAATATATGCTTTTTAGCAGATAGTTTTACCCAAAGCGACTTACAGTCAGACGCCAACACTGCCAGACAGTCAGACGCCAACACTGCCAGACGCCAACACTGCCAGACAGTCAGACGCCAACACTGCCAGACAGTCAGACACCAACACTGCCAGACGCCAACACTGCCAGACAGTCAGACGCCAACACTGCCAGACGCCAACACTGCCAGACACCAACACTGCCAGACACCAACACTGCCAGACACCAACACTGCCAGACACCAACACTGCCAGACACCAACACTGCCAGACAGTCAGACACCAACACTGCCAGACAGTCAGACACCAACACTGCCAGACAGTCAGACGCCAACACTGCCAGACAGTCAGACGCCAACACTGCCAGACAGTCAGACACCAACACTGCCAGACAGTCAGACACCAACACTGCCAGACAGTCAGACACCAACACTGCCAGACAGTCAGACACCAACACTGCCAGACAGTCAGACGCCAACACTGCCAGACAGTCAGACGCCAACACTGCCAGACAGTCAGACACCAACACTGCCAGACGCCAACACTGCCAGACAGTCAGACACCAACACTGCCAGACGCCAACACTGCCAGACAGTCAGACGCCAACACTGCCAGACGCCAACACTGCCAGACACCAACACTGCCAGACACCAACACTGCCAGACACCAACACTGCCAGACAGTCAGACACCAACACTACAATAAAAATGTGTGCTGTTGGGGGTACTCGCAGACTGGAGTTGGTAAACACTGGCCAAGGCTACATGACTGTATACAAACCCAAGAAATCGAATCTAACTGACAGGCTAACCCACAACAGTAACTCTACACCAGGTGAGTATGTCATTGATGTTCTGACTCGCTGACACATTGCTCACAACAGGAATCAGGACCAAGACTCACAGTGATCTTTCATCATGTTGCATGACGAATTATCTGTACCTGCTTGGGCTTGCCAGTTCTCACTCTAGGGGATGGGAAGCCATGTTCCTATATGGCCACAGGGTCTCTGGTTTTGTTGTTTCTGTTGTTGTTGCTCAACATTTTATTAAGGAAGCATGATTTGACCTTTTTCGCCTAGTCTGGCGTCAAACTGGCTTCCAACCTGACAACTAAGATACAGGTAATGTCTGCTATTCAAATAATAACATCTATTAACCAATTGATGGTGTCGGCAATAACAAATGCCAAGAAATGTAATATGCAGAGGTAAACCTATGTGCAGCAGTTATTTCTATGATAATAGTTGCTCTTTGGGACAAAAAGCGTCAGAAAACACTTATATAACCTTATACAAACATGTGATGCAATGCTTCCCTGAACCAAGTTTACCCCCCGTAGAAGCTACCTCTGGCAGGACGGGTGACTTGTGCCTGTAGCAGGTGACGTGGACGATGAAGGGCCAGTCGTCGGGCTGCATGAGCTGGCCGGCCGCCTGGGCACAGGTGGGGTGGAAGGCAGTGGTGCAGCGGCCATGGGAACACTGAACACAGCAGCCAACATCCTTCTTCACCCGCCGCTTACAGTAGAAACACTTCTGTAGGGGGTGAAGAAGAGAAGGTGGAGAAGAGAGAGAGGAGAGGGGGAGGAGAGAGAGAGGAGAGAGGGGGAGGAGAGAGGGGGAGGTGAAAAGGTAGGAGGGAAGAGGCAGTAACAGGGAAGAGGGGGAGATGAGAGTAAGGAGGGAGGGCGAGGAAGAAGAGGAGGAGCACCAGTGGGAGGAGTAGGAAGAGAGGGAGGTTGGGGAAAAGCGAGGGAAAGAAACAGAGGGGAGGGGGAAGGAGACGAGGGCATGGAGGAAATTACAACGTTCCCTTTTCACCGTTTCAAGCTCCCAGATGCCACATTTTCTGTTGTTCCCAGTTCAGTTTAGAATATGACTCCAATAAATACATAGAGTCGACTTCCTCACTGTAGACCAAAATGGACAAACAAAGCAATCACAGAATTGGTCTGGGTCAGAGTAAGAAGTGACAGCCATGAAAACAGACTGACCCACCAACATAGACCCTTGGTCTCCAGAGTGGCGCAGTGGTCTAAGGCACTGCATCGCAGTGCTAGCTGTGCCACTAGAGATCCTGGTTCGAATCCAGGCTCTGCTGTAGCTAGCCGCAACCGGGAGACCAATGGGGCGGCGCACAATTGGCCCAGCGTCGTCCAGGGTAGGGGAGGGAATGGCCGGCAGGGAGGTAGCTCAGTTGGTAGAGCATGGCGTTTGCAACGCCAGGGTAGTGGGTTCGATTCCCACGGGGGGCCAGTATGAAAAATAAAAAAAGAATAATGTATGCACTAACTGTAAGTCGCTCTGGATAAGAGCGTCTGCTAAATGACGTAAATGTAAAATGTGAAGCTCCATATGAGGCACTGTTCATGGTTGCTGAGGGGAAGCCTTAGCTGGAGGAAACTCTGTTTGATAGGCCTATTTGGCTCATTTCATATGAGCAGGGGGTGAAGGACTCAGGTGAAGGCCCATATGACACACTGTTTTGTTTGTTTCATATTAGCAGGATAGTGAAACTGTATAAATGAGCCGGCTATTTCTGATCGTATGTGTGATATGTGGCTCTGTTCACGTCAGGGGAACTGAGCAGGAGTCAACGACCTCGGTGGATCGCCACATGATTATACACAGTATTGATGTCAGACTGAAGGACCAAGGACACAGACCTTGTTAAACAGTGTGTGACTTCCTGATGTGATTCTTCTCTGGTGTTTACAGAACACTGGTGTCTGTGGGATCAGGCTATCAGAGCTGGCTTAGAGAAAGCAGTAGAGAATGTATGAGAAAACCTGAATGGCTGCAGTTTAGCCATTAACATTGATGATTATTACGAGTATATGGTGCATGGAATGTTAAGGAATAAACGTATGAATGTGTGTATTCTTATTTTAAATGTATGTAGTTCTGTCCTTCTGATGTACTCGTCTATTAATGTCCTGTATTATGTCATGTTTTATGTTTCATGTGTACCCCAGGAAAAGTAGCTGCTGCTTTAACAGTAGCTAATAGGGATCCTAATAAAATAAAAATATTACTAAATGGCGCCAGTATAGGCAAATATTTGTATGAAAAATGGAACCAAGTGTACAATACCCATCATATGGAAAACAGTCATAAGCTCAGATGAGAAAAGTCTATAGCGAACTTGAATTCTGCATCTCTAAACAGTTGAGAAAACCACTTAAATGACTCAAACCATGAAAATGAAATGACAGGAAGTCGATACACAGAAGCAGGGCCTAAAATAACGTTTTGGTCCACCAGCCAGTGGCAGGTAGATTAAAACATCTACCAGCCACTCAGATTGTTTACCAGCCAAAATATATATATTTTCTGCTAAAATTAAACCAACACAACAGACAAAAACGGATGAGCATGCTTTGTAATGTTTCTAAAACAATAAATGTATTACTAGTAAGAATTAATGTGGTATATTGTTTAATAAAAAAAATGTGACCTGTTTTTTAACCAAAATATCATAGATGAGACAAATGTTCACCTGCCCCTTTAAGGGCCAGATGTTACTGTGGTAACGTGACTCCAGTCATGTTTGTGCCTGTGAGATTGTATATGACTAGTAGATGCATTGTCTTCCCTAGCAAATGAAACTCAAACATAGAAAAACAACCTAGATTGTGAACAAAACAATGTAAATAGCCAAGAAACACAAGGACAAAGTCTCACTTCAGTAGATTGTTATGCCTATGTGCAGCACTTCTAAAAATGAATGTTTCACTCAGCTCTTCACGTGCGCACAGCCCCCAGCATTGCAGCGCGAGGTGTAATAGCCTATATAGGATTCGTAGTTCTTTGACTTTGTGCAATAAAATATACCAGCTATGAAACAAAATGGCAGAAATACTTTGAAAACAGCTAATGCAGCATTTATTTTAATATAAATGTGATCATTCTTTACTATTTGTATTCCCAAATGCGAGTGAAATGCTCACCCTGTGGAGCCCAGACCACCCGCCAACGTGGCTGGGGAAATAGACATCTTACCCACCAATGCCAAAATCTACCCGCATTTGGCAGGTGTTAATTTTAGGCCCTGCGTAGAAGTAGTGTTGTGGTGCTGTTGTGGTCCTGACTGTGACCATTTAGGAACTGTAGCTCACCAGCTGGAACCTGGCCAGAGGGATGTAACTGAGGTCCACGGGACTGCGGTCGGTGATGTTCACGAAGCGCGCCTCCAGGACCACGAGTGCACACAGCACATGCACCCACCTGTGTGTGTCACAGGAAACAGATCAGCACACTAAACACAGCAGGGGAAAGTTTCCACTGTGTTTCCACACTGCCTTCACACAATTTCCACTGTGAACTTACACACATAATTATGTTATTTATAACTAACAATATGCACAAAAACTATATATTTTTTAAGGGTAGGCTATTATTTTTGTTTATATACAAAAATGTTTGCATCACATGTAGCCTAGACAAAAATAGTTTTTATGATATATTGTAATACTATATAGGACATCTTCCTCATAATATCAAACATCTTACTGTACACTAGCACAGGCTCCTCACTGTCACAAGCCATTACAGAAACAGATACTTGACTAGACATAGGATAAGGCTAGCTTGGTCTACAGGCATTCCCTGCCTTTTACATTTACTGAACTGTCCTAGATTCAGTGGGGAGAGTAAAGTGTGACCACTGGCTACAGACTGGGGATCCTAATAAAATACCAAATACCAGACTAGAGTGGTTGTAGCGTCGGTGTAACAAAATATATTTCGCCTAGATCTAGAGGCCCCCATTAAATGGGTAGCTCCTCAAATCGCTGTACTATACTCACTTGTCGTTGTTGGCTCTCTGTAGAGCTCCCCCTCGCAGTGAACACAGGCAGCAGTCCTGAGGGAGAGCAAGACACACAAATCATCCCCAGTAGCATTTTGGATACACTTAATGTTATAGTCCTTTAAGTGGTATTTATATAGTAAATTACATAGTAAAATGGTAATTACATAGTATTTTATTTAATTGGGAATCATTAAAAACATACCCAGTTCTTGCCGCTTGGTGCCAGTGAGTTAATAAATGATGTAGTTCCATCCTTGAGCTGTTTTTGTTTATTAATGTTCTGTATGTCATGTTTCATGTTTTGTGTGGACCCCAGGAAGAGTAGTTGCTGCTTTCACAACAGCTAATGGGGATCCTAATAAAATACCAAATACTAACCGACTTAAATTCTTTCAAGTCATTACCTGAATGTTCTATTTTTCTCATTTGAAATATTTCTCCACATTGTCTGTGTCAAAGCTGGCCAGAGTACTGCGATTTCCATTCCTTTCTGGGCTGCCTGGCAGTGGGTTTTCCAGTATCTTGTAATGCATAACTTTTGTGGACCTAGGACATTAAGCTAACTCTGGTCAATCAGTGACTGGAGGGGTTAAGCCAGACATGTACATGTCCACAAGTAAGAGCTACGTCAATACCTTCTGTCGTTGTGCATGTTTTAAAATGGACTTAGTTGGACTGCCCAGAATCACTGATCTACAAATCACCTTGCATCCCAAATAATTACTGAAGTGATATAGATCAGAGATTCTGCTCCTGGCTTTGCTCAAACACACTGGCTACCACAGAGAGTTAAAAGCAGGAATGTTCATGACTTCTCCCTTAGACAACACCGCCACCTAGCGGTTAAACTTGGTTATAACAAGTTGGGACTTCATCCAAAAGATACATATTCCACGGCTTGACAAGTACGCGTATTCTGAGGCAGAAATTAATTTCACTAATAGTCCATTAATCAAGAATTACGCGTCCAAAATATGATTCATGACTTGGCGTGTAAGACTCAGTACAGGATAGGACTTGCACTATCCTCTGTTGTGGTGCTCAGCAAAGGAATTATGTAACGATTTGGTATTATGTTGTGCAATTAAACTCTGGCTTCTGTTCACATGTCATCCCAGAGGGAAAACGGAGTCAAGTGCCAAATATCATAACCTTATTGAGAAATAACTGGAGAAGGCGCTAGCTACAGTCATTCTAACCCTTTTTATTTTCTGACTATATTGATTCTACATTCAGAAGTGTATTGTTTTTTGAACATGAATCCTCTACTTTCTTCAAGGCTTAATTATAGGGTTAACATCCAGATATCTCTATGTATGGCTCTACAGTGCCTTCCGAAAGTATTCACACCCCTTGACTTTTTTCACATTTTGTTGTGTTACAAAGTGGCATTGAAATAGATTGTCATTTTTTGTCAACGATCTACACAAAATACTCTGTAATGTCAAAGTGGAAGAACAATTGTAACGTTTGTAAAAAATGTATGAGAAATAAAACACTAATATCTTGATTACGTAAGTATTCAAGCACCTGAGTCAATACATTATAGAATCACCTTTGGCAGTGATTACAGCTGTGAGTCTTTCTGGGTAAATCTCGAAGCGCTCTGACAAATTGGTTGTTGATCATTGCCAGACAACCATTTTCAGGTCTTCAAGCAGATTGAAGTCAAAAGTAACTTGGCCACTCAGGAACATTCACTGTCTTCTTGGTAAGCAACTCCAGTGTAGATTTGGCCGTGTGTTTTAGGTTATTGTCCTGCTGAAAAGGTGAATTAATCTCTTAGTGTTTGGTGGAAAGCAGACTGATCCAGGTTTTCCTCTAGGATTTTGCCTGTGCTTAGCTCCATCCCGTTTCTTTTTTATCCTGAAAAACTCCCCAGTCCTTAACGATTACAAGCATACCCATAACATGATGCAGCCACTCTAAGTTGTACTCAGTAATGTGTTGTATTGGATTTGCCCCAAATGTAACACTTTGTATTCAGGGCAAAAAGTGAATTGCTTTGCAAATTTTTTTTTCCAGTATTACTTCAGTGCCTTGTTGCAAACTGGATGCATGTTTTGGAATTTTAAAAAATTATCCGGCAACTGAGTTAGGAAGGGCGCCTGTATCTATGTAGAGACTGGGTGTATTAATACACCATCCAAAGTCTAACTTCACTATGCTCAAAGGGATATTCAATACCTGCTTTTTATATATGTTTACCCATCTACCAATAGGTGCCCTTCTTTGTGAGGCATTGGAAAACGTCCCTGGTCTTTGTGGTTGAATCTGTGTTGGAAATTCACTGCTCGACTGCGGGACCTTACAGATAATTGTGTGTGTAGAGTACAGAGATGAGGTAGTCATTAAAAAATCATGTTAAACACTATTATTGCACAGAGTGAGTCCAATAAGTGCAACTTATTGTGACTTAAGCACATTTTTACTCCTGAGCTTATTTAGGCTTGAAAAAAACAAAGGTGTTGAATACTTATTAATGCAAGACATTTCAGCTTTTCATTTTTAATTAATTTGTAAAACTTTCAAAAAACATAATTCCAATTTGACATTAAGGGAGAAATATACATTTATGTGTAGGCCAGTGACAAAAAAAAAACTCAATTTAATCCATTTTATATTCAGGCAGTAACAAAATGTGGAAAAATGCAAGGGGTGTGAATACTTTCTGAAGGCACTGTATGCTATCCTTTCTTGTTGTCAGCCTTCTTCCTTCAATAAGCTTAGTTCTAGAATCTCTGAAGGGTTTGAATGCATATGAGTTACAACATGATCCTATCCCACTCCATTGTCAGTGTGGTGCTAGTATGTGTGTGAAGTAGGACTAAGATCATGTAGTGTTGATAAGCTTCTGTAGTGATATGGTTTCAGTTGTACTTGATTGCATTACTGACCTCAGTCAAAGCGTTGGCCTCACAGCGGGCACACATCCAATCGTCTGACACTTGGTCAACAGACACTCCATAGCAACCTGAGGGATACGAGGAAAACACGGACATGGAAAACATTAGAGGCCATTTTCTATTGACAGAGGTGACTTAAAGGCACTGACGTGAATGAGAAGTTCCACAGGCACTTAGCATTTATTTGTCATACAAATCAATTGATTAAAGTGCACATCATTGCAGTAAATCATTGTTAATGAATGAGAATGGATATTTTGGAACGCTGGTGATTGATTGTCAATGCTGAACTCTGCAATGAACTGGTATTCCTTGAGAGCATATCATTGATTACATTAAACATATGGAACACATTAAACACATGCACAGTCCTCTAAACCATGGGTGTCAAACTCATTTTGCTCCGCGGGCCACATTCAGTCTTCACCGCACTTAAAATGGATTATATTTCCTTGCCGTTATAATTAGCAAAGAATAGTCCTCCATCAATTGCTTTGGAATTTCTGATGCTCCCAGACTGTCTAGCTTTAGTTTTAATGACTGTTAGCAAGCTGGACAGAGTCAAGAGAATAAATGTAATAATAATAATTATAATATAATTATAATAATATCATTTGGGGGGCTGCTTATATTTGTCCTGTTACGCAGGTCCATTATTTCTACACTAGTTTCAATTTGGTGTTAGTCATTTCAATGTTGATTGAATTTTTTTTTTCTTCTAAAATATACAAATAAAATGTTTTACTTAAACCACAGGCCATGTTTGACACACCTGCTCTAAACATTGGTGTTAAACAGACTGCTGATGTGAATTAACTGGATTTCAGCAACAGCATATTATTGATTATCAATGGAAACGTGCTGTCTAACAACTGGTGTGAATGAACTAATATTAATTGAAATCTAGAGTACTACATTCAATTACAAATTAAACACATGAACTATCGAACAGGCTTCAAACATGGTGATTGTGAATGTAACTGTAGTTACTCACTGGCGTGGACGCGGACGCAGCACTGGGAGCAGCTGACCAGCAGGCTGGTACCGTCCTCCTCCAGGTGAGGGGTGGAGAGTTGGCCCTCGCCGCTATCGCTGCTGCTGTTGTTCGTCTTGTCATTGGTGGTGCTGAAACACATCTCCGGGATCAGGGGCTTGGACCTCTGTCTGCCCCCGCGCCGGCCTTTTAGAGTGGAGCTGGGGTTGCCGCTAGACTGGAGAGACTGGAGAGGAGGGAGGAGGGACACGTATTAGCAAAGGTCAAATTGTCATTTCTATGACTACTATTGTGCACAGCTGGCTTGGTGGCTGAATTGCTTTTCTGTTGCCTAAATGTCTTTAGAAGGTACATAAAAACAAATAGATAATTCAAAGTAAAAAACTGTTTTCCATCTCAATTTTTTGTTTTGTTTTTCCATCCTACAAATCAATACAACTTTTATAGCCCTCAAAGACCTGGATAAAGAGCCCATTAACAGCTGGATAGAGTGCCCATTAACAGCTGGATTAAGGGCCCATTAATAGCTTGATTAAGGGCCCATTAACAGCTGGATTAAGGGTCCATTAATAGCTGGATAAATGGTCCATTAATAGCTGGATTAATGGCCCATGAACAACAGCTACTGTATAAGGCAAAGACCAAGGACCTCTCCACTCTACCTGGTCGTATGTGTGGAAGAGCAGGCAGATGGAGCAGTAGGGGACCTGCAGGCCCATGCGCTGGTTGTACGATCTCTCCGCCTGGGGGTTGTCGGGTCGGCTCTGCCACAGCTGGGCCAGGGGCTTGGCCCACTCCTCCCTCTCCTCTGGTTCATCCTCCATATCCACATACAGCTCATCTACAAGATAGAGGGGGGAGAGAGAGTAACGAAGGAGGTTAGGAGAGAGGAGAAAGAGATAGATACTGTTGGGATACTGTTATAACCCACTACAACCAGGTACATACCATTATCACCATGGTTTTCACTGGAGCTGAGGAGTGGGTGCTGTTTGGGCAGCTTGCGGAGGAGAGGATGTGGTTTGCTCTTCACGGTCTTGCAGTCCGTCTGCTTACTTGGACTTGAGTTTGTCTGCTTATTTGGACTTAAGTTAGTCAGTTTACTTGGATGTAAAATCATCGGCTTACTTAAACTTAAGTTTGTCTGCTTGATTAAAGTTACCTCCGCCTGTACGGGGGAAAGACATTGCTGGGGAAAGAGACAGGAAGAGGATGAGTGACCATCAGCTGGCTCGTGTTGTTTCCACATCTAATGCCGTTTTTGTATGGCAAGTGTGAAAACATCAATTTCACATTTTCCTCTAACATATTCACCTCTAATATCAGTCTAAACTATTATCACAAACTACACTACAAAACCATAACCAAACATGAATAACTTCTAAAGACAGCATCATGAAAGAGGGTAAACAAACCTTCCGCCTGTCCCTCCTGACCTCTGCCTCAGCCCCCTTGGTTGTCCTGGTGTGTGCTTGGGTCTGGATAGGCTCCAGGCTACTAGGGGCCTTGGCTTCGGACCTCCCCTCCCAAGCCTGGGCCTCGCCTGGCTGCTGCTGCCACTTATCGAGGCCTTGGATCTGGGCCTTGGTTTCAACCTGTTCTCCCTTACTGGGACTCTGTGCTTTGGCCTGGATCTGCTCATCTTTGGTGGATGGGACCTGGGACTCCTGCTGCTCGGCTTTGACTTGGAGCTGGGGATGGGCCTTGAGTTGAAGGTGGTTTTGGAGGTGCCTTGGCAGGTGCTCCCTGGCGTAACTGTGCACGTGGAGCTGGGTGTGGTGAATGGGCTGCTGGTTCTCGCGGGCGTAGCTGTGGACCTGCAGGGCCTCCTTGGGGCTCTGGGTCTTGTGGAAGAGCAGGCTGGCCACCCCCAGCTTTCGGACAGGCTGAGCAGAAGGACCGGTCCTGGCCGGGGGAGCCCCTACTGGGAGGTGGCTGTTTCTGTGCGACTGGGGTTGAGCAAAAACGGTTGCTGCGTGATTGCTGGTGGAGGAGATTGTGACTTTTTGTGGAGCAGGGCTTGTGCTGCTGTTGCCCTTCGTAGGGTCTGTCTTTACATTAGGCAGTTCCCTCAAGGTGACCTTCGCTGGTGTGTCTGAAATACAAACATTTGTATCAGGAGAAGCAATGGGGATAGCATTTCCAAATATCCACTGAGTCTCATTGTGGATTAGTGATGCAGATCTATTATCCTGACGACTCACACTAAATTATTCCGCTGCACTGTCGTTCGCTACATGCTTTAGTATGATACTGCAATCAGTGAAGTAATTTGTGGTGAGGAGGGGTGTTGTACAAAAAGATATCAGCGATTGGATAGTCTAACCAATCAGAGTATCAAAACCAATGACACATTTTCAAAATGCCGCTTTACCCACGTGTGTTCTGGCTCTGGCCAACCAATCGGTTTATGGACTAATCAGACGGCCCCGAATGTGTTCGCAGATCCAAACTCATTGTGGAGAAGAAACTAACCAGTGGAGGCTGGTGGGAGGAGCTATAGGACTATGGTCTCATTGTAATTGCTGGAATGGAATAAATGGAACAGTATCAAACATATAGAAACCACATGTTGGACTCCGTTCTATTTATACCATTCCAGCCATTACAATGAGCCTGTCCTCCTATAGCTCCTCCCACCAGCCTCCACTGAAACTAACATCTGGGGGCATGGCATAGCGTTTGCTTGGAGCAAGGAGTCTGGGTCTGGGCAGCCAGGCAGAAGATCTATACCCATTTACTACAATAGAATTGTGTAGTTTTTACTGCATTGTTAGGAGCTAGTAACATAAGCATTTTGCTGCAACACCTGCTTAACTGTGAACGCAACCAATAAACGTTGATTTGACAAGTGGCCTGTATTCAAACCACTTGACATTTGTTGGCTGTGGTTGGATTTGAACCCACATCTCCAAAGAGACTGGAGCTGAAAGCTGGAATCCACCATGCCAGTTTGCGATATTACGACAACAAAGAAATTACTTCAAATTGGTAGAGCATGGCGCTTGTAACGCCAGGGTAGTGGGTTCGATCCCCGGGACCACCCATTCGTTGACTGTAAGTCGCTTTGGATAAAAGCGTCTGCTAATTGGCATATTATTTATATTATAAAGAACACAGTTTTTTCCCTTTGGACAACATTGCACGCGCAATAGAACAGCAGAGTATGTATTGCAAAAAAAAAATGTACCACGATGCTGGACGCTCCTCTCCTTCGTTTCATAAACAAAACAAAAACAATAACAAATGTGCTGGGGCACAAACAGTGGCTCGGTTTCCCCTAATGCGGATTCCAGCATTAAATCCAGTCACAAGTGTCCGTCTAACATTATTTTGTGTTACCCCCTAATTTTACAAATGTATCATCCCATGCATCCTCTGTGTTGATTTTGCGTGTAATTGTATAGGTTTTAAATAGTGAAAATAAGGTAGGAAGACACAGCCTAACTGTCAGTGAGGTTACCTGTATCTGTGCAGTCCTCTCCTCCCGTGCCCTGAGTGGTGAGGCCTAGTCTGGCCTCCTCTTCATCTTTAGGGACCACCTTGTCAGGTACATCCAGACACACCCGGTGCCTCTTGGTCCCTATCCTCGGTGTTGGGCTGGTGGGCCATAAAACATTAAAGTTGGAATCATTTTTCATGTCAAGCATTTTAAAAAATGGGAATTTCCATCCATATATACTGTTCAATCTGCTCTATAGCACGCTCTACCAACATTCAAATTAACATCTCTTCTGACCTCTTTCTTTCCCCCTTGGTGTTGAGCTCCTCTCCATAGGGCTCCTGGGAGATGCAGTCCATCCCCAGCTCCTCCCCCAGGAACTCCTTGGCCTCTGGGGTGGGCCGTGAGTGGTCGATGGGGCCTGTGTCCCGCCCCGCCAGCCACTGCTCGTAGCGGTCCGGCTGGTACTTCTTCACGAACAGATCCATGGAGATCTTCACCATGTCCTTCCTGCATGTACACTGGAGGCAAGAGGTAGGGAGTATAAGTTCTAGGGATGCACTACTGCCCCCAGAGGTAAATAAACTAAGGTCAGTCTAATAGAGAGCTATACGAGACAGCATTAATAAAAAAGTATAGTCTTTTCCCAGTTTCATTCTTTCTGCCGACCCTCATTAAAAATCGGTCAATAAAAGGTTACATTTTTCCCCAAACAGTAAAATGATGTTACCAACAGAAAATATTACGCATACATACATACATACATACATACATACATACATACATACATACATACATACAAGGAACAGACATTTTTTAAATATATATCTTAAATGGAAACATGCAACAGTAGCAAGCCCATCATTTTACAGTCAAAGGGCTATAGCCTTTTATTGAACATGCAACTGCTGTAATGAAGCAGCTAATAAAACGTCATTTTCAAACATTTGCCAAAATGCAATTCACGGGAAAACACTGTTCTAAACACCTAATGCAATCGGTTCCATTTGTGGCAGAGATGAAAATCTCTGTTAGAAACTTAGAAAGCTGGGGAATCTAATAGCAACAACTAGGATGGGTTGCCAATATGACTAGGATTGTGCCTTTGGCTTCTGGACAACGAAAGAAAGTTGATATGAAAACCGATAGAACAGGAGATAAACGCTTGTTATTGGCATGAGGAAGTCTTTATTTGGCTAGTCTACTTTGAAGCAAGGTAAGACATGCCTCATTATTTGAAGTAAAGTAAAACGTTCAGGTTTCAAACAATTATACTGCCTCAAGCTCACATTGCAAAGTAGTGTGTGACGCGCTGATACCCTGCCTACCGTTGACTATAGCCTATGCACTTAAATGGCAATTCAGAGGTGCGCTTTGATTACGAATTAAGATTCAGAAGAAGAAAAAAAAATAGTAGCTATTTTTAATCGTGGCCATCAAAACAGTTTTTAACATGTGATTGCATTTTAAATTGTTATTGGTTGCGCAATGACTGGGCTTATAAAAGCATGTTTCACTCCAGTACCAGCTTTTTGAGGAGCTGCTCGCGCTGTCTGACATGTGATAGGATATTCCTCCTGATAAGATACATGACGACTAATGAAAAATACACACGCGGCAATTTAATTCCACTAAATTATGCAAATGAACCTATAGACCGATAAGCATGACCGGTCAAATGTATTTTCGGCAGCTAACTGATTCACATCCCCAATGTTCTTGGTTTAAACGAGGAGTACTTAAAGAAAATGAAACTCTTCCTTACCAGCATGGCTTGCTTTCCATACTCAATCCATCTTTCTGTGGCAAAGTTGGTGGACTCAGCACAGTTGAAGCCATGGTTGAACCCGGCGTGGTAGCTATAGGGAAATGTCACCATGAACTCACCAGGCTCCTGAGTGATCTGGAACACAGACAGGAAAAAACAATATACTGTACAAGGCTTTATATACAGTGGGGAAAAAAAGTATTTAGTCAGCCACCAATTGTGCAAGTTCTCCCACTTAAAAATATGAGAGGCCTGTAAGATTCATCATAGGTACACGTCAACTATGACAGACAAAATGAGAAAAAAAAATTCCAGAAAATCACATTGTAGGATTTTTTATGAATTTATTTGCAAATTATGGTGGAAAATAAGTATTTGGTCAATAACAAAAGTTTCTCAATACTTTGTTATATACCCTTTGTTGGCAATGACACAGGTCAAACGTTTTCTGTAAGTCTTCACAAGGTTTTCACACACTGTTGCTGGTATTTTGGCCCATTCCTCCATGCAGATCTCCTCTAGAGCAGTGATGTTTTGGGGCTGTCGCTGGGCAACAGACTTTCAACTCCCTCCAAAGATTTTCTATGGGGTTGAGATCTGGAGACTGGCTAGGCCACTCCAGGACCTTGAAATGCTTCTTATGAAGCCACTCCTTCGTTGCCCGGGCGGTGTGTTTGGGATCATTGTCATGCTGAAAGACCCAGCCACGTTTCATCTTCAATGCCCTTGCTGATGGAAGGAGGTTTTCACTCAAAATCTCACGATACATGGCCCCATTCATTCTTTCCTTTACACGGATCAGTCGTCCTGGTCCCTTTGCAGAAAAACAGCCCCAAAGCATGATGTTTCCACCCCCATGCTTCACAGTAGGTATGGTGTTCTTTGGATGCAACTCAGCATTCTTTGTCCTCCAAACACGACGAGTTGAGTTTTTACCAAAAAGTTCTATTTTGGTTTCATCTGACCATATGACATTCTCCCAGTCCTCTTCTGGATCATCCAAATGCACTCTAGCAAACTTCAGACGGGCCTGGACATGTACTGGCTTAAGCAGGGGGACATGTCTGGCACTGCAGGATTTGAGTCCCTGGCGGCGTAGTGTGTTACTGATGGAAGGCTTTGTTACTTTGGTCCCAGCTCTCTGCAGGTCATTCACTAGGTCCCCCCGTGTGGTTCTGGGATTTTTGCTCACTGTTCTTGTGATCATTTTGACCCCACGGGGTGAGATCTTGCGTGGAGCCCCAGATCGAGGGAGATTATCAGTGGTCTTGTATGTCTTCCATTTCCTAATAATCCCACAGTTGATTTCTTCAAACCAAGCTGCTTACCTATTGCAGATTCAGTCTTCCCAGCCTGGTGCAGGTCTACAATTTTGTTTCTGGTGTCCTTTGACAGCTCTTTGGTCTTGGCCATAGTGGAGTTTGGAGTGTGACTGTTTGAGGTTGTGGACAGGTGTCTTTTATACTGATAACAAGTTCAAACAGGTGCCATTAATACAGGTAACGAGTGGAGGACAGAGGAGCCTCTTAAAGAAGAAGTTACAGGTCTGTGAGAGCCAGAAATCTTGCTTGTTTGTAGGTGACCAAATACTTATTTTCCACCATAACTTGCAAATAAATTCATTAAAAATCCTACAATGTGATTTTGTGGAAAAAAAATCTCAATTTGTCTGTCATAGTTGACGTGTACGATGAAAATTACAGGCCTCTCTCATCTTTTTAAGTGGGAGAACTTGCACAATTGGTGGCTGACTAAATACTTTTTTTCCCCACTGTAAGTGATCAGCATAAGTTGATAAAATCACACATGGTCTTAAGGTAGTATACAATAAATGCAGTTAAAAAAGTTGTAAATCATCACTATGCTGAGGGCTTACCTTTTCAAATGGAATGCCATATTTCCTTAATATGGAGGGCGAGATGAGGGTCATCTTGTGCCTCAAGAAGGCTTCGCAATTTTGGTGGCTACCAGGGAAAAACCCTGAAAAGAAACGTCAGAAAACAGTGTGTTGGATTAAAGCTAGTTAAAAAGCAGTTGTTGTTTTCTAATATGGCAAAACATGTCACACACATTATCATCCATCTCACCTTGAGCCAAGCGCTCCATTCTTTTTCCCTGTTCTGGAGGGACACAGTACCTGTGAGGATATCAGAACGGCAATCATCAGTTCTCTGACGTTATAACACTGACGTTAAAATTGTTGCCATTTCTTTCATTTGGTGAGTGTCGTTTTCGAATGTGACAACGAGTCCTCAAACTACTCTTACATAACCATCATCAGTATGTTGATGCTTAATAACTTGCCTCTTATACACACAGCCACCAGTACACCTATTACCAGTATGTGACTAATAGTGTTGTTACTTACCAGGACTTTGGCGCTCCAAAGTGTAGGTAGTTGATGCTGTAGAGGTCCATGTCCTCGGTGTGCCAGGCGAAAGTGGTCTTCCACATGCCAAAGTACAGGTAGGGTGTGTTCACCCCCTCGATGGTGATGCCATTCTCATGCTCCACCGTGTCCAGGATGGTGTTCAGTTTGCCGATGTTCCAATCCGTCACATCCTGGAGAGAAAGATATATAGTGTAACTATCGTCGCTGGAGATGGTTATCTTCATCATCAGCAGCGCTGCAGTGAAACAAAACCACTGCAGCCTTCTAGATTGGTTGTGAATTTAAATTGTGGGTGCAACACATGATTCTGAGAGAAACACTTACAAGTAATCTACAAAACCGTCTACTTTACGTAATTTAGCAGACGCTCTTATCCAGAGCGACTTACAAATTGGTGCATTCACCTTATGATAGCCAGTGGGACAACCACCACTCTCATCAGCCAACATCCTTATAACCAGGAACATTAAAAACATGTCAACATTTAAAACACCATATAATAGTAAAACACACCCCTGGGGGGATTGGTAATGACTCACAGGGTCATAGAGTGTTCCGTTCACATCTGCACCATAGATGGGCGAGTTAAAGGTCACGTTCTTCCAGTACTTCCTCTCCAGCTCCTCAAAGTCGGCGTAGTGAGGACTGCAGAACCTATGATGGGGGGAATGAAACAAAGTTTTTAAATGAGTGCCTGTGAGCCAGAGCCTGTCAAAATCCCAAGAGATCTTGAGAAACACATGAATTACTAACATAAAGCAAATCATACAAACCCCCTGTTTAAAATCATGTTATTAACTTTGTTCTCTGTATAATTTCCTTAGTCAAATAGCATGTCCACAGAGTGACTTTTCCCAATCACAGACCAATTCACAATACAGTATAGCTCATTCATAGACTGTGTAATATGTTATGCAACTTTGTTACAGCTGTTACAGGTTTGGTGCAGTCAGACTCACTTGTCGCTGTTGGCCGTCTTGCGGAACTCTCGGACGGTCATGGGCTTCTTCTGGATGTTGTACTGGGTGAACAGGCCTGACTGGCCCGTAACTACCTGCTGGATGGGAGCCGGGATCACCAGATCATCTATATCATCATAGGACTTCCTGGGCTTCCAATCCTTTGGTGGCACGATCTGTAAAAACAGTCAGTTTTAGTATCACAAAGTTACAGTAAAGTATTTCACTCGCAAAAACTTGGGTCAGTTGTATAAACACATGTATTCATCATGTGTTTATTTCTGTGCATAGCTGCTTTCCCTAACTGGAGGCCTGGTAACGCAAATCAGAAAATAATCTTCACAAGGCAGAAGGGGTTGTGTCATGCTCACTTTAGCCAAGCCGGCTTTGTGTGCTCCCTGGGACTCCACGTAAGCGATGTAGCGGCTGAAGTTCTGGAACTCCTCAGCAGTGGGGTGAAAGGTCATGATCCCCTTAGAGCCAGGAGTCTGGGGCCCCGAATCGGACGCCATTCTAAATAGAAGGCCCTTCGGATCAGAATTAAACAGGTTTCAACATCACAAGAATTGTGACATTTTAACAACAGACAGTGATGATGCGTTAGGAAGCTAATACAAAGGACATCTATGCAAGGGGGGGGGGGGGGGACAGAATGTTGGTTCATGACTGGACAGTGTGACAGGTTTGTTTGGACACACCCAGTGAGACCTCACTGTTAGGCTACAGCGTGTTTACAAATTGTTGGTCGATTGTAAATAAGATAACAGAGTAGCTTTGTAAACAAGAGGATGAAACAGTTTGGTCGAAGTTGATTTTCTCCTTTGAACGTGCGACACACCTTCGACCAAAAGAAAAGCAGCAACCTGATTGGTCAAGAGCAGCGTCTATTTAAAGTTTGTTCGGCCTACCCTGAAGTGTAGCTAGTTAGCTAACTATCTTAGATAAGTAGCTAGTAGCTATCAACTTGTAGTTAGCAAATGTTTTAGCCGAATGTTATGCGTGCCATAACATAAACAAGCTAAATAATAACACGTCCATAAGAAATGAGAATGTATGCTAACTAAATACCTAGCTAGTTATTGTTAACTGAATGTCTGCATGATTCATGGATACCTAGCTAGCTAGTTACATGACAGCTAGTTAATAATATTTAGCAAATATCTAGCTAGCAAGCCATCTTATTGCTAACGTCTGCTAGCTAGCCATTGCCATTGTCAACGACGTATTCATGATAAACAATACAAATATGGCGTCAAATTACACCTTTAAAACAAGATAACTTACCAACACTATTAAATAGCTTCGGACGATAAATCTTGCGCAGTTGGTGACTTAATATCGATAGCTCTTAATTCCGATTTTACCCCTAAGAGGACTTGTCCTCCATTACTACCAGTACGCAAGCGCACGCTGGCATGTTTACCACCATACGCGTAGGATCAGACGTAGCCAATCAACGAATGATTTTGACGACGTGCACTATCTTCTTCTTCTTTGGTATCATGGCGTTCGCACAGTTGTTTGTGCATGCCGTCACCTACTGTGCGGGACAGTGTAGTCGATCAAGTTACATTTTGTGATATGAAAATAGAAAGGGGGAAAGTGAAAATATATTTTATATTTCAGATTCTTCAAAGTAGTCAACCTTTGCCTTGATGACAGCTTTGCACACTCTTGGCATTCTCTCAACCAGCTTCATGAGGTAGTCACCTGGAATGCATTTCAATTAACAGGCGCGCCTGTTTAAAAGTTAATTTGTGGAATTTCTTTCCTTTTTAATGCGTTTGAACGAATCAGTTGTGTTGAGACAAGGTAGGGGTGGTATACAGAAGATAGCCCTATTTGGGCGTGCCTGTTTAAAAGTTAATTTGTGGAATTTCTTTCCTTTTTAATGCGTTTGAACCAATCCGTTGTGTTGTGACAAGGTAGGGGTGGTATACAGAAGATAGCCCTATTTGGTAAAAGACCAAGTCCATATTATGGCAAGAACAGCCCAAATAAGCAAAGAGAAACGACAGTCCATCATTACTTTAAGACATGAAGGTCAGTCAATCTGGAAAATGTCAAGAACACTGAAGTGTTGTCGCAAAAACCATCAAGCGCTATGATGAAACTGGCTCTCATGAGGACCGCCACAGGATAAGTTAATTAGAGTTACCAGCCTCAGAAAGTGCAGCCCAAATAAATGCTTCACAGAGTTCAAGTAACAGACATATCTCAACATCAACTGTTCAGAGGAGACTGCGTGAATCAGGCCTTCATGGTCGAATTGCCGCAAAAAAAACACTACTAAAGGACACCAATAAGAAGAAGAGAAACACGAGCAATGGACATTAGACCGGTCGAAATCTGTCCTTTGGTCTGATGAGTCCAAATTTGAGATGTTTGGTTCCTACCGCCGTGTCTGTGAGACGCAGAGTAGGTGAACGGATTATCTCTGCATGTGTGGTTCCCACCGTGAAGCATGGAGGAGGAGGTGTGATGGTGTGGGGGTGCTTTGCTGGTGACACTGTCTGTGATTTATTTAGAATTCAAGGCACACTTAACCAGCATGGCTACCACAGCATTCTGCAGCGATACACCATCCCATCTGGTTTGGGCTTAGTGGGACTATCATTTGTTGTTCAACAGGACAATGACCAAACACACCTCCCGGCTGTGTAAGGGCTATTTTACCAAGAAGGAGAGTGATGGAGTGCTGCATCAGATGACCTGGCCTCCACAATCACCCGACCTCAACCCAATTGAGATGGTTTGGGATGAGTTGGACCACAGAGTGAAGGAAAAGCAGCCAACAAGTGCTCCGCATATGTTGGAACTCCTTCAAGGCTGTTGGAAAAGCATTCCAGGTGAAGCTGGTTGAGAGAATGTGCAAAGCTGTCATCAAGGCAAAGGGTGGCTACTTTGAAGAATCTAAAAAACAACATATATTTTGATTTGTTTAACACTTTTTGGGTTACTACATGATTCCATATGTGTTACTTCATAGTTTTGATGTCTTCACTATTATTTTACATTACGTCATTTTAGCAGACGCTCTTATCCAGAGCAACTTACAGTTAGTGAGGGCATACATTTTTTATTTTAATACTGGCCCCCCGTGGGAATCGAACCCACAACCCTGGCGTTGCAAACACCATGCTCTACCAACTGAGCTACATCCCTGCCGGCCATTCCCTACCCTGGATGACGCTTGGCCAATTGTGCGCCGCCCCATGGGTCTCCCGGTCGTAGCCGGCTACGACAGAGCCTGGATTCGAACCAGGATCTCTAGTGGCACAGCTAGCACTGCGATGCAGTGCCTTAGACCACTGCGCCACTTGGGAGTGGTCATTATTCTACAATGTAGAAAATAGTAGAAATAAAGAAAAACCCTTGAATGAGTAGGTGTGTCCAAACTTTTGACTGGTACTATATATATATATATATATATATATATATATATATATATATATATATATATATATATATATATATATATAGTAGTGGAAATTCTAATTAAAGAGTAGATACAAGGTCAATCACCAATCAGGATATTACTTTATTCAAAACGTATTAATAAGGGAGCAGGTCACACCACACATACAAATTAATAGAGTGAGTGCTCTGCAATAATGAGGCTGGTCGACCCCACACTCTCGAGTGTTGGGCCGAGAGCTCTGACATACAGAGATAAACAGAGGTCTTATATAGTAGACCTATAAATGCTTAGTCATGGCTGGTTCCACCACAACTGTCTCAATGTGTCGAACCAACAGGTATCTACTGGATGAGGTGGCCAAATATTCTGAGTCCTCTGTGTTCTCATGCGAGTACTAAGAACTGTTTGTTCTTAGCATAGAGGATAAGGAGAGACTTCGTTTGGAACAGAGATACCTTGTATCCGAACATGCAAGTTTCAGAGCACAGAGGGTGGAGGCAAGAACACGAGATGTGCACAGCCGTGGCGGATCAGGTACAGAGTTATGTCAAAACAGCAACTTACACAACCAGAGCAACAGGACTGTGCACACCCATCATTTATATTAACCTTAAAGTAATGCTAATACAATTTTTTTCTCTCACAACATACAAACTGAGTATGCAAGACATTAGGAACACCTGCTCTTTCCATTACATAGACTGACCAGGTGAATCCAGGTGAAAGATATGATCCCTTTTTGACATCACTTCAATCCGTGTAGATGAAGGGGAGGAGACAGGTTAAAGAAGGATTTTTAAGCCTTGAGACAATTGAGACATGGATTGTGTATGTGGGCCATTTGTAGATTTAAGTGCCTTTGAACGAGGTATGGTAGTAGGGGCCAGGTTCACCAGTTGAAGTGTGTCAAGAACTACAACGCTGCTGAGTTTTTCACGCTCAACAGTTTCCCATGTGTATCAAGAATGGTCCACCACCCAAAGGACATCCAGCCAACTTGACACGACTGTGGGAAGCATTGGAGTTAACATGGTCACCTTTCGACACCTTCCCGACGAATTGAGGCTGTTCTGAGGGCAAAAGGGGGTGAAAGTGTTCCTAATGTTTTGTACACTCAGTGTATATACAAACAAGGAATAAATCATTTATCAAAATAAACACTACCCTATTCCACTAGACGTGCAATATCTAACCTAACGTAGCAGACGTAGAAAGAAACACCTGAGCGGAGTTCCCACAACCGGTTTTCAGCGGAAAAGGAAGCTAGGTTGAATTAGCTGTATCCCTGAAAACCGGATGCATCAGGCTGTTGGCAACTCCGCCAAGGGTGTGTGCAATATCAGCCAATATTTGGTAATTTTGTCCAAATAAATTAGATTATACCACTAAAAAATATACACAGTGCCTTCAGAAAGTATTTATACCCTTGACTTATTCCACATTTTGTTCTGTTTCAGCCTGAATTCAAAATGGATTAAATATATATTTTTCTCACCCATCTACACACAGTACCCCATAATGACAAAGTGAAAATATGTTTTTATACATTTTTGCAAACATATTGAAAATTAAATACAGAAATATATAATTTACTTAAGTATTCACCCCACTGAGTCAATACTTTGTAGAAGCACTTTTGGCAGCGATTACAGCTGTGAGTCTTTCTGGGTAAGTCTCTAAGAGCGTTCCACACCTGGATTGTGCAACATTTGCCCATTATTATTTTCAGAATTCTTCAAGCTCTGTCAAATTGGTTGTTAATCATTGCTAGACAACCATTTTCAGGTCTTGCCATGGATTTTCAAGTAGATTTAAGTCAAAACTGTAACTCGGCCACTCAGGAACATTCACTGTCTTCTTGGTAAGCAATTTTGGCTGTGCTTAGCTCCATTCCGTTTCTTTTTTATCCTAAAAAACTCCCCAGTCCTTAATAATTACAAGCATACCCATGACATGATGCAGCCACCACTATACTTGAAAAGATGTGGAGTGATACTCAGTAATGTGTTGTATTGGATTTGCCCCAAACATAACACTTTGTATTCAGGCCAAAAATGGAATTGCTTTCCCCAACATAATTCACTTTTACTTTAGTTGCAAAGAGGATGCATGTTTTGTACAGGCTTCATTCTTTTAACTCTGTCAATTACGATAGTATTGTAGAGTAACTACAATGTTGCTGATCCATCCTTTTTTGGGGAAAACCTCCCTGGTCTGTGTGGTTGAATCAGCGTTTGAAATTCACTGCTCGACTGAGTGACCTTACAGATAATTGTATGTGTGGGGAACAGAGATGATGTAGTCATTCAAAAATCATGTTAAACACTATTATTGCACACAGAGTAAGTCGATGCAACTTATTATGTGACTTGTTAAGCACATTTTCACTCCTGAACTTATTTAGGCTTGCCATAACAAAGGGGTTGAGTACTTATTGACTCAAGACATTTCAGCTTTTCATTTTTTATTAATTTGTAAACATTTCTAAAAACATAATTCCTCTTTGACATTATGGGGTACTGTGTGTAGGCCAGTGACAAAATAATCTCAATTTACTTCACTGTACTGGAAGCGGTTTGAGGACATCCACTCTCCCACGATGGACTCAGACATACTGAATATAGAGGAGATAGTGATGGGGAAGGGGCCACCGGATCCCCCCTGCAGAACTGACCACTGAGAAACCAGCGGAACCCTACAAACCCATTTCCTCCTTCAAAGCACCGCCCCCACCCACCATACAACCATACCAGCATGAGAACCTGCAGTGTTTCCAGTGCTTCATCACATTCTGTAACTCCAAAGCCAAGGAGAGGCACATGAAGAAGAGCCATCGCGAGGAGTACAAGCAGCAGCTCCAGCAGGGAGATACTCTGTTCACCTGTTATGTGTGTGACCGGACCTTTCCGTCCTCGGAGGAGCTGACCCAGCACCAGGGCTCACACAACAAGGAGGACAAGCCCTTCAAGTGTCCCCACTGCCAGGAGAGCTTCCGCACCTTCTCTGAGCTGACGACCCACAGGAGACAGGTCTGTCCAGAGAGGCAGTTTGTATGTAAGGACTGCAGTGAGACCTTCCGCAGCCCTGCCCTCCTTCGTACCCACCGCCTGGCCCAGCACCCCCGTCCAGAGGCAGAGGTGGAAGAGCCAGATGACCCTACCAAGACGCACCGCTGTGGGAAGTGCAACCGGGGCTTCGAAACGGAGTCTGAGCTAATAATGCACCAGGAGAACCACGCCGGTGACCAGCACTGCAACGGCGGCGCCTCGCCAGCCAAGAAGCGCGGACGGCCCATTAAAGCAGAGGACACAGCGGTCGGAGAGAAGAAAGGGAAGAGGAGGAAGAAGAAGGAAGAGGGGACAGAGGAGGCTGAGACTGGAAACAATGCAGAGGAGGCTGCAGCAGCTCCGGCTGAGACCAAGGGGAAAGCAGCAGCCGGCGGCAGACGGGGTCGTCCTAAAGCAACAGCAGGCGAGGAGGCCAGAGAAGACGACATTGAAGTCCCAGCAGAGGAGAAGAAACCCAAGGCGGCTCCCGCTCCACCCAAGCAGCACCCCTGCCCTGAGTGTGAGCTCACGTTCCATGCCCTGGCCCAGCTCCGCGCCCACAAGAAGGAAAAGCACACCCCACGTAAGGCCCACCCCTGCGAGGAGTGTGAGGAGAGCTTTGCCCGTGCCGAGCAGCTAGAAGCCCACAAGAACCGGGCACACACCAAGGGGCGTTACGCCTGCCCTACCTGTGGCAAGAGCTTTGGCCGAGAGAGCAACCTGAAGGCCCATCAGCAGAGCAGCCACCCGGAGGAGGAGGAGAAAGAGGCAGCGGGCCGCAGCAAGAGATAATTCAGAATGGGGAAGGGGGGGTTTTCTGTAAAGGGATTGGGGAGGGGACGAAGAATCAGAGAGGGATTTTAAAGAATTAGAATTTGGTCAAGGGTTTTTGTTGGTTTGAGGTTGGGTGTGAAATTTAGATCATGAGTTTGGAGTGTTTTTAGAATGTGAGAAAGACGGGTGAGGAATTTCTTGCAGGATTTTTAACAGGTGAGCTGAGATGTCCCACTGATTGTTCAGCATTTGCCATTTTTGGGTTGTGTTAGGATGTTCAAGGCACACATCACGCTTGGAATGACTGACCTACTAACCAAAAGATGTAAGCCGTTGTTAAACCCATCTGTCATACACCTGTGTCTTATCTGGACTAAGAACAACAGCAATTAGTTTTGGGCATCATGTTTGTTCCCTCATTTTTGTTTTGATTAATATCTTTTAAATGATTATCATGATAATTGAGTGTTACTGTTTTACATTTTTTTAGAGGTGTTTGTGTGAAAGAGTGTGTGTATAATGGCTTTCATGCTGTCTGACACATGGCGCTTTTCTTGTTTGTTTTATGATTTTTATATTGCTAAGTAAGTGTTCTGTAGTAGCAGATGAAATGCAACCACTGTGCATTTTATAAAACCTGTTGAGGATATTTACTATTTGAAAGAGATTTTTGTGAAAAGTAAACATGGATTGGAATGTTTGGGAGTTGCAATTTCTAAGAGACATTATGTTTCTATTTATATATGGTTTCTGGTTCATGTAGTGGTGCATTGTCATGCCAAACTGTTTCTATTGTGATTAACTTCTAGGTTGTGCTGCTATTGTTAAATTCACAGAGTAAATGTATGAAGGTGTGAAGGTGTATTTCTCCACTAGGTTGGTTTCGTTTAGGCCCAATGGTTCTTTGGTGTCATGCATAGATTTTCACGTCATCCTAAACAATGGTTGTAATGTAGACTGTAGAGAGCCATTGGGCCTAAACGAGGCTAACTTGGTGGAGAGATACATTTTGATATTTTTATGCTCTGTGCATTTAACGATAGCGGTGTAATTTGGAAGTTAATCATAATTGAAACAGTACTCCCGAATCCAGGCTCTGTTGTAGCCGGCCGCGACCGGGAGACCCATGGGGCGGCGCACAATTGGCCCAGCGTCGTCCAGGGTAAATCCATTTCAAATGCAGGTGTAAGTAACACAACAAAATGTGGAAAAAGTCAAGGGGTGTGAATACTTTCTGAAGGCACTGTAAGAGAGACTTGGTTAAAACTAGATTATCGTTGGTTGATGCATGATCACTGACAACGATGAGACAGCCTATAGGGAGGAGGTCAGATACCTGCCAGTGTGGTGCCAGGACAACAACCTCTCCCTCAACGTGAGCAAGACAAAGGAGCTGATCGTGGACTACAGGAAAAGGAGGGCCGAACCCATTCATATCGACGGGGCTGTAGTGGAGTGGGTCGAGAGCTTCAAGTTCCTTGGTGTCCACATCACCAACAAACTATCACGATCCAAACACACCAAGACCGTCGTGAAGAGGGCAAGACAACGCCTATTCCCCCTCAGGAGACTGAAAAGATTGGGCATGCATGGGTCCCCAGATCCTCAAAAAGTTATACAGCTGCACCATCGAGAGCATCCTGACTGGTTGCATCACCGCCTGGTATGGCAACTGCTCGGCATCCGACCATGAGGCGCTACATAGGGTAGTGTGTACGGCCCAGTAAATGACTAGGGCCTAGCTTCCTGCCATCCAGTACCTCTATACCAGGCAGTGTCAGAGGAATGACCAAAAAATGGTCAAAGACTCCAGTCACCCAAGTCATAGACTGTTCTCTTTGCTACCGCACGGCAAGCGGTACCAGAGCTCCAAGTCTAGGTCCAAAAGGCTTCTTAACAGCTTCCAACCCCAAGCCATAAGACTGCTGAACAATTAATCAAATGGCCACCTGGACTATTTGCATTGACCCCCCCCCCCCCCCCCCACCTACATGTACAAATTACCTCAATTACCTCGACTAACCTGTACCCCCGCACATTGACTCGGTACCAGTACCCCCTGTATATAGCCTCGTTATTGTTATTGTATTGTGTTACTTTATTTTTTTTTAACTTACGTTTATTTAGTAAATATTTTCTTAATTCTATTTTCTTAAAACTGCATTGTTGGTTAAGGGCTTGTAAGTAAGCATTTCACGGTAAGGTCTACACTTGTTGTATTTAGCGCATGACAAATACAATTTGATTTGATATGATTTGATTTGGTGGCATCTTTCTGTGAGGAGGTGAAAAGGCTTGTCTCTTATGATGGACAAGGAAGTCCCCTTTACGCTATATGATGGGGCAAAAGAATGAACATTGAGGCCACCATAGTCAAACATTTGATGATATAAGATAGCCTAACAGGGGCGGCCCCCCCAGGCCTCAGAGCCAGTAATGTGCACTCAAAGCCATGGTTACTTTTGTCTGTCACAATAAAATTGTCCTAATTCATTCCTTCATGCATTCATTCATTCACATTCATTATTTTTCATGCATTTATTTCCATTCATTCACAGAACAAAAACAACCATATAATGTAAACATTTTTTTTATTTCATGCCAGTAAAGGCACATTCATACACTCAATTGAACAGTTCGATATATCTGATTTTTATATGCACCTACATTCAGGCAGTGCATGAGTTCTGATGTCTATGAATAAATGCATTAATGACATTTATACATTTTGAACCACAAATGATAGCACACTGGATAGGACCGTTTTAAAAATACATTTAGCGGAGGAAGCAAATGTGTGCCCTGCAGTCCATATAGCTGTCGGAACAATCTATACAGTGCATTAGCAGACTGCATCAGCAGCACTTCATGGTATTTTAGACAGTCTACATGAATACATCTTCTTTTCAACAGCTAGGTCAAACTCATTGGTTCCTCATCCTACTTGTTTCCATTACTTATGCATTATCTTTCTCTACAGTTCATAACTCATCTCGTTTCAAATTGCATAATCATCTCGCATCCTTTCTCAGAATAATGCATATGCACTAAGCAGTGTGCAGCAGTCGGAGACATCGAACCAGATAATTGTGTTACTGTGCTTCATACTTCTTAGTCACAGATTAATGACACACTCTCATTATGAGACAAGAAAACGTTCACAAATGAGAAACCTGAAAACATATGTCCTTTAGGTTATAATCATGGATGACCTTTGACATTGCAAGCACAAACAGATTGACTGGAGGGCAGTGGAGGAAAATGCTTTGCTTTACTATCTGGTAGACAGAAGAACAACATCATTCTTAATGTTGTTACATCAAATTCAGAGGCAAAATTAGTTGCACTATTGGAAGTTGAATAACTAGCATCAGTATTTCAAAATAATTGTTATAGAATACTCTTACATTATTTGGATTGCCTATCACTAAAGCTTTGGTCCAACTTCTCCTCTGTCCATAATGCCGCTTAGATTATACTCTCAGAGGACAGTGGAGGTTTTTGGATTTCTCGACTGTCAAAGCATGTTGACAAGAAAATTCTGACATATCTTAAAAGCCTGTTCATGCAGCAACTTCAAATGGTCCAGTTAGGTTAGATAGTTCATGACGTAGACACACAGTAAGCATAGGGTTCTAAATGCATCATATCGGACAACACGGCAAAATACTCCACTCCATGTTGTGCATCAATTAATCATTATGTTTCAAAAACGAACCTGTACCCAAGCATGAATGAATGCACAGTGTACGACAAGGTTGACAGATACTGACTGTAACTGACAGATATTTAGTTTGCTCAAGGATATGTTTTAACATCTTTACTTTGGCTTGATAATATTTTATGAGGTTGTTGAACTTGTATGGCCCATTTGTTTAGGTGTGTGGTGTATGTCTTGTAGTACTTATTGCATGTATATTTGCCATAACAATTACCAATCCATTCACCACTTCCATCCAGTCAACACTTTAGTCTATAACCTGCTCAGTAGGGGATGATTACAATGATGACCTCATGCAAACTGGATCGCAATGTGGCATGAGCAATCTTACTCCCATAATACACCACAGCCACTCATTGACTTGTATTGTCTGGATAGTTTCACAGTTTTCCAAGTTCATTATTTTCCCCTTTGAAGTGAATCCATAATATGGACCCAGTTTTATAAGATCATCATTTCATCAGGACACCAATCAGCAGTGATATATTACTCACAAGATAATGGATGATAGGTAGCAAGGCGATCCACACACCACTTAATGATCATGCCCTCCTCACTTCAGTTCATAATAACCCACTCACCAACCGAGTTTGGTACTTGAGAGAATTACGAATGGATATTTTGTTTTAATAACATCCTCTGGACCCGAGGTCTGTCTGATTACATACACCACATGATGAAGCACAGACAGCTGTCAAAGGGGAAACAGAAACACGCATCTCTGTCGTTGCATCAGATTCCTCTTCCTTCCATCCTTTCCTTTCTTCTTGCCACAGTGCTAAGTCCTATTCAAATGCCAACTCTAGCTTGGAGCACCAGTTGCCTCCCCTCCACTTCCACAACAAACTCCGGCCCTGTTAATAACAGCTCTCAGCCTGCGAGCAGCCTTAAGACCATGTGCCACCTGCCAAAGACAGGCCCTCGGATTGGGTTTGCTCATGTAAAATGAGACTCTCTATTGGTTATTTGTCCATGGGCTTGTTTGGTTTTGGTGTCTGGGCGACAACACCATTGACTATAACAGTCTTGTCAGGATCAGTCTTGGCTGCGTTCTTTTTGGACATGTCAGGCTCCCATAGGAAAAACTCGTGCAGGAGGGTGTTGACTGTGTCAGGGCACTCCATCATCACCATGTGACTGCCCTCCTCGATGACTTTCAGGAAAGCAAACAGCAGGATCTGAAATTAAAAGGATAATAGTTACAATCAAGACACATAACATTTTTACAATATGATATTAGTCATTGAATATGACGGGCTTGTTATATGATAGGGACTGTCCATAATTCATATAATAATTTAATTTAATTCCTCTTTCATAACAACTTCAAAAGCAATTGATATAATTGACCTGTTATATATGGGTAGTAGAGCTGCCTGACTCAACATGGATTGGTTTTCATTCATTTATGTCTCCTTACCTCTGCCATGCGTTGGTCCTCATCAATAGGCACAAACTTGTCGTACATGCCGTGCACCAACAGGATGGGCACGGTAAGCTCAGCGTGGTACACCTCGTCCCCCTCGGGCCAGTACTGACCGCTCATCATGGCACGCAGCACGAACGGATTCACGTTGAAGGCATTGCCCTGCTTCAGCAGCTGCTTCTCTTTGGCTCCCTGATGGGCAAACCCAGCCCTGAACATGTTGGAAAGACTCATAGCCATCAGTATTACTTGACATTCTAAATAATGTGTTACAGTAAATTCCTCTTCCTCTTTGTATGCAGTAGTAGCTAAGCATTGACAGTGTACACTACAGTATACTTTCTGTATGAAGAGTGTCTTAGTTTTGTTTTGTCTACAGCGATAGGTTGTTGTTCTATTTGTAAAGCGATGTGTTGTTATTTTCTCTACAAATGTTATTTTGTCTGGCAATGTGTTTTGGCTTTGTCTGCACTTCAATATTGTTTTGTCAACAAATAGATGAGATGATTTCCTTACTTGAGAAAGCTCCAGGCCAGGAAAGGGGACAGGCAGTGCAGAACACAGGAAGGAAGCTGGAAGATGGAACAGAGGCTGGGCTCCAGAGCTGTAGGCCCTCCTCCATTGATCATCACTACCTTGTGAACCTGGTCTGGATACTCATGGGCCAGGAAGGTACAGAACGATACCCTGAAAAGGGATATAATCAAACGTGTAAAAACAATGTCTTGGGAACCTGCTGTCTAATTGGTCCCTTCATCATCACAACGTCATAACCCTGCCCTCTGATTGGTCCCTTCATCATGACATCGTCATAATCCTGCCCTCTGATTGGTCCCTTCATCATGACATCGTCATAACCCTGTTCTTTGATTGGTCCCTTCGTCATGACATCATCATAACCCTGCTCTCTAATTGGTCCCTTCATTGTGACATCGTCATAACGCTGCTCTCTGATTGGTTCTTCTTCATCAGACATTGTCATTACCAGTTTATGATGTGTTTCAGGGCATGTTCAAATACTGTTATTCATTTACTGTTATAAACTGGGTGGTTCAAGACCTGAATGCTGATTGGCTGACAGCTGTGGTATATCAAGCATACTTACCCATAGGAGTGCCCAATGAGGATGTTGCGTTTACGGGCGTATCTCTTGAAGATGGCACGCATGTCTTCGGCCAGGGCGTAGAAGGTGTAGGCCGCCGCGATGTGGGGGGCCGTGCTGGCCCCGTGGCCCGCCAGGTCAGGGGCGATGACCTCATACCCCAGCCGCGAGAAGAAGTCCAGCTGGCTGCCCCAGATGTCCAGCGAGCCGCCTACCCCGTGCACGAAAAAGAGCGCCACGTCCGAGTGCGTCCCCTTGCAGCTGGAGATCTCCCTCTCCGAGTCAATCATCACCATGCGCTTGGGCTTGCGGCGGCGCCGGCGAGGCGGGGGCGCGGGTTTCTGCTCCCCAACCATGGACAGGAGAGGCACGGGTTTGGGTTCAGGAGAGGTGGGTACTTCCTTATAGTCGGCCAGTTCCACCTCCACGGTGCTGCAGGGCTCCATGTCTCCATCCTGGCACTGGACAATCTCAGAGTGCAGCACGTCACCCAGGTTCTCAATGACTAGCTGGCCGTTGCGGTAGACAGTGATCTTGCGCTTGCAGTGCACACTGCTGCTGCTGTTGCTGTTTCCACTGCCCTTCTCCTGCTCTGGCTCCTTTACCTGGTCCTCCTCCGTCACTACTGGCGCCAGGCGCTCGGGCATGATGTGGTGAACCCTGAGGACTCTCCCAGGCTTCACCTCCACAAACTCGAAGGTGTCAGCTGGCTCGGAAGACTCGACGGGCATCACCAGGCTGGCAGCCTTCCCAGTCAGACAGCACAGGATCCCATCTGTAATGCTGGTCAGCATGGTGCCTGCCTGCAGAGACAAACATCCATGAGGAATGCCAATGAGCTGAAAATATGACATTTTCAAACGGATAGGTAGTAAGTACTGTGGTAAGAACATGAGCTAACCACAGGAGGCTGGTGGCACCTCAATTGGGGAGAAACGGTCTCGTGGTAATGGCTGGAACGGAATAGGTGGAATGGTATCAAATACATCAAACATGGTTTCCATGTGTTAGATGCTCCGTTCCAGCCATTATTATGAGCCGTCCTCCCCTCAGCAGCCTCCACTGGAGGTAACATAATCTGAGTGGTGACAAAGTCTCTAATTATAATTTACTGTATATACACAACAAACATAGTATAACAACCTAAAAGGGAGCTGTCCTCCCCTCAGCACCCTCCACTGGTCAAAACACATAATAGGAAGGATCTGGTAGGCTTAACAGACAACAAAGATCATTGAGCTAAAAGATCCCACTGGAAACTACAAAACAGTTGTTTGTACATGGCATTTGCTCCATGATAAACACCCTAGGTTTTCTCAATCATTAAGCTTTCAATTTAAAAAAGCACCGTCTTAAATGACCAGCTTAACATTGGGTTCAAAGTCAGTCCATAGATAACAGTAAAAACAATACCCACTTCGTACTGAGCCTCAGTGTGGAGAAGCAGAATCAATTCACATAATGACCTAGACACAAACTAAGAATAGACAAGGCTCTTCCAAAATGGCTCCTGGACCCTAGGGTATAAATAGAACGTTAGCAATGGCACAGCTGGGTTCATGCCAACTGCTTACTGACTGTATTTATTACATGTGCCAATGGTGTTTGGTTTTCAGTACACCAGCAGACGACGATTTCCGAAGACGGTTATGTCCAATCATGGCTCAAGAGGTTTTTGGCAGTCAGGTATTGGGAGTATTTTATGTCACACTGTTTAAATACAGACACACAGATGATCAACGGTAAGCAGAACGGAAGTGGCATATCTACAATATGTGCTGGAACTTGGATCCAGATTTCATTGTTTCCTATGTACAGTAACTGTGTCTCTGCTAACTAAACAGAATTTAAACTGCTGGTCTATCGTTCAATTATCTTATGTAAAGCTGGAGTTTATGATCTATTTATGCTTACAAATTATGATGCCATGCAATACATTTGATTGAATTGCATTTCCAGTCAATAACGTTCACTGATATTATTAAATCATGCTCATAGCTACTGTCAGTGAGGTCTGGGGAAAGCTGACACAGCTATTTTCAATTCTCAGAAAAGTGTAGCCTACACAGCAGGGAGGCTTCTCTAATGATGAGTTTGTACAAACCCTTCCTATAAAAGCTGACCTGACACACTGGCTTTAATCAACATATATATTTCTCTCCTGTTATTCACACCAAAGTCACACCATTGACTTATATAAATGTCAAGCCACAAACACAAACACGCACGCACACACACACACACACACACACACACACACAATAATAATGGCAGAGCTCTGAGGGGAAGGGTGAAACTATGACTCAAGTTCCCCCTTCTCTCACTCACTACCCACCTCCAATCACCTTCAATCCCGGATTCATATTCTAGCTTTATACATGATATATTCACAATAAGGGGAGATGTGTGTAAATGATTAATACCCGCTGGTGCATTCATTGTTCTATCTCTTTACTATTACATGGAATTGAAATGTCCATCTGTGTAACGCTTGCTATTAAAATGCTGAATAGGAGCAGCTAAAACTGCTGTGTACGTATATTCCAATTCCCGACCCAGATGTGTATGCTAATCACTGACGCTGACCTAGCGAACTTTATTAAGAAAATGAGGTGCACTGGGAAATGAGAGACTTCTTTTGCCAAAGACATGTTTTGTTAAGCTTAACGATTTTGAAAGTGCAGGTTTGGCGAAGGCAAGTTAATGAAGTTTGGTTTAATATACAGATGGGACATCAGAAAGCAGGTAATGGGGAGAGAGGAGGGGCCATTGATCCTGGTAAATGATGCCTCTGCATGAGGTGCAGCTTATTGCTCACTCTATCCCTGCCTCCACACACACAGGGGAGTGCATTATCGTATTGAAATGGCACACACAATGTTTGGCTGAGGGGGAGAGGGATGGAGAGAGTGAGTGAGATGAGAGAGAGTGAAGGAGAGGGCAGATGGGTAAGGAGAGGGAAGCAGGGACGGAGAAGGTGCGAGAAAGAAGGAAGGAGAGAGAAATTGAGTGAAATTGAGTGAGAAAGAGAGAGATAATTTATTGAGTGTTGTGAAGGTCGGTGCATCCTGTACTATCCTGTTTCTTCCAGGAGTCAAGTGAATGTTGTGATTGCCTTTCCTTGGTGGATCAAAATGGTGAGCCGCTAGGAGCAGTGAGTGCGTCATTAATCATATGAACAACTGCTACCATCACAACATTCAATAGACACATCTAAATGTGTATATATTTAACATGATGGCCTCTAAATCATTGCATTTTTGTTTAGGGTTCAGGATACTGGATAATATGTGTGTTAGCACTATGAAAGCCATGACATACAGGCATATACTGTATCTCCCTTATGTAATAACATATCATATTGAGGTTATTATATCATCTGATCGTATCAGGCATGATACAAGACTGACCAGAAAGTATGTTGGAGGTGGACTTCCCTCCAGGCGATAAGGTGGCCACCCTTGCAATAAACCTGCGCATGACTGATAAACTGGGAAGAGACTTGCGCTACACTCGTGTGAACACTCTATCCGCACATGGGAGCGCACTAAACAACGCACCGTGGTTCGCTCAAAAAGGGTATACTCGGTCCGATTCAATTCGTACCGTGGTGCGGTTCGCTGCAGGTGAGAACGCAGTCCGGACCAAACACAGGAAAATAACCAGAGTCGCGCATTGTTATTGTTTGTTTGACTGCGAGCATTTAATGAAATACACGCAGCATCATAACCTGAGATCTCTGAAACGTTCTGTGAGTAGCAGCGCATTTAAGAGCGCATCCGATGCAGATTAGGGGATACCGGGGCTATACCAGGGAAATAGGATACTGAATATAGCGGTTTCACGTCGCAGTGCTGTTTCCTCCCGTCAGACCAAAGCGAAAGTAATATGAAGATTGGGACAAGAGATGCTTCATGGTAATCATAAACGGTTTTAACGTGAGCATTTTTGTCTAATAAACAGATGACTTGCATGGACACGCGGTTTTGTTTAGGAATGTTAGTTCGTTTACATTTGGCAATGTGAAACCAACCGGACCAAATGATAAAAAATACAAATGATAATAACAATAGTCGAACTCTGAATCGAACTACAGCTCAAACCTATGAGTGAAAACGACCTTAAATGCAAAGGACCATCCGACTCAACGTTCCCTGACACTTAATCCCACGTATTAAGGTCGAACGTTAATGTGAGATTTGAATATGAATTCTCGAGCATGGCGCTTGCAACGCCAGGGTTTTGGGTTCGATTCCCATAGGGGCCCAGTACGAAAAAAGTACGAAAATGTATGCACTCACTACTGTAAATCGCTCTGCATAAGAGCGTCTTGCTAATTGACTAAAATGTAAATGAAGGAGTTTCCAAGTGGACTGCCTCTAAATTCTCTCACCCATGTTACTCAGCCATTTTACTATTTGATCTGCAATGCAGAATTAGGTTGATTATTCAAGCGACATGTTTAACACACATTTGGTACACTATGTGCTCTAGTGTTCCACCAACACTCTAGGCCTACAAGTAGCCTGATACATTCTGATGCATATGTACAGTATTCAAAATACCCGGTTTGGAGGACCATTGAATCTACGATTACAATAATGTATCAAGTCATGTAAAGAAATGCAAATGTGCAATTTATAACTAGTTATGTTAGTACTACCTATAAACACATAATGAACCATTGAGCGCAGTCAAATTCAGGTAATCCAATTGAGCATGCGATAATTATTTTTTCAACTATTTTTTCATAACTGTTATGAAAGATTTAACCATTTGCCAAATTGCCACTACAGTAGCCTATATATATGGTAAGTGGACCATGAGCTAGATACAGTATATGCCAACAACATAAATCAATATTGAGTGGATGTGTTGCGCATTAATGCATCATGATTGACATCTATTTATCTGAATTCCCATTATGAAACTGTTTCAGATATGGTATCAATATGAAACTACATATAGTAATACCGTTTACTGGTGCATATGCCTATTTAAATTCTTACCTTACTGATGATGATTAAGGATTATGAGAAATATGATGCTCCTCTCCCATAGGACGATAGTCAATAGGTTGTTTATAATTAACTGCAGCTGAAAAATCTGTTGCATTGGTTGCAATATTAGTATAATTCAAAAGCAACCTGCATGCTGGAGAAGTTGATAATTGGCTTTATCTACAGATGGTTTACATCTTACTAATCAAACCAATGGAATAAGGCTTTACATCGAAGTAATGCACACTAGGAAGGTGTGCCAATTGCAATTTTAAAATGACCATAGTAATGACAGATAGCAATGCTTTTTCGATCAGCATCCTTCGGCGCTGCGCACACGGGCGAGATTCTACCAACCCTTTTGTCCTTGTTGTTTTCCGCATCCACGGAATTCTCCTCTCAGCTTCCTTCTGCTTTTGAATGACAAGAAATATAGCGAATAGGCTACAAACATTGGTTCTACTAAAGCCAATAGGATGTCTTGTATTCCTGTTGCTAAGGCCGGGTGGGGAAATGATCAACTCAGAGATTCCCATGCCATAGGTGTGTGTGTGTGTGTGTGTGTGTGTGTGTGTGTGTGTGTTGATAATTATATAAGTAAATGTGACATGTGGCTAGATGGGTGAATGAATGGATGAACCCATACAGATCAAATAGAAATGTAGAACAAATGTGGAATGTAAAAGATATGAGTGAGATGAGCAGAATCAACACTGCAGCATCTGGGACTCTACATGACTCCTTCATCTGTCTGGTCAACCAGATCATTGGCCAGGTCCTTGATAAGGCAGCTATTCAAATTCTTCTAGAGGAGCTAAACCTCTCCAACACAGATAACATTTGTGGGGTTCCCTCCATCTCCTCCAGAGAGCTGCCAGTGAGTTCTGTGGCCCCTCAGGATGGCACACTGCATGTCAGTGATGAGGCGCTGACCACCTAGAACACTACGCTCCATCAAGGGGAGTCCTTCTACATCTGCATTGCTTGCTGTTTGGGGTTTTAGGCTGGGTTTCTGTATAGCACTTTGTGACATCTGCTGATGTAAAAAGGGCTTTATAAATAAAATGTGATTGATTGATTGATTGACTGTAGCAGCCTGCAGCCTTCTCCAAGAGGACACAGAGGAATCAGAGAAATAACTGTCCTCCACCAGCCTCTCCACTGCTACAGGTGGAATTGCATTATTCTTCCTGTTCCAAGGCAGAAATTGTCCATAAAATACATTTAAGAGAATTAGAAAAGCACCTGCATGTCAAGCTGGTGCTGGGGGTCATGAAAAAGGTTGCCTACAACCCCCTGAAGTTTCACACCTTAATTATCATCTGAATTGTCAAAGACATTTACATTTTACATTTACGTAATTTAGCAGACGCATATAAAGTTGTATTTAATTTAGCATAAAAAGCACAAAACAACTACACTCCCACGTGTGTAATACAATCATATTCGAATCTCTGGCTATAGGCTAGAACAGGCTATAGAAAATATGTCACTATGAGTAAAATATCGAAATATATGGTGGTAAAAAAAAAAATATATATATATATATATCTGTTGTAATATGTTTATGAAATAGATAAAAAATAAAAATAAATTACACTCAAATACAAATACTAAAATACCAATGTACTTGTCTAAAATGTTGTCTATCTCCAGACTTTTTTGCCTCTGCGGCTGATGCCATGAAGTGGATTATCTCAATTTCAAACCAACATCTTTGCGTTCAAACGCTTGTGACTAGCACTTCGATTGGATGAAAAACGATAGCCAATCGTAGCTCTGAATGGAACGAGGGTGATTTTGCATTTCGATGACATTCATGTTGTGCCTAGCGCGTACCTCAGTGGCCTAGCTAGCTAAGTCAGTGATAAAACCGTCTAAAATGAATATTATCAGGTCGTCATTTTCCAGGTTTCATGGAGTGATATGCCCCACCAGGTAATTAGCTACGATCTTGAAATTAATATGAAAAGTGTATGTTTTAGAAGTCCTCATGGCATGAAATGTTCAGGTTCCACGTAGGCTAGGTAGCTAGCTAGCTACACTTAGTTAGCTAACGTAATCTGGCTAACTCTCTGGGAATGATGTTGTTGCCACCCTCCATGTCTTACCACATCAAATGTGTTGCTTACATGCTTGGATTTTACTTTAAATAATGTTTGAATGTTAAGTGAACTAGCTATCCATGAACTGATGCTAACTAACCCTCATGACAAAGTCTGCTTTAAAAATCAAACTTAGATAGCTAACTATACATTTTCACAAACCAACAACCATATTTTCCTGAAACTTGAATGCGTTCGCACTCTGCTGAATAGTTTACATGGTTAAATCATAAAACTAATAACGTACGCTTATTATCCAACAGGATTGTTGCACCACAGCTTCCAGGATCCAGTGGCCCCCAGCCACGAGCTCTGAGTGGTTGGGTGCTGTCCCAGGCCTGTGTACCTCCACAGACCTCTCGGTGTGGACCTCTCACATCACAGGCAGAGGGGGCTGGGGTGTTTCAGCAACTCCCCTGGCACCACCAACAGATCCGCACAGGGAAGCGGGGCACAGAGTATCAGCCCAAGAATATAAAGCGGAAGAGGACCCACGGCTGGATCAAGAGGATCAGCACTCAGGGTGGCATCGAGGTGATTCTCCGTAGAATGCTGAAAGGTCGAAAATCCCTGTCACACTAAGCACCCAATGGACAAACATTTTTCGGTTAACTTATTGACGTACCCAGGTTTTGCCACCACTGTTGAAGAAGATGCCTAACAACTTCAAGACTTACTGGCCCAGTTTTGTGTAGAACTGGATGTCAGTTATTGGGTATGTGAAGGCTGATGTTTGTCCATGTAAATGGATATGTCTTTTACACACTTTGACAAATGTTTTCCCATCATGTATTTCAGCAACTATCTCGCAGAAGCTAAGAAGTAGTGCAGAGCCTTGCTGTTACCATCAGTGAATTTGAAATGGCATATGACCTTGTTAAGTCATGCAGGATGAAAGTTATGATAAAATACCCAAAGTTGCACATGTCAACATACAGTGGTGGGGTTGAACTAGGTCCAGAATTTGAATATTGTACTTTAATAAATAGGTGCTGGGCTATAAACATCTGCGCTATTAAGTTACTGCGAAAATAGATACACCTTCTGACCTTCATCAATTTTAAAGCTAATACACGTTTGTCATTCAAGTCTTTGTCTTGCTCAAATAAAAGCAGTCTGTGAGTTTCTGAATAAATAAATACACTTTTTTTTTTGCATGAGTGTGTGTGTAGTTGGTTCAAGTCATTGGGGTTAGAGATGATGCAAGATCGGTAACACAATACATATCAATATTTTTGTGAATAATATCTACATGTTAGGAAATTACACATTTGACATGATACTTGAAATTAAAAATAATGAATTTGTTGCTACTGCACGTTTCTCACCACCTCGTTGCCATCACGTTACATGTGAAGGCATCTGCAGTAGGTGTCAAGCGCCTCTTCCCATTGGCGGGTTGGTTTCTCACGGAAACACTAGTGACCCAATGAACATTGTCCTGTGTCATTCTACGATTGTCCATCCTCTCCTGTAGCCAATGGAGCATCAGGCAAGACGACGAGGAACGCCTATACACGGACTAGCAACAAAAATGGAGTAGAATGACTTGTTAACTTATACCTCAGCTCTTGTTATGCTAAATTAAGTGCTAGCTAGCAATCAAGAACAGTATGCTTGGTTATTCGATGCAACACAGTTTGATTAGCGTCGAAGTCAAACGTAATTTTACAAATAACACATGTCTTTATTTGATTGTAGCATAGTCTAAGCGAATTTGTAAACAACCAGTGCTTTCTTAGCTACGACAAAACACTGGCTATAATAGTAGCTAGCTAACGTAAGCGAGTTGCTTGCTGGACAGACAAGCTTGGCTAGTTAGCTAGCTGGTGGTCTTTGCTAGTTTATTAAATATTTGGAAATGACTTGGAATTGATGCACATATTCCTTGTACTTTGTGTAATCTTGAATATTTGAGAAAGCCAACGCCGAATAGCGCATTTTGCTAGCTAGCTAAGCAGGTTCGTGTTGTTGCAAGCATATTTTCCACGCGCATCAGCTAACATTAGCTAGCAACTTTTGTGTCTGTGTGTTGTCTTCCTGGGGTCAAAAGCCACCATGGATAAGGTAACGTCTCTTTCTTTTCTTTTAGGTAGTTATCAAGCTAAACAAGTCCGCTATGGGGGGTCGGGTTGACTGCTAACTAACGTTAGTTGGCTACCATGTTTTGAATTTGAACTCGCTAACGTTAGTTCGCTAAGTTAGGCAATGTGTTTACTTTTGGATCCTCAACTGGCTTAGTTAACTAACTGGATATGACAGCTAGAAAATAAACATGTTTCATGATATAGGCCAATATGTTGTCCCTCACTAGCTACTCATCTTATTTATTAGCTAGGTAACTAGCTATGTCATTTGTACAATAATTGCTCAGTTGGCTGACCAGGAAGATATTTCCCAATCCTACTGTTCAGACTTGAAGTATCCTCAAAAGTTTGAATAGTGTATGTCAGCGTGGCTAATTTCTCACACTTGCCTTTTTTCCTAAACAGGCAGATTTTTTAAAAGGACTACCTGTCTTCAACAAAAGCAATTTCAGCCGATTTCACGCAGACTCTGTCTGCAAAACTTCAGTAAGTGTTATCCTGCCTTATCATTTCTGTATGTCAAAGCAATCTCAAATGAATGGGATTGTTTTGGTGTTTCACCTGTACTGGAGATCATGAAAAGGCCAAAATAGATATTGTGCCAAAAAATGCATCACGTAGCTGATCTTTATTGTTATATTTCTCACCTGATGTTTGAGACTTTCAGTTAGTGGACACATACTTCATTTAGACTCTTTGTCACTGATTTCGGTCTTTGTTTCAGAACCGGAGGCCCTCTGTGTATCTTCCAACTCGGGAGTATCCATCAGAACAGAGTGAGTGTCCCCACAAATTCAAATGGTACTCTGTTGCCACAGTATCTGTGCTGATGTGTACTTCGGATTGGAATAGTGTGGAGTTTGAGTAATAAAGGTTACACATTATTGATCTATAGTTACAACATAAACACATTCTTTGTGATTTATATTGGTTTTGATCTGATCTATATATTTCCTTCAAGTCATTGTCACAGAGAAGACAAATATTCTATTGAGATACCTTCACCAACAGTGGGACAAAAAGGTAAAGTATTGGGAAAGTTGATACCTTGGAAAGTCTTAATGCATTGTTCCTTTACACGATATGGGCACTGTATTGTTGTTTAATGTATGTTAGCTAGTTTTCCAACCCCTCTCCATGTCTTATGTCTCGACAGAATGCGGCCAAAAAGAGAGAGCAGGAGCACACTGAGGGGGAGAACACTGCACCCCCGCGGAAAATTGCCAGAACGGACAGTCAGGAGTTGAATGAGGACTCGTAGAGTGCTGTGTCAGCAACATGCAACACACACACACACACACACAATTATGGATAAAGAAGCACACAAGCAAAGTGCATTTGACAGACAGGACAGACCACTGCCTACATTGTTCAACATGATCTTGGGATGCTGACAGTTTTCTCTTTGTATTTTATTTACTTTTGCATTTTTCTTTATTTTCCCTTAACTGTCCGTTAACACTTATCTTTTATAAGTCTTCGATCGGCACATAGCTGAAAAGCTCTGCCTTGATAATGAAAGGCACAATAACATTACCACCCCACCCTGTTGCTTGACCATGTTTTTACATGAGGAGCATTTCTATTGCTCTGTTTGCTTTCATTAGTTTACCTGTACTTTGACCTGCATGTTTTAAAGTCATGTCCATTTAATCAATTAAATTGCATGCCATTTATATACATCCTTCTGGGCTTGGAGTGAATAGAATATGTGTATAGACTTTAGATTGAAATAGTCTCAGGTTGTTCTTATGGGGTATGCTGTCTCAAAAGGCTGTATTCCTGAAGGTGTTGATGTCTCTCCTGGTGATTAATTGCCTTAATGGAAATGTGTTTCTTGGTCATTTAAGGACCCTCCCTCTGTTTACATTGTGATGTCAGTGGAGGAAATACACACACTGTTAATGAGTGGGTTGATGGTGTGGATATGGAGAATGATCCCACAGGGTCATATTGGGGCTCATTTAAAGGCATACCAAATGCAAACCTTTAGAGCTCGCCAGCTTGTAGTCGTAAAAAATGGAAATGAGTTACCTCTGGTTTCGTTTGGCCATTCCTATGGGGGGAAAGAATGGGGTTTTGGGATAAACGCTGAAAATAAGGTCTGTGGTAAACACAGGCTTAGGAGATTTTAAACATTTTGTTCTATGAGATAATGAGTAAGTTTACATGACCTTTATGAATTATGAAGTCTTTACGTGCTTGTTTTATTTACATAAATGCTTCAAAATTCACAAAAAGTGACGTTAGCTGATCAATATTATCTCATAGAACAAAACGTATAAGATCTAAGTCTGTGTTTACCACAGACCTTATTTTCGGCATTTATCCAAAACTCCTCCAAAAACCATATTCATTTTCTCATAGGCTTTGGCCAAAGAACCATGACTGAGTTAGTGCCTACAAAAAGACGCCATTACTATTGCTCTCTATACAGTATAAAAACAGACCAATGTTGTAGCCAATACATAACACATGATGCTCGATGTGTTTGTCAAAACTTTGTTTCCCCCTAGACTCTAGCAGCTAGATTGTCATCACATCTAGAATTATATTGATACAGATAAGTGTTTGTGGATATTATAACACTTATGACTGTTAAAATGGCATGGCTCCACAAGTAAACATATAGCTAGCTGCCAAGACTAAACTTGGCTCAGGTATTTTGATGGCTCCACAAGTAAAACCATAGCTGCTAAGTTGCAACTTGGCATGATCGATCTGTGTGAACCTATAGTATATATGTCTTGCTTTAGTCAATATGTGGGATAAATGTGCCATTCAGGTGTATAGAACCTTGTTTCAAAGTGTTCTGCCGTATAAGGCATCCTGTTAAACTGTTGTGGGGCATAGTTGTGTTTGTAACATAATCGACAACTGTAAATACACAAGCGGAGAGTATTGTTCCTGATCCACTCTCTCTATCATTCTGCTGCTATTTACAAAGATCTGGTATTGTCTAGTGAGTCGTTAATCCTGTCCAAAACTATGGCTTATAAAGTTTGTGTATACATGGTTTGCTTCTTCAGACTATTATCAAGTAATAGTTCAAGGACTTGCAGGGTCCTGAACCTTTAGATCATTGGATCATTGTATCTTACCCGAAACAGCGACACCAAATTGTTTGAATGCATGTACAGTATAAACTTTGCAGGCCATATGTTTAAGGTGGTGTCAGCTCATCTTGTTTGAGTTGATCTTGAGGCTGGCTGACGATCAGCTACCATTATGTTCCTTGGTGAAGCTACAGTGGCTTGCGAAAGTATTCACCCCCCCCCCCCCCCCTTGGCATTGTTCCTATTTTGTTGCCTTACAACCTGGAATTAAAATTGATTAGGGGGTTTGTATCATTTGATTTACACAACATGCCTACCACTTTGAAGATGCAAAATATTTGTTTCTTTTGAGACAAACAAGAAATAAGACAAAAAAACGGAACTTGAGCGTGCATAACTATTCCCCCCCCCCCCCAAAGCCACCTTTTGCAGCAATTACAGTTGCAAGTCTCTTGGGGTATGTCTCTATAAGCTTGGCACATCTAGCCACTGGGATTTTTGCCCATTCTTCAAGGAAAACTGCTCCAGCTCCTTCAAGTTAGTATAACAGTAATCCTTCTACACCCCACCTCCCCCAGTGGTGGTTGTCCCACTGGCTATCCTAAGTTGAATGCACCAATTTGTAAGTCGCTCTCGATAAGAGCGTCTGCTAAATTACTTAAATGTAAAGTTGGATGGGTTCTGCTGGTGTACAGCAATCTTTTAAGTCATACAACAGATTCTCAAATGGATTGAGGTATGGGCTTTGACTAGGCTATTCCAAGAAATGTAAATGTTTCCCCTTAAACCACTCAAGTGTTGCTTTAGCAGTTTGCTTAGCGTCATTGTCCTGCTGGAAGGTAAACCTTCCGTCCCAGTCTCAAATCTCTGGAAGACTGAAACAGGTTTCCCTCAAGAATGTCCCTGTATTTAGCGCCATCCATCATTCTTTTCAATTCTGACCAGTTTCCCAGTCCCTGCCGATGAAAAACATCCCCACAGCATGATGCTGCCACCACCATGCTTCACTGTGGGGATGGTGTTCTCGGGGTGATGAGAGGTGTTGGGTTTGCTCCAGACATAGCGTTTTCCTTGATGGCCAAAAAGCTCAAAAAGCTCAATTTTAGTCTCCCACATGCCTTTTGGCGAACACCAAACATGTTTGCTTATTTTTTTATTTAAGCAATGGCTTTGTTCTGGCCACTCTTCATAAAGCCCAGCTATGTGGAGTGTACGGCTTAAAGTGGTCCTATGGACAGATACCCCAATCTCCGCTGTGGAGCTTTGCAGCTCCTTCAAGGTTATCTTTGGTCTCTTTGTTGCCTCTCTGATTAATACCCTCCTTGCCTGGTACGTGAGTTTTGGTGGGCGGCCCTCTCTTGGCAGGTTTGTTGTGGTGCCATATTCTTTCCATTTTTTAATAATGGATTTAATGGTGGTTTGTGGGATGTTCAAAGGTTTGGATATTTTTTTATAACCCAACCCTGATCTGTACTTCTCCACAACTTTGTCCCTGACCTGTTTGGAGTGCTCCATGGTCTTCATGGTGCCGCTTGCTTAGTGGTGTTGCAGACTCTGGGGCCTTTCAGAACAGGTGTATATATACTGAGATCATGTGACACTTAGATTGCACACAGGTGGACTTTATTTAACTAATTATGTGACTTCTGAAGGTAATTGGTTGCACCAGATCTTATTTAGGGGCTTCATAGCAAAGGGGGTGAATACATGTGCACGCACCACTTTTCTGTTATTTATTTTTTAGAGTTTTTTGAAACAAGTTAATTTTTTCATTTCACTTCACCAATTTGGACTATTTTGTGTATGTCCATTACATGAAATCCAAATAAAAATAAATTACAGGTTGTAATGCAACAAAATAGGTAAAACGCCAAGGGGGATGAATACTTTTGCAAGGCACTGTAGCTGTCTACATGTGTTAATGTTGAGAGTTCTTTCCACAGGTAGACAAGTGTTTTGTCATTCAGTTCTCAACAGTAAACGGTGTGATGACCTGTATAGACATTGTGTGCTGTGATTTAAACTGTGTGAATGTGGGGCCATGCCATATAACAGCACTTGTCTGGGGACCTTACTCCTGCAATTTTGAGGTCATATATTTTCACCATTGACTTCTTTACATATATTTGTCCAATGGGCAAACGTTTGTTGAGTGTTTCTCTTTAAAACCAACTGCAGCAAGCTAAAAAAACAGCACCTTGATCTCATATGGCAATGACCCTCTGCAAAGATGTGCTTTTAAGAGTATTTTATGTTTCAATTTGGGTTTAATACTTTGGATCATTCGTCTCAATAAAGTGATCTGGGTATTGTGTCAATTTGCTGTTGAACGTTTGTTTCTACTGTCTACTGAGCCTCCATGAGGTTTGTGTTTCCTTCTTATAATATTGGAATTCACCAAAACATATTTTGTTTACACGCAAAGGTGGCTAGTAAATGAATATAAATACAGACGGCAAGAATAGGCAGGCTACGTGATAAAGTTGGCATGGTAACTCACTCAATGAAATGTGTTAAAAACGTGATGCATTACATTTTCTGTGGTCTCATGATGAAGTTTATTGAAGTGCGTTTTGCATCATTGAGGTACATTCACTACTTCATGTAATAAAATAATTCATAGAAAAACAAAGTTAAGAAAAATAGAATATCTCTCACAGTCACAGTGAATGTACTTATTCTGTACTATTGCAGGAATATAAGATGGCTTGTAAGGTGCTGAATAACTGAATACATTTATTTCAGGTATGCAGATGATGTGCCATGCTTTTAAGACATCAAATCTGATTAATGGATTGACAAAATCTTTAATGGAAACTGCCATCCAGATCTAACAGGAATGCTTTATGATTATCAGAACCACAAGTCATGCAGTCTTATAACTATTTAATTACGGAACTTGGGCTTCATTCAAGGGGGTAAACTGTTACAATTTGTACATAGTATCCACTTATACAGTCAGTATATAGAACAGATATAGCCTATATTTACTGTCATTTGGATTGTGGAGAATTATCCCAAAACATGCTGCATTCTGACCTTACATTTCATCATTTAGCTTGTTCAGGAAGTGCATCTAACATGGTGACATTTTAACAAGGATAACAATTTATCATACTCTGCATCTAACATGGTGACATTTTAACAAGGATAACAATTTATCGTACTCTGCATCTAACATGGTGACATTTTAACAAGGATAACAATTTATCGTACTCTGCATCCCTTTCTTACATTTTCAATGTTGCCATGATTAAGGATTAACACTTGGAGCCAGAGTTGTCAGTATCGCTAGATTGTCTCGTTTCTCCCTTCTCGCTGTCAGACAAGGGTAGCACCTCGCCTGACGGAGTTGTGTTCAGGTCCTGCCTGGTGGGCTGAGTGTTAAGAGTGGCCTGGGGGCCAGCATCACCTAGTTTGGACGGTTGAGCCCCGTTCGCACACACCACTGCGCCCTCTGACCTGCTGAAGCTGAACAGCTTCCCTGGGCTGAAGGTCCTGCTGGGGGATTGGGACCTCTCCTGGTTCACGGAAGCAGCCGTCACCACTGTCCCCGGTGCTGGTGTTACTGACAACGGCTCCTTCTTCAACTCCGGAGACTTTCGGAACTTGAAGCTGAGGAAACCTGGTAGTTTTGCTTCTGCCCCGGTTGGGGACTGAGGGGATCGGGCCGTGCCCGTAGAGAACTTTCCTTGCTGGGGGAAGATCTGCTTGAGCTTCATCACGTTGTTGTTACCCAGCAGAGAGCTGGGTCTCTTGGGCTTGTCCCCAGGCTTGCCCTGGGTCTTGTCGTGGTGGTGCTGGTGCTGGTGGTCGGCCTTGTGGTACTCGCTCTCCTGCCGGGCCTCAGCCTGGAGCTCCGCCTGACGCTGCAGCTCCTCCTCACGCCGCCTCCTCAGCTGCTGCTGGAAGTGCTGCTGGGCCTGATGCTCATGCTTCTGCATACGAACAAGGTAATATACAATATGTGTCAGAAAGAGAGCAGACACTATCTATGACTAGCTTTGGTTTGTGTCATGATTGTGTGAAGTTAGACGCCATATGCTGACATCAGCTTTCATGACTGTATGAAATCTGTTAAGTCATTAAATTATAATGACAGTGTTATGTAGGCCAACGTTACTGGAGGGTTCAAGTGAAGTGTCAGAGGCATATCCTTTTGATACATTCAGTACAAAAGGATGCCCTGATGGACTCTGACACACTAAAGTGGCTGTATGAAGCCTAATGCAGGCATACACGATTCAAAGATTTAAAAAAATGCAAAGAAAAGACACATAAAGGACACAACCTATGCCACTGTACCTTAAAAGCCTCCCTTCTACGGTACTCTAGTTTGGCCATCTCGTCTGCGACCCATCCAGGGATATCAGGGATGGCCACGTGGATGACGTATTTGAGGAGGATGGCAAAATGCTGTCAATCCCAAAACAACAAAGGACAGACTGAGCAAACAGTGACATAAAAACACAGAAAAGTGTAGATTCATCTATACCAGAGTGGAAAGAGTGTGACGATGCCATGCTGTGTGTGTTGTGTAGAGGGAGCTGCTTGATCAGCTGTATGTTGTGTAAAGGGAGCTGCTTGATCAGCTGTATGTTGTGTAAAGGGAGCTGTTTGATCAGCTGTATGTTGTGTAGAGGGAGCTGCTTGATCAGCTGTATGTTGTGTAGAGGGAGCTGCTTGATCAGCTGTATGTTGTGTAAAGGGAGCTGCTTGATCAGCTGTATGTTGTGTAAAGGGAGCTGCTTGATCAGCTGTATGTTGTGTAAAGGGAGCTGTTTGATCAGCTGTATGTTGTGTAGAGGGAGCTGCTTGATCAGCTGTATGTTGTGTAAAGGGAGCTGCTTGATCAGCTGTATGTTGTGTAAAGGGAGCTGCTTGATCAGCTGTATGTTGTGTAGAGGGAGCTGCTTGATCAGCTGTATGTTGTGTAAAGGGAGCTGCTTGATCAGCTGTATGTTGTGTAAAGGGAGCTGCTTGATCAGCTGTATGTTGTGTAAAGGGAGCTGCTTGATCAGCTGTATGTTGTGTAGAGGGAGCTGCTTGATCAGCTGTATGTTGTGTAAAGGGAGCTGCTTGATCAGCTGTATGTTGTGTAAAGGGAGCTGCTTGATCAGCTGTATGTTGTGTAGAGGGAGCTGCTTGATCAGCTGTATGTTGTGTAAATGGAGCTGCTTGATCAGCTGTATGTTGTGTAAAGGGAGCTGCTTGATCAGCTGTATGTTGTGTAAAGGGAGCTGCTTGATCAGCTGTATGTTGTGTAAAGGGAGCTGCTTGATCAGCTGTATGTTGTGTAGAGGGAGCTGCTTGATCAGCTGTATGTTGTGTAAAGGGAGCTGCTTGATCAGCTGTATGTTGTGTAAAGGGAGCTGTTTGATCAGCTGTATGTGTGTGTAGAGGGAGCTGCTTGATCAGCTGTATGTTGTGTAGAGGGAGCTGCTTGATCAGCTGTATGTTGTGTAGAGGGAGCTGCTTGATCAGCTGTATGTTGTGTAAAGGGAGCTGCTTGATCAGCTGTATGTTGGTGTAAAGGGAGCTGCTTGATCAGCTGTATGTTGTGTAAAGGGAGCTGCTTGATCAGCTGTATGTTGTGTAGAGGGAGCTGCTTTGATCAGCTGTATGTTGTGTAAAGGGAGCTGCTTGATCAGCTGTATGTTGTGTAAAGGGAGCTGCTTGATCAGCTGTATGTTGTGTAAAGGGAGCTGCTTGATCAGCTGTATGTTGTGTAGAGGGAGCTGCTTGATCAGCTGTATGTTGTGTAAAGGGAGCTGCTTGATCAGCTGTATGTTGTGTAAAGGGAGCTGCTTGATCAGCTGTATGTTGTGTAGAGGGAGCTGCTTGATCAGCTGTATGTTGTGTAAGGGAGCTGCTTGATCAGCTGTATGTTGTGTAAAGGGAGCTGCTTGATCAGCTGTATGTTGTGTAGAGGGAGCTGCTTGATCAGCTGTATGTTGTGTAAAGGAGCTGCTTGATCAGGTATCGCTTGTGTAAAGGGAGCTGCTTGATCAGCTGTATGTTGTGTAAAGGGAGCTGCTTGATCAGCTGTATGTTGTGTAGAGGGAGCTGCTTGATCAGCTGTATGTTGTGTAAAGGGAGCTGCTTGATCAGCTGTATGTTGTGTAGAGGGAGCTGCTTGATCAGCTGTATGTTGTGTAGAGGGAGCTGCTTGATCAGCTGTATGTTGTGTAAAGGGAGCTGCTTGATCAGCTGTATGTTGTGTAGAGGGAGCTGCTTGATCAGCTGTATGTTGTGTAGAGGGAGCTGCTTGATCAGCTGTATGTTGTGTAGAGGGAGCTGCTTGATCAGCTGTATGTTGTGTAAAGGGAGCTGCTTGATCAGCTGTATGTTGTGTAAAGGGAGCTGCTTGATCAGCTGTATGTTGTGTAAAGGGAGCTGCTTGATCAGCTGTATGTTGTGTAAAGGGAGCTGCTTGATCAGCTGTATGTTGTGTAAAGGGAGCTGCTTGATCAGCTGTATGTTGTGTAAAGGGAGCTGCTTGATCAGCTGTATGTTGTGTAAAGGGAGCTTGCTTGATCAGCTGTATTTGTGTAAGGGGAGCTGCTTGATCAGCTGTATTTGTGTAGAGGGAGCTGCTTGATCAGCTGTATGTTTGTGTAGAGGGAGCTGCTTGATCAGCTGTATGTTTTGTAAAGGGAAGCTGCTTGATCAGCTGTATGTTGTGTAAAGGGAGCTGCTTGATCAGCTGTATGGTGTGGTAAACGGGAGCTGCTTGATCAGCTGTATGTTGTGTAAAGGAGCTGCTTGATCAGCTGTATGTTGTGTAAAGGGAGCTGCTTTGATCAGCTGTATGTTGTGTAAAGGGAGCTGCTTGATCAGCTGTATTTGTGTAAAGGAGCTGCTGATCAGCTGTATGTTGTGTAAGGGGAGCTGCTTGATCAGCTGTATGTTGTGTAAAGGGAGCTGCTTGATCAGCTGTATGTTGTGTAAAGGGAGCTGCTTGAATCAACTGTATGTTTGTGTAGAGGGAGCTGCTTGATCAGCTGTATGTTGTGTAGAGGGAGCTGCTTGATCAGCTGTATGTTGTGTAAAGGGAGCTGCTTGATCAGCTGTATGTTGTGTAAAGGGAGCTGCTTGATCAGCTGTATGTTGTGTAAAGGGAGCTGCTTGATCAGCTGTATGTTGTGTAAAGGGAGCTGCTTGATCAGCTGTTTGATCAGCTGTATGTTGTGTAAAGGGAGCTGTTTGATCAGCTGTATGTTGTGTAAAGGGAGCTGCTTGATCAGCTGTATGTTGTGTAAAGGGAGCTGCTTGATCAGCTGTATGTTGTGTAGAGGGAGCTGCTTGATCAGCTGTATGTTGTGTAAAGGGAGCTGCTTGATCAGCTGTATGTTGTGTAGAGGGAGCTGCTTGATCAGCTGTATGTTGTGTAGAGGGAGCTGCTTGATCAGCTGTATGTTGTGTAAAGGGAGCTGCTTGATCAGCTGTATGTTGTGTAAAGGGAGCTGCTTGATCAGCTGTATGTTGTGTAGAGGGAGCTGCTTGATCAGCTGTATGTTGTGTAAAGGGAGCTGCTTGATCAGCTGTATGTTGTGTAAAGGGAGCTGCTTGATCAGCTGTATGTTGTGTAAAGGGAGCTGCTTGATCAGCTGTATGTTGTGTAGAGGGAGCTGCTTGATCAGCTGTATGTTGTGTAAAGGGAGCTGCTTGATCAGCTGTATGTTGTGTAAAGGGAGCTGCTTGATCAGCTGTATGTTGTGTAGAGGGAGCTGCTTGATCATCTGTATGTTGTGTAAAGGGAGCTGCTTGATCAGCTGTATGTTGTGTAAAGGGAGCTGCTTGATCAGCTGTATGTTGTGTAAAGGGAGCTGCTTGATCAGCTGTATGTTGTGTAAAGGGAGCTGCTTGATCAGCTGTATGTTGTGTAAAGGGAGCTGCTTGATCAGCTGTATGTTGTGTAAAGGGAGCTGCTTGATCAGCTGTATGTTGTGTAAAGGGAGCTGCTTGATCAGCTGTATGTTGTGTAAAGGGAGCTGCTTGATCAGCTGTATGTTGTGTAGAGGGAGCTGCTTGATCAGCTGTATGTTGTGTAAAGGGAGCTGCTTGATCAGCTGTATGTTGTGTAGAGGGAGCTGCTTGATCAGCTGTATGTTGTGTAGAGGGAGCTGCTTGATCAGCTGTATGTTGTGTAAAGGGAGCTGCTTGATCAGCTGTATGTTGTGTAAAGGGAGCTGTTTGATCAGCTGTATGTTGTGTAAAGGGAGCTGCTTGATCAGCTGTATGTTGTGTAAAGGGAGCTGCTTGATCAGCTGTATGTTGTGTAGAGGGAGCTGCTTGATCAGCTGTATGTTGTGTAAAGGGAGCTGCTTGATCAGCTGTATGTTGTGTAGAGGGAGCTGCTTGATCAGCTGTATGTTGTGTAAAGGGAGCTGCTTGATCAGCTGTATGTTGTGTAAAGGGAGCTGCTTGATCAGCTGTATGTTGTGTAAAGGGAGCTGCTTGATCAGCTGTATGTTGTGTGAAGGGAGCTGCTTGATCAGCTGTGTGTTGTGTAGAGGGAGCTGCTTGATCAGCTGTATGTTGTGTAAAGGGAGCTGCTTGATCAGCTGTATGTTGTGTAGAGGGAGCTGCTTGATCAGCTGTATGTTGTGTAAAGGCCGTTTAAGGGCTGCTTGATCAGCTGTATGTTGTGTAAAGGGAGCTGCTTGATCAGCTGTATGTTGTGTAAAGGGAGCTGCTTGATCAGCTGTATGTTGTGTAAAGGGAGCTGCTTGATCAGCTGTATGTTGTGTAAAGGGAGCTGCTTGATCAGCTGTATGTTGTGTAAAGGGAGCTGCTTGATCAGCTGTATGTTGTGTAAAGGGAGCTGCTTGATCAGCTGTATGTTGTGTAGAGGGAGCTGCTTGATCAGCTGTATGTTGTGTAGAGGGAGCTGCTTGATCAGCTGTATGTTGTGTAGAGGGAGCTGCTTGATCAGCTGTATGTTGTGTAAAGGGAGCTGCTTGATCAGCTGTATGTTGTGTAGAGGGAGCTGCTTGATCAGCTGTATGTTGTGTAAAGGGAGCTGCTTGATCAGCTGTATGTTGTGTAAAGGGAGCTGCTTGATCAGCTGTATGTTGTGTAAAGGGAGCTGCTTGATCAGCTGTATGTTGTGTAAAGGGAGCTGCTTGATCAGCTGTATGTTTGTGTAAAGGGAGCTGCTTGATCAGCTGTATGTTGTGTAAAGGGAGCTGCTTGATCAGCTGTATGTTGTGTAAAGGGAGCTGCTTGATCAGCTGTATGTTGTGTAAAGGGAGCTGCTTGATCAGCTGTATGTTGTGTAAAGGGAGCTGCTTGATCAGCTGTATGTTGTGTAAAGGGAGCTGCTTGATCAGCTGTATGTTGTGTAAAGGGAGCTGCTTGATCAGCTGTATGTTGTGTAGAGGGAGCTGCTTGATCAGCTGTATGTTGTGTAGAGGGAGCTGCTTGATCAGCTGTATGTTGTGTAAAGGGAGCTGCTTGATCAGCTGTATGTTGTGTAAAGGGAGCTGCTTGATCAGCTGTGTGTTGTGTAAAGGGAGCTGCTTGATCAGCTGTATGTTGTGTAAAGGGAGCTGCTTGATCAGCTGTATGTTGTGTAGAGGGAGCTGCTTGATCAGCTGTATGTTGTGTAGAGGGAGCTGCTTGATCAGCTGTATGTTGTGTAGAGGGAGCTGCTTGATCAGCTGTATGTTGTGTAGAGGGAGCTGCTTGATCAGCTGTATGTTGTGTAGAGGGAGCTGCTTGATCAGCTGTATGTTGTGTACAGGGAGCTGCTTGATCAGCTGTATGTTGTGTAGAGGGAGCTGCTTGATCAGCTGTATGTTGTGTAGAGGGAGCTGCTTGATCAGCTGTATGTTGTGTAAAGGGAGCTGTGTAGAGGGAGCCTGGCTAGCTCAGACTGTTAATCGCAGGGTCGTGAGTCTGAGCCCCACGTTGGGCGCCTGCCTTTCAGCAGCTCTTGTTCTTCTCAATTACCTGTCATGTCTTTCTCAATTTTAAATGACAGCCCAATATGGATCTACATTATTGTACAATGCTGCAATTGATATTCTAAACAAAATGCCGTATTTGTGTGAAGGCGGTAGACCGAGGTAAAAACAATGCCCCCCCCCGCATAGTTTTATAGCCTGTACTCTGTGTGATTTATGTACAGCCTCCTTGGTTTTGAGAAAGGTGCTATATAAATAGTACCACAATTGCTGCGATTGTTGTTTGTATTTGTGGCATCGGTCTACCGCTTGTCACGGTGAAGCCATCCATTATGGCTGTCCACTGCATTGTGTTTTACCTCCAGTACCACAATGGAGATGATGACCATCTCTGGGCTCAGCCAGGGGAAGAGACGCTGCAGCTGACCACACTGGCCAATGAGATAACAGTTCACCATGATGGCTATCAAGCCCATGACCTCCATTGCAGTCTGCACACAGAAAGAGAAGAGATTAAAATATCTCAGAGGGAAATTATCTTTATGAATGAAATAGCTGTTGTCATGCTTTTTTAAAGAATTGCATGATTTTAAAATGGTTCTCTGAGTTTAAGCTTAATTGCAGGTGGGGTAAATACAGTGGGGGAAAAAAAGTATTTAGTCAGCCACCAATTGTGCATGTTCTCTCACTTAAAAAGATGAGAGAGGCCTGTAATTTTCATCATAGGTACACGTCAACTATGACAGACAAAATGAGAAAAAAATATCCAGAAAATCACATTGTAGGATTATTCATGAATTTATTTGCAAATTATGGTGGAAAATAAGTATTTGGTCAATAACAAAAGTTTCTCAATACTTTGTTATATACCCTTTGTTGGCAATGACACAGGTCAAACGTTTTCTGTAAGTGTTCACAAGGTTTTCACACACTGTTGCTGGTATTTTGGCCCATTCCTCCATGCAGATCTCCTCTAGAGCAGTGATGTTTTGGGGCTGTCGCTGGGCAACATGGACTTTCAACTCCCTCCAAAGATTTTCTATGGGGTTGAGATCTGGAGACTGGCTAGGCCACTTCAGGACCTTGAAATGCTTCTTACGAAGCCACTCCTTCGTTGCCCGGGCGGTGTGTTTGGGATCATTGTCATGCTGAAAGACCCAGCCACGTTTCATCTTCAATGCCCTTGCTGATGGAAGGAGGTTTTCACTCAAAATCTCACGATACATGGCCCCATTCATTCTTTACTTTACACGGATCAGTCGTCCTGGTCCCTTTGCAGAAAAACAGCCCCAAAGCATGATGTTTCCAACCCCATTCTTCACAGTAGGTATGGTGTTCTTTGGATGCAACTCAGCATTCCAAACACGACGAGTTTAGTTTTTACCAAAAAGTTCTATTTTGGTTTCATCTAACCATATGACATTCTCCTAATCCTCTTCTGGATCATCCAAATGCACTCTAGAAAACTTCAGACGGGCCTGGACATGTACTGGCTTAAGCAGGGGGACACGTCTGGCACTGCAGGATTTGAGTCCTTGGCGGCGTAGTGTGTTACTGATGGTACGCTTTGTTACTTTGGTCCCAGCTCTCTGCAGGTCATTCACTAGGTCCCCCCGTGTGGTTCTGGGATTTTTACTCACCGTTCTTGTGATCATTTTGACCCCACGGGGTGAGATCTTGCGTGGAGCCCCAGATTGAGGGAGATTATCAGTGGTCTTGTATGTCTTCCATTTCCTAATAATTGCTCCCACAGTTGATTTCTTCAAACCAAGCTGCTTACCTATTGCAGATTCAGTCTTCCCAGCCTGGTGAAGGTCTACAATTTTGTTTCTGGTGTCCTTTGACAGCTCTTTGGTCTTGGCCATAGTGGAGTTTGGAGTGTGATGTTTGAGGTTGTGGACAGGTGTCTTTTATACTGATAACAAGTTCAAACAGGTGCCATTAATACAGGTAACGAGTGGAGGACAGAGGAGCCTCTTAAAGAAGAAGTTACAGGTCTGTGAGAGCCAGAAATCTTGCTTGTTTGTAGGTGACCAAATACTTATTTTCCACCATATTTTGCAAATAAATTCATAAAAAATCCTACAATGTGATTTTCTGGAATTCTTTTCCACGATTTGTCTGTCATAGTTGACGTGTACCTATGATGAAAATTACAGGCCTCTCTCATCTTTTTAAGTGGGAGAACTTGCACAATTGGTGGCTGACTAAATACTTTTTTCCCCCACTGTATATGCCTAAATGTATTTGAATATATGTCCTGGGACATACTGTACCAGGATAAACTCATAATTGGAGAATAGGAGTGTTGATCTATGACGATTTTTGCCTTTTAGATCATAATGAATAAGATTACATGGCACAAGGGGCAGCTGACCCTAGACCAGCACTCCTACTCTGAGATGTCTTTTGAATACGAGCCCAGATGTGAGCGACCACTAACCTGCCACTGTCCGATGCTCTCCACCCTCTGGCCAAAGGGCCTCTGCAGGCCAGTACAGAGCTTCAAGGCGTCACTCCGGATCTCGATAATGTTGTTGATGAGGGCACACATGGCAGCCAATGGGAAGGCAGAGGAGAAGAGCACGACATAGCCAAACTGGATGAACATCTCCTGGTAGTCCTGCAGGGTGTCCTGTTGGATCAGAGGTCAAAAATCAAAGTCACATAACTGCTGGGGTTGTCATAGAATAGCATTTGTGTTTAAATCACTTTTTTACTTCAAATCTGAATGCACTGTATGCCGGGCTTCGTATGCACCAACTAATAACTAAAGTCCATTCAAATGCAACTAAACATGTGTACAATATAAACATAATGACCTGTGTTGCACTGATAGGCAGCAGATCAAGTTCATAGCAACAGATCTGACGACTAAGACACACCTCATATGTCTGCATGCAGCTCTCGATCTCCGCTTGGGTGACGATGACAGACTTAGGCTCCTCAGGCGGGTCAATCCAGGACTTTGTGGACTCTTTCTCTGGGATTGGACTTTTCAGTCTCTGGCATACTACCGTGTCACACTCAGTTGGTGGGGAGACACTAGTCTCCTTGGTCTCCTTGGTCTCAGAGGACTCATAGTCACTGTCATCGTCACCTATCTCAAAGATGCTGGAAGGATCCATGCCCTCCTCCACCATCGTGGGACTGTCCTCGGGGAAGCTGTCCTCAGGCTGGGTCGCCATGGCAACGTCCCTAGCAACATCCACCTTCTCATTGAAGCTAATCTTCCGCTGCCTCAGTGTGTCATTTATGTCCCACTCTTCCTCTGTGAACCTGTAGCCAGCCTTTAGATCTCCTCTCTTGTTCTGTTCTGTCTGTCCATTCACAGGATGTGTGACAATGCCTTTGGGGCCTAGCAGGGATTGGATAGTCCATGAAGCCTGGGCCTTTCCTAGAGCCAGGCGGCTGTACTTGATCACTATGGCCTGGAGAACCTCCCACACGACCTTGGGGGTAAATACTCCTAGTTTGTGGTGCTCGTACAGATAAGGCTGGAGCACCTCCTTGATGTTCTGGAGGAACTGGCGGAAGATCAGGAGAGTGGCTAGCATCTGTGAAGAGACAGTGTGAGTGATTCTTTTATTGTTGTTCTTTAAGGAGAATAAGTTTGTTCAATCATGTTTTCCATTGTTCAAATCTAATTCACAGCTTTTACCTCCTTTAGTCGTTCCATGTCCTTGAGGTAGAATCCGATGTAGAAAAGGCTAAGGTAAGAATTTATAAACTCAAACTGCAAAATGAAGAGAATGAATCTGAATGAGACAAGACATTTCTAAACATACACTACCAGTCAAAAGCTTGGACACACCTACTCATTCAAGGGTTTTTCTTTATTCTGTAGAATAATAGTGAAGACATCAAAACTATGAAATAACACATATGGAATCATGTAGTAACCAAAAAAGTGTTAAACAAATCAACATATATTTTACATTTGAGATTCTTCAAAATAGCCACCCTTTGCCTTGATGACAGCTTTGCAAGACATTTCTAAACATACAAAAGTATTAGTCAATAATACACCCCTTTGGATAATAGAGAACAGTTAATAAAAGAATGAAAAGTCTAACTTACAAAAAACATTTTAATGATGAGATTATTCTCATAGGCACTCTGAAGTCTGTAGTTCTCTGTAAGAAAGTGATAAGAATCATCAAAATACATCGCTCCATTTGACACTGATTACTGAACAAACCTGTGTGATCACTTTGTATTAAACCTGAAGAGATCAGAGCCAGTATTCATAAAGCGTTTGTCTTGTAGATTACATGGACAGGGAGGGACCTGATCCTAGATCAGTACTCCTGCTCTGAGATGGACCCTCACTGCTAGCCTGGAAAACCCCACCCTAGGCAACACAGTGACTAGGGCCTGGTTTCAATCATGGACTCTTTTGGCATAGAGGAACTACGTCACTGCCTACGTCGATCAGGGGGGGGGAAAAATCTGGGGACTCTCCCATAAAAACCACGAGGCAGACATGCTCGAACGTCGCGATTCAAAACCAAAGTTTGCAGGCAAAACCGTTGCAGTTGTTTTAGTTAAGGTAGTTGATGCAAACTAGCCACTCGGAAAATGCACTCATTAAAAATAACCTCTGTGATCTCCATCTTGCTAGCTACTATTTTGTATTTTATTTAAGAGGATAAAGTAGTGATGTAGGTCTATGCCATAAAGAGTCCATAATTGAAACCAGACCCTAGTCACTGTTGCTGTCACGGTTTCGGCCGAGGCTGCTCCTCCTCCTGGTTCGGGCAGGCTTCGGCGGTCGTCGTCCCCGGAGTACTAGCTGCCACCGATCTATGTTTCGTGTTCGTTTGGTTTTGTCTTGATGTTGTACACCTGTGTCTTGTTAGTCCTCGTTAGTGTCCTATTTAGTTCTCGTTGTGTGTATTTGTCTTTGTGTGTGATTGCTCTTCTGTTTTGTGTTGGAGCTACGTACTTCCCTCCAGTGTTTTGGAGAAGTTTTTCGCACATGTTAGTGCGCCGTTTGTTTGACGCCTGTGTGCGCCGTTATTTCGCCTTCGGGCTTATTGTGCTTATTTTCTACGTGAATATTGCACTAAAGTCTTTTGGACTGAGCTTCTGCGTCCTGCGCTTGATTCATGCACCACACCCACCTTCAGCACCCCTTGACAGAATCACACACCAAAATGGAATCAGCAGGATCTGCAGTTACGCCTGAGTCGCTCGAGGAGCATGTTCGCGGCCAAGATGACCAGATATGACAACTGGGGACCGCTCTACAGGACGTCATCAACACCCTGCACCGATGGGAGGCCAGCTGGGTACCCACACCTCCACCTACCCTGCCAACCCCATCGGCCGGTCCACCAGTCCCAGGTCCGGAACCCAGGGGGATTCGGCTCTCGCTCCCGAGGGCGTATGACGGAACAGCTGCCGGGTGTCAGGGGTTCCTCCTGCAGGTGGAGCTCTACCTGGCCACTGTACACCCGGTGCCCTCGGGACACGAGAGCGTTTCCGCCCTCATCTCCTGTCTCACGGGCAAGGCGTTGGAGTGGGCTAACGCCGAGTGGAGGAAGATGGACGCCAACACCATCTCCTACGCCGAGTTCTCCCGCCGCTTCAAGGCCGTGTTCGACCATCCACCGGAGGGCAAAGCGGCGGGGGAGCGTCTAGTCCACCTGAGACAGGGGAGGAGGAGCGCACAGGCGTTTGCTCTAGAGTTCCGGACTCTAGCGGCGGATGCAGGGTGGAATGAACGGGCCCTCATCGACCATTTTCGATGTAGCCTACGGGAGGACGTTCAACGTGAGTTGGCCTGCAGGGATACCCATCTCACCTTCGACCAGTTGGTCGATAAGTCCATCCGTCTGGACACCCTGCTGGCCACCCGTGGACGTCCCGAGGGGGTTCCGTCCATTCCGCCCTCCGGCACCTCCGAGCCGAGCCCTATGGAGCTCGGGGGTGCCGGCGCTAGAGAAAGGAGGAGGAGGAGCCTGAGGGGGCCTGTCTCCTGCACCAAGTGCGGTCGTGGAGGGCACACTGCGGCCAGGTGCTGGGGAGGGTTCTCCGGGGGAGAAGACAACAGGCCACGCACTGGGGGGGCCTCCCAGGTGAGTAGACGTCCCACTTACCCAGAGCTTTCTGTTGCGCACTTTTGTATACCTGTGTGTTTTCCACAGGTTGCACCTCATTCCCAGCATAAGGCGCTAGTAGATTCAGGCGCAGCTGGGAATTTTGTTGATCGGAAGTTTTGTTTAGATTTAGGGATCCCTCTCCTACCTGTTGACAAACCTTTTCCCGTTCATGCCTTAGATAGCCGCCCGTTGGGGTCGGGGTTGATTAGGGAGATCACAGCACCACTTAGGATGTGTGCGCAGGGGGGTCATGAAGAGACTATACAGCTGTATCTGATTGACTCTCCTGCGTACCCAGTGGTGCTGGGAATTCCCTGGTTAAGCACCCATAACCCTGCTATTTCGTGGCAACAGAGGGCTCTCGATGGGTGGTCTGCTCAGTGCGAGGGGCGATGTCTGGGTGTTTCCGTGGGGGCGACTTCGGTGGAAAGTCCAAACCAAGTGCCCGCACTGCACATTCCGCCTGAATATGGGGATTTAGCTCTCGTGTTTAGTAAAACTAGGGCGACGCAGTTGCCTCCTCATAGACGGGGGGATTGTGCGATTGATCTCCAGGCAGGAGCAGCGCTCCCACGGAGCCACGTGTATCCTTTGTCTCAAGAGGAGAGAAAAGCTATGGAGACTTACATAGCCGAATCTTTGAGACAGGGATACATTCGGCCCTCCACTTCTCCCGCCTCCTCAAGCTTCTTTTTTGTGAAGAAGAAAGATGGAGGGTTGCGCCCGTGCATTGATTACCGTGGTCTCAATCAGATTACTGTGAAATACAGTTATCCACTCCCTCTGATTGCGACCATGACAGAGTCATTGCATGGAGCGCGGTTTTTCACAAAATTGGATCTCAGGACCGCGTATAACTTGGTGCGCATTAGGGAGGGCGACGAATGGAAGACAGCGTTTAGTACCACGTCAGGTCATTTCGAATATCTCGTCATGCCATATGGGTTGATGAATGCTCCATCAGTCTTCCAATCCTTCGTAGATGACATTTTCCGGGATATGCAGGGACAAGGGGTGGTCGTGTACATTGATGACATTCTGGTGTACTCGTCTACCCGAGCCGAGCATACAACCCTGGTGCGTCGTGTATTGAGGAGGCTGTTGGAGCACGACCTATATGTCAAGGCAGAGAAATGTCTGTTTTTCCAGGAGTCGGTCTCCTTTTTGGGTTATCGGTTGTCCGCGTCAGGGGTGAGAATGGAGGTGGATCGTGTGTCCGCTGTGCGTAATTGGCAAACTCCAACCACTGTAAAAGAGGTGCAGCAGTTCTTGGGCTTTGCGAATTACTACCGGAGGTTTATCCGGGGTTTTGGACAGGTGGCAGCTCCCATCACGTCCCTTCTGAAAGGGGGTCCGGTGCGCCTGCAGTGGTCAGCTGATGCGGACAGGGCCTTTAGGAGACTGAAGGACCTGTTTACGTCGGCTCCGGTGCTGGCGCATCCGGATCCCGCATTACCCTTTCAGGTTGAGGTAGACGCGTCTGAGGCTGGTATAGGGGCCGTTCTCTCTCAACGGTCCGGCACGCCACCTAAACTCCGCACCTGTGCTTTTTACTCAAAAAAGCTCAGCCCGGCGGAGCGTAACTATGACGTTGGGGACAGGGAGCTGTTAGCTGTAGTTCAAGCCCTTAAGGTGTGGAGGCATTGGCTTGAGGGGGCTCAACACCCTTTCCTCATTTTGACTGACCATCGGAACCTGGAGTACATCCGGGCAGCGAGGAGACTGAACTCTCGCCAGGCTCGATGGAGTATGTTTCTCACCAGGTTCGTATTTAAAATCACGTACATCCCTGGGTCCCAGAATGGTAAGGCAGATGCGCTGTCCCGGCGGTATGACACGGAGGAGAGGTCCGTTGAGCCTACTCCCATACTACCGGAGTCTTGCCTTGTGGCACCGGTGGTGTGGGAGGTCGATGCCGAAATCGAGCGAGCGTTGCGTACCGACCCCAGCCCTCCACAGTGTCCTGAGGGTCGGAAGTACGTTCCGCTCGAGATTCGGGATCGACTCATTTACTGGGCTCACACGTCACCCTCCTCTGGACATCCGGGTATTGGCCGGACAGTGCATTGCCTTAGCACTAAATACTGGTGGCCCACTTTGGCTAGGGATGTGAGGGTTTATGTCTCCTCCTGCTCGGTGTGCGCCCAGTGTAAGGCGCCCCGACATCTGCCCAGGGGTAAGTTACAACCCCTGCCCGTTCCACAACGACCATGGTCCCACCTCTCGGTGGATTTTGTGACAGGCCTTCCCCTCTCTCAGGGGAATACCACCATCCTGGTCGTTGTGGACCGGTTCTCTAAGGCCTGTCGTCTTCTCCCTATGTCGGGTCTTCCTACTGCCCTACAGACCGCTGAGGCCCTATTTACCCACGTCTTCCGGCATTACGGGGTACCCGAGGATATAGTGTCTGATCGAGGCCCCCAGTTTACCTCCCGTGTTTGGAGAGCGTTCATGGAGCGGTTGGGGGTCTCGGTTAGCCTTACCTCAGGGTACCACCCGGAGAGTAACGGGCAGGTAGAACGTGTCAACCAGGATGTGGGTAGGTTTCTGAGGTCGTATTGCCAGGGCCGGCCGGAGGAGTGGGCACGGTACATTCCCTGGGCCGAGATGGCCCAGAACTCTCTCCGCCACTCCTCTACCAACCTAACCCCCTTCCAATGTGTGTTAGGTTACCAGCCGGTTCTGGCACCTTGGCAGCAGAGCCAGATCGAGGCCCCTGCGGTGGATGATTGGATGAGGCGCTCGGAAGAGACGTGGAACGCTGCCCACGTCCACCTGCAGCGGGCCGTCCTTCGTCACAAGGCGAGCGCCGATCTCCACCGCAGTGAGGGGCCGGTGTACGCACCCGGAGATCGAGTCTGGCTCTCTACCAGAAACCTGCCCTGCCGGAAGCTGGGTCGGCGGTTTGTGGGGCCCTTTAAAGTCCTGAGAAGATTGAACGAGGTGTGTTATAGGTTACATCTACCTGTTGAGTATAAGAATATTAACCCCTCGTTCCATGTGTCTCTTCTCAGGCCGGTGGTAGCTGGTCCACTCCAGGACAATGAGATAGGGGAGACTCCTCCGCCCCCACTGGACATCGAGGGGGCTCCGGCGTACACCGTTCGGTCCATCTTGGACTCAAGACGCCGGATGGGGGGTCTCCAGTATCTCGTGGAGTGGGAGGGGTACGGCCCGGAGGAGCGGTGCTGGGTGCCGCGGAGGGACATCCTAGACCCATCTCTCCTGTCGGAGTTCCACCGGGACCATCCCGCGCGCCCTGCTCCGCGTCCTCCTGGTCGTCCCCGAGGCCAGGGTCGGCGCACGGCTGGAGCCGCGCGTCAAGGGGGGGGTACTGTCACGGTTTCGGCCGAGGCTGCTCCTCCTCCTGGTTCGGGCAGGCTTCGGCGGTCGTCGTCCCCGGAGTACTAGCTGCCACCGATCTATGTTTCGTGTTCGTTTGGTTTTGTCTTGATGTTGTACACCTGTGTCTTGTTAGTCCTCGTTAGTGTCCTATTTAGTTCTCGTTGTGTGTGTTTGTCTTTGATTGCTCTTCTGTTTTACATTTACATTTTAGTCATTTAGCAGACGCTCTTATCCAGAGCGACTTACAGTTAGTGAATACATTTTTTTATTTAATTTTTTATACTGGCCGCCCGTGGGAAACGAACCCACAACCCTGGCGTTGCAAACGCCATGCTCTATCAACTGAGCTACATCCCTGCCGGCCATTCCCTCCCCTACCCTGGACGACGCTGGGCCAATTGTGCGCCGCCCATGAGTCTCCCGGTCGCGGCCGGCTGCGACAGAGCCTGGATTCGAACCAGGATCTCTAGTGGCACAGTTAGCACTGCGATGCAGTGCCTTAGACCACTGCGCCACTCAGGCCACTGTTGGAGCTACGTACTTCCCTCCAGTGTTTTGGAGAAGTTTTTCGCACATGTTAGTGCGCCGTTTGTTTGACGCCTGTGTGCGCCGTTATTTCGCCTTCGGGCTTATTGTGCTTATTTTCTACGTGAATATTGCACTAAAGTCTTTTGGACTGAGCTTCTGCGTCCTGCGCTTGATTCATGCACCACACCCACCTTCAGCACCCCTTGACAGTTGCCTAGGGTCGGGTTTTTGAGGCTACCTCACTGCTCCGATCATTCCTCACCTGGTGCTCATATTAGTGAATCTCAGCTGGACAGCTTACCCATATCATTGAGCCAATGGGCGATCTTCCTATACACCTCACCACATACAGTCACAACGATGGCCAGCAAAATTTTAGGAATGAATCTTGTGATACTGGGTAACTCCTTAATTTCCATCACAAACTCCTATAAAAAGAAAGAAGAAGAGATAAACCAAAAAATTGAAATATTTAATTACAGAAAGACAGGTAAATCAACCCTTGAGCCATTCTCTTTGATCTTAAAAACGCCTATGGCTGAAAAGTGAATTGGGTTCCTTGTGATTTAAACGGCAGAATGTACAGTATACACTCATGATAACTGACACTAAAGGCTCCTATAGAGCGATTGTAATTGAAAGGAAATGTTCCCGCGTTAGTGGAGACTTCATTCACGGTAAACGCTGCATACAGTGCATTCGGAAAGTATTCAGACCCCTTCACTTTTTCCACATTTTGTTACTAGTCTCCCAGTCCCTGCCGCTGAAATACATCTCCACAGCATGATGCTACCACCACCATGCTTCACCGTAGGGATGGTGCCAGGTTTCCTCCAGACGTGATGCTTGGCATTCAGGCCAAAGAGTTCAATCTTGGTTTCATCAGACCAGACCATCTCGTTTCTCATGATCTGAGAGTCCTTTAGGTGCCTTTTGGAAAACTCCAAGCGGGCTGTCATGTGCCTTTTACTGAGGAGTGGCTTCCGTCTGGCCACTCTACCATAAAGGCCTGATTGGTGGAGTGCTGCAGAGATGGTTGTCCTTCTGGAAGATTCTCCCATCTCCACAGAGGAACTCTGGAGTTCTGTCAGAGTGACCATTGGGTTCTTGGTCACCTCCCTGACCAAGGCCCTTCTCCCCCGATTGCTCAGTTTGGCCGGGCGGTCAGCTCCAGGAAGAGTCTTCTTGGTTCCAAACTTCTTCCATTTAAGAATGATGGAGGCCACTGTGTTCTTGGGGACCTTCAATGCTGCCTCGACACAATCCTGTCTCGGAGCTCTACGGACAATTCCTTCGACCTCATGGCTTGGTTTTTGCTCTGACATGCACTGTCAACTGTGGGACCTTATATAGACAGGTGTGTGCCTTTCCAAATCATGTCCAATCAATTGAATTTACCACAGGTGGACTCCAATTAAGTTGTAGAAACATCTCAAGGATGATCAATAGAAACAGGATGCGCCTGAGCTCAATTTCGAGTCTCATAGCAAAGGGTCTGAATACTTATGTAAATAAGGTATTTCTGTTTTTTTTTTAAATACATTTGCAAACATTTCTAAAAACCTGTTTTCGCTTTGTCATTATGGGGTATTGTGTGTAGATTGATGAGGACTTATTTTTATTTGATCCATTTTAGAATAAGGCTGTAACGTAACAAAATGTGGAAAAAGTCAAGGGGTCTGAATACTTTCCGAATGCACTGTATGTCAGCTCAATCGGAAATTACCTTGACATTTATTTTGCGCTATACTTCTGAACTTCCGCGATACGGATTGAATCGAGCTCTAACACTACTTAGTGTTCTGACGAAGGAGCTTCCTTTGAAATCGTGTCAGCAATAAATATTATTAAAGAGAATTAAGCTGCCGCCTCAACCTTCTTTCAATACTTCAATAGTGGACATGTTTGATTACGATGGCTAAGGGCTCGATTCAATCCGTAGCGCAAAATATCTGCATTGTAGCACGGTTGAAATTGAAAGGTAATTTCCTATTGTGCCGACATATGCAGCGTTTACCATTGCCTTTAAATGTCAATATAGATTTCTGTCTCTTACCTGCATCTCCAGACAGACGAGCATGGCCAGGAAGACAAAGCAGAGACAGAGGAGACAGATGGGGAGGCTGACCATCCACCTGAACATCGTCCTCTTCCAGGGTGGGTAGTAAAACTCCTCACAGCCTGTTATGGGGCTACACCGCTTTACACCCTGAAAAACACACACATGTCCAACACCAACTAAAATGCTAGCGCCCAACGTGGGGCTCGAACCCACAACCCTGATATTAAGAGTTTCATGGGCTACCAACTGAGCTAGCCAGGAACAGACAGCTCCCCCTTTACATTTTAGCAGACGCTCTGATCCAGAGCGACTTACAGTACTGAGTACATAAATGTGCATATATTCCCCTGTGGGAATCGAACCCACAACCCTGGCGCTATCCTCTACCAACCGAGCCACATGGGAACTTTAGAAACCACAAGAGCCATGTGTCCCCCTAAGATATGACAGTAGTTGAGAACCTCAAGAACACCCATTAAAACCCAACGAGGGGCTCAAACCCACGACTAGCTTGGCCGGGAAGGAATATTGACAACTCCCTCTGTAGAGTGCACAGGAGGCATCATGAACGTTGCCAAATTGAGATATGACCAGTAATTGAGGACATCAGGAACACCAGCTAAAACATTTTGCACCCAACGTGGGGCTCAAACCCACGACCCTGAGATTAAGAGTCTCATGCGCTACCGACTGAGCTAGCCGGGCCTGATAGGGGACAGAGACAACTGCCCCTTTAGAAACCCCAGGAGGCATGAACCCTGCCCCCAACCCTTGGAATTCACACCACACTCTCCAAGCCTACAGCTCATGATTACTTATCCCTGTAGACCCGTAAACTCTGACCCTGGGAAAGCTGTATGAGGTTGCTGATGGAATATGTCCTCTGTCCAATAGTCCTGAAGGAACCAAACAGCACTGGTAGTAATCTAAGACCGGGATTCAATCCATGATGCGTTGTAGAGCGCTGTCGAACAATGTGTCTTTTAAAGGCAATGTTCTCAACGTTTGCAGACATTCACGGTAAACAGGGCAGATTTCGGCTCAATCGGAAAGTATCTTTAAATAACAAACGCTGTACAACGCGCCCAGATTGAATCTCGGCCTAACTCTGAATGAATAGGATGCAATAACAGGATGCTCACCCGAAACTGGGGTCTAGGATCTTCAAGGGACTCGGCAGGGATATCCAGTGTCCCCCACCTGTATGCTAGCTCGGCCTCTCTCCGCTTCCACCTCTCTAGGAAGAGTGTCGCCCACACCACGTTGAAGAGGGCAAACACCACACAGCAGATGTCCTGGCTGGTCTGTGGGGGAGTGGAGAAGTGGGTGAGCCACATGAGATACATACAGATTAGGGGAATCTTTATACTATCTATCAACTAAAAATAACACTGGACATGTATCACAGAGCACCGAGATGGTAAGTGCTATGGTGCTATGGTGGGTGAAATATAGTTTTGTAGTATAGGCCAACACATCCATATTTTTCACATGTATTTTAAGGTAGTGATTGAGAGAGAAAACACATACACATAGATTCCAACAAGTGAGTCATTTGTATTGTAAAACTGTGAATTCCTATTGTGTATGATAGCTACATGTAGCCTAGTTTTAGATCTGTTTGTGCTATCTTGCAAACTCCTATGTAATTGTCAGATTAGGGACTAGGCTAAACTACATTGTGTATGATACAGTCTCAGAAAAAAAAGGTGCTACTTAGAACCTAAAAGGGTTCTAAGTAGCACAGAGGGCTCTACATGGAACAGAGGGCTCTACATGGAACCCAAAAGGGTTCTACCTAGAGCCAAAAAGGCTTGTACCTGGAACCAAAAAGATTATCCTATGGGGACAGCCAACCCTTTTTTCTAAGATTGTACTATTGACAGGTATATTGACCAGTGTGAGGTCTCCATTAGGTAATGTGATGCTGCACCACATACCTGGTCAGCCTCAGCCAGGATCCACAGTAGGAAGCCGATGACTGCAGGGTACAGCATGGAGTTGGTGTAGAAACCCAGCCAGGCAAAGTACATGCCAATCTTCACCCCAAAGTAATCACAGACGTCATCTGACACACAGACATGACACCAACAACATGGCAGACAAAGACAGACACAATGGGTTATTGGCTTTAGTTAGTAAATTATATTTTTAAGAAATGTGTATTTTTCCATTGATATTGTTTTTGTAGTGCAAATGATATTCTCTTATTCTATGATAGAATTAGCATTTAATTGTAACAATTAATAATAATAATAATATGCCATTTAGCAGACACTTTTATCCAAAGCGACTTACAGTCATGTGTGCATACATTTTTACGTATGGGTGGTCCCAGGGATCGAACCCACTACCCTGGCGTTACAAGCGCCATGCTCTACCAATTGAGCTACAGAGGACCTACAACAGGTGCTGCTCACCCAAAGGCTGTCTCTCACAGACAGCTTGGACCCATGACGTCATCAGCTGACCGAGGATCCGTTGCTCGTGTAGAGGAAACACTTGATAGATTACTCCTCTGGCCATCAGCTCTGGAACTGAGATGAACACATAGTTATCAGTCAATAACAAAGCTGTCTTAGATGTTATTGTGATGCTGTAGAGTCAGGCAATGATGAAATACAAAAACAACTGTTTACTGATTGGTTGTCCCTCAAGGAAGTAGAAGTTGTGAAGGACTTCCCCTTGTTTGGCTCGCAGGTTGTCCAGCCAGTACTTGATGATGCTCTGACGCTCCTGAAGAAAATATAAGATCGAACAACCACAGAGTTTGAGGAAACAAGGTAAAAATCAGCAACAGGACATATATCAGAGACGTTTAAATATGTTTGGAGATCATAGCCATAACTGATACGAACCTGTGAGGTGAAAAAGCACAGCTCGCTCTCTATGTTCTCGTAGATATTATCCTCTTCACAGGAAAACCTACGTGTTCCACCTCCATACTGTGGTTTGACCACTTTGCACATCCCCGTCAGCTCTGCACCACGCAGCAAGCTGAGGAGAGGAAGAGAAGGGGGGGGGAGTAGGATACAAGCTTTACATTTACATTTACATTTTATTTAACAGTCCTGTGTCAGATGCTGTTTACCTGGTCCCATATCTGACTGTTCTGTCTTGCCAACTCCTCCTATGGTCATTGTCAAACCAACCATTACCGCTGCTCTTTAATTATTTTTTATTTTTATTTTTTACTTATCAATTTTTTACTTAACACTTATTTTTCTTAAAAATGCATTATTGTTAAGAGCTTGTAAGTAAGCATTTTACTGTAATGTCTACACCTGTTGTATTTGGCGCATGTGACAAATACAATTTTATTTTATTTTATTTGAACCATTGCAACACAGCACAAACAGGTAAGGTATTGCCTTACCTCCATAACTTGCTACATTTGCACACACTGTATATATATTTTCTGTTGTATTTTTGACTATATGTTTTGTTTACCCCATATGTAACTCTGTGTTGTTGTTTTTATCACACTGCTTTGCTTTATCTTGGCCAGGTCGCAGTTGTAAATGAGAACTTGTTCTCAACTGGCTTACCTGGTTAAATAAAGGTAAAATAAATAAATAATTTTTTTTTTAAACGGATCTGGAACCAGGCCACTATTTACGAATGTGATGTTTACAAATGATGCGTTAACAATGTGAGTACTTCGGATGCCAAATGGTACGTGGTGGTGCTTGTTTCAAACAATCACAGAGAAACAAAATAGTACTTATTAGGTAACTACTATATAATTAACATTTAACCATTACATTTCTGACTTAAATGTCAGGTAAGAAGTGGAGTGTCTTACTTCTCAAATGTGGTTGTAATGAAGAATGCATAGCCCCGTGTGTGTTGATGCTGTCGGATCTGGATTGTAACTTGTGGGATTCCCAGTCGGATATGGTTCAGCAGCCATAGCAAGGTGTGGTCGTCTATGGTGTCTACAAAGGAGGAAATGGTCAGTTTCTATGTCAGCTTTTGTATTTAATTTATTTAAGAGTCTGAGTCTATTTACAGCCACAGCCCAATTGCCATTAATCGCAATCATTCAACGTTTACATTTTTTTTACACTTCACATTCTAGTCATTCATCAGACTGATCACAGACTCTTGGAACATTCAAATAAGGAGGCTGCAACGACAACATTCTTCAAAGCTTGACAGAGGTAGCAACGGTAACCGTGGGAGGGTGGAGCCATGAAAAGGTAAATACAATCAATTAGGTAACCGCCCTAGTGTTTATGGGGTATTCATTTCATCCCATCCTGCAAGAATGAGTGCAATAATTAATATCCAACCCAATTTGATTTGCGATCCATGTGGGAAATGTGCTTTGACTAATGAGATTGATCCATTTGTGTAAACCCACACAGCATGTGTACAGAATCATAGAGTGCCTGACTCTGAAACAAACATACAGGTATTAGATTTTATTCAATAGTCCCTGTAGACTGTTCTGTGTCACGTCAACGAGTGATTGGCTCATTGCCCACATCGGCCAATAAGACTCCCCCTCTAAGTTTCCCATCATGGTTGAAGGGACTGAACCGTGGAAGGTGAATGTGGTGATTTAGCGTACCTGAGAATGTCATTAGTATATCACAGTCTTCCGTGGGCACCATTTTCAGCCAGGATTTATGGGACATGATGTACTGTCTGGCCTGCGAGAGGCGTTTCCCAAACAATTTATCTAAAGGGGAAGAGGTAGAGGGGAGGAGAGAGAGAGAGAGAGAGAGAGAGAGAGAGAGAGAGAGAGACACAGAGAGAGAGAGACACAGAGAGAGACAGAGAGACAGAGAGAGAGAGAGAGAGAGAGAGAGAGAGAGAGAGAATATTTCACATCAGTCAGTGCGGTGTAATGGGGACATGGGTGACAGAAGGAGAGAGGGAGGATTCTGCCAAAATGTCAAATCCTCACTGTCAGCTTCGCCTGCCCATCAACAAGGCCAAAGCAGTTTGTTACTGCTTTCCCCTGTCTGAAAGTCAGAAATGGGCAGAGATCATCCCAAATCAGAAAGTATCAGACATGATCATTTCCTACATTGGCATGATTAAAAAAGGGATCAGCTCCTCTTGTACAACACAAGCTCTGTGTATTTAAGTTGTTTGTACAACAGAACATTACGCTCACAGTGTTTACTCTACTAAGCTGCAGTACTTGTATGGTAGCTTGGGAGCACTGCTCTTGAAAATCAACCACTACATGGGAGGTACTAACCACAGGCTCTGCCGAGTAAAGCGTCCAACTTAACCAGGTCAAACCATGTGACACACAATAACAACGAGAATCGTTGACTGACAATCCCATAACTGTCCTGTTACCGACATGTCCTGTCCTGTCCTCTAACATTCCCTGCCATCTCTCTCTCTCTCTCACTTTCTCTCTCTCTGTGTCTCTCTCACTTTCTCTCTCTCGGTCTCTCTCTCTGTCTCTCTCTCACTTTCTCTCTCTCTGTGTCTCTCTCTCATGTTCTCTCTCTCTGTCTCTCTCTTTCTGTCTCTCTTACACATTTACACCCACACACACCACTAGGCTGATTCCGAAGGGTTGGGTTAAATGCAGAAGACACATTTCGGTGGAATGCATTCAGTTGTGCAACTGACTAGGTATCCCCATTTCACTTTCCCTCCCCTAACGTGTGAGCCATGTCTAGATTGTGCAGTGAAATTAATCTTGTCACTCTAACCAGGTGCCACTATCGTGCTTTTGTTATGAACAGCATCAACTACTCTATCCTTCCCCATTCTTACACAACTAAATTGTATACTTTTATCTTCACTGTCAACACTGTTTAAACCGATGACAGCACTATACTAGGTACTGCTATCGTGCTGGGACTGCTAGGTCTACTAGTAGCAACATGTCAAAAGCCATCTATCAGCAGATATAGAAAATGGGGTCATGTTCCTTTGTGATTGTACCTACTGACTTTACTGTGGTGCTCTTTTCCTAACCAACACTTTTATTTTATGATCAACACAATTTTGCCCAACATAAATCACAGGCCAATTTTGTGTGTGTGTGTACTGAATGGAGGATACTAGTCTGACAGTAAAAATGGTAGAAATGCAGTCCAAAGCCTATTGAATGTGGGTTATCCCCATGTCCCCTCATCCAATAGCACATCTGGGCCTGTATTCATTAGGCGTCTCAGAGTAGCAGTGCCAATTTATAATCGAAAAGGCAAAACTGATCCTAGATCAGGACTGTCCTCTAAGACGCTTTATGGATACGGGCTCTGAGCATCGCGTCATTATCCCCCACAACCCAAAGGTTGCGAGTTCGAATCTCACCACGGACAACTTTAGCATTTTTGCTAATTAGCAACTTTTCAACTACTTACTACTTTTTAGCTACTTTGCAACTACTTAGCATGTTAGCTAACCCTTCCCCTAACCCTTTGCCTAACCCTAACCCTTCCCCTAACCTTAACCCTTTAACCTAACTCCTAAACTTAACCCTAACCCCTAGCCTAGCTAACGTTAGCGAGCTAGCTAACGTTAGCCACCTAGCTAGAATTCGTAACATAGCATACATTTTGCAAATTTGTAACATATTGTGCGTTTTGCACTTCGTAACATATACTATGAATTGTAATTCGAAACATATCATACGAAATTGGTGATGGACATCCACAAATGAATACACACCATACGAAACGTAATGTATCAAACTAAATGGAGTGTCTCGGATTTACGTGTAGCTCAGTTGGTAGAGCATGGCGCTTGCAACGCCAGGGTTGTGGGTTCGTTTCCCACGGGGGGCCAGTAAGAAAATGTATGCACTCACTAACTGTAAGTCGCTCTGTATAAAAGCGTCTGCTAAAAATGTCCTAAAATAAAAAGAATAATACCAAATGCTCTGAGACCAGGTTGACCTCCATCTCCAAATTCATAATAAAGCCATGTCCTGTGCCATACCGTTTTTTGGCATTGCTGCTCTTGGAGGACTTTCCACAGCCATTGCAAAAAATACCAGTCAGTCAGCTCTCGCCTCTACCAAGTTGTGACAGAATTTGCAAAAACAAAGTGCGGTAAAATGTGTCTGTGATGGTTCTGATAACTGCAGGCTTTCTGGGACATTGTGATATTGTGTACTGAGTATTTGCGTAAGAAATGTGGACTTGTAATAAATGTGTGTGGTTGCTTAATGTTTGCACATTGCACAATGCCGTTTTTTCAGGACAAAGTTGTAATAAAATAACCACTTAAGGCTACTCAACTCCTAAATTAAATATTCAACTTTTAGTCTTACAGTTTCCGTTTAAACCCCCTTATTTGACTGCTAGACCACTGAAATAAATAATGTACATCCATTATTTATTACAATACATAGCCGACATCATAACAATATAATAGACGTAAATGCAGTCGCATTGGACCCATAGGCTAGGCTACACCTGTGGGACAACAAAAGGCAGCCGCCACTTTCGGCCCTGCTCATCGGAATGCGCACAATGCTACCTGACGCGACGCACCAAAAACAAAAACAAACGTGGCATGTAGCCTAATATGAACGGTGTATGTGATTAACCTCAAGTACTGGGGTCAATGGCATTTTGCGTGAATGTTTGAGAATACCGCATCATAGTCTAGTACCACCACAAATAGCATTGATAATTTTACTCCCTACAACCATCTATCTTGAATTCACGCACCCCATGACGACAAATACTCTGTTACTCAAGACACTCACCCAGGACACCGAACGACATTGAATATGTCTGTTCTTGCTTAGTTCTCTTGTCGTCTTCAGTGGGCACCGTCTTCTCCATCCTCTCCCCTACCCTGTCGCCGTCCGCGGTGCTGTTTACAGAAGCGGCGGGATCAGGTGCTCCAATCGTCACGATCATGGCGCATTAATTCACAGTTCAGTGCGGGTGATGTGCTGAAAAGACAGGGCTGCAACTATGGAAGGTGATGTTGCATGAGCATTGTATGAACAGGGTTAGGGATACCCGCCTACGCTACCTGTTCGTGCTATGACCTGAACCTGGCAGAAAGTGTTTGGTTGTAACAGGTTCTCACTCTCGACCATTCATTTGGAGAAGGTCTGGCCCTGCATTCATAAAGCGTCTCAGATTAGGAGTGCTGATCTATGATCAGGTCCCCCATGTCCATGTAACTCATTCATTAATAAGATTTAAAAGGCTGATCCTAGATGAGCACTCCTACTCTGAGACACTTTATGAATACGGGCCCTGATTGTATTGTACTGTAGAGACAAAATGACATAAGCTATTCAGAGTACTTTTATCTCATCAAAATTATGATGTGATCTGCAAGCCATTATTATAGATGGTCACGAAGAGAGAACTCCGCCTTTGCAATAAATATAGCTTGTGATTAAAAAGACCCCTCTGAAATCCACTGAAGGACACCGATTTGTAGGAGATCCTACTTCTCAATTCCATTACGCTTTCAGATCTTGCAGTACAATGTCATGGCCGCTAGAGAGCAGTCGTGTTAATGTGTGAGAAAGATAGAGACTCTTCTTGTTGGTATACAGGGCAAGAGACAGGAAATCCTGTTGAGGTGCCAGGCTGCTTGCTACCTTTAGCCCCCAAACTCCTCCAGGGAACACTGGGTAAAGGATCTGGGCCCGTATTCATAAAGTGTCTCAGTGTCAGAGTGCTGAGGTCCCGCATATCCATATAATCATATTCATTATAATCTTAAAGGCAAAACTGATCCTAGATCAGCACTTGCCTACTCTGAGATGAATATGGGCCCAGAAAGCAGTGCTGCTGCTGAGCTGAGTAAATGCTCTATAATCCACTGTCTCTCCCTACTCTGGCAGAATACCATAGGCATTGAGGCTTTCTGGTTGATTGCTAATCAATTGGGTTGATAGAGTACAGTAAATCTAGTCTGGTGACATGCTAAAATCCAACTGACTTGCCATTGAGGATGATTGATAATCTTGTTGGGCTTTTGTTTGGGAGAGGTCATGAGTCTATGTACAGGAAAAAGCTTTTCATTGTGTATTACGTATTCATTGTAAATGTTGGTTTAGTCTTCATTTGAATAGGATTGTAACATTCATTTTGCAATGCAAGTGAGGAATTCAGTATACTTTTGAAATTGTTTACAATAACTTGACGATTAGATATGAAAAGATACTAGGCTTCTGAGCAGCGCTACAGTACTGAAAACTCGTACGTGACTTGGTAATCTCAAATTTACAGATGTGATTGATAGTAATGCAATGACGAGTGCTTGACCTGACATGAGAGGCCAAAGTGAGCTCAGGTTGTGTTTGACAGATCCAGGGACACCATCGAGGCCCAATGTTTCCTTCCACCTGCTGCTGCTTCCACTCTTAACCTCAGCCTCAACTATCAGCAAGAGAGAGGTTTTGCCCTCTAATGTTTTTACCAGTCAGGCGGCCATTGGACTGAAAGGGGCCAGGCAAATAGGAAGTGTAATTAGCATTCATGGTCAAGAGGGAACGTTAGTAGCCAGAGACAAAAGGGGTCAGAGTTCTGCAACCCCGGGTAGGAAGGAGGTAGCAATAATAAGCGGCCATTCCATTCCTGCGGTTTGGGTGGAGTGGGGAGATGTGGCCCCCTGGCCTTTCTGGGTCTCAGAAGAGCCCCAGACATAGAGCAAATCCAGAGCAAACCCAACATTCTCAGACACCACTGTGGCTCCAATCTGCGTTTTTAAAAAACCTAATTGGCCTCGGATACCTGAGGACGCTCAATAGCAAATGATCGGTGACAGTAGAAGACAAGCATAGATTATTGCAAATAGTACCCATCACGCTGAACCGACAGAGGGATAAGTAGGCAATTCTTCATATATCAAATTAAGATGAGTAAACACAGGTTTAAAGGGGACTTTAACCTAAAATACATATTTCAACGTTTTCTACTTTTGTTGGCTGTTGTTGATTGATCCAGTTTTAAAGTCCCTATTTGAGTTATTTGGTTAGTTTCAGCAGCATCTGTCTACTAGCTACTAGCTAACGTTAGCTTCATTAGGCAAAAAATGAACAGAATGCATCCAACAGCACACCTCTGGGCAGAGCTCCACAGGGCTAACTAACTGTAAGTAAGTGGATATTTCCAACCCGCAGTTAGCCAAGTTAGCTAGCTAGGTAGCTAGAGTTATGTTTACAGTTAGCCTAGTTAGATACCGCTCCTACACTCCTAGTTTTGCTAACTACCGTAAACACTGCTTCATGCCTCCAAAATGTTTACATTTTGTTGATTGTGACATATCCACTTAATAGGGTATTCAGGCATGCTTTGTGCTAACCTGCAGTGCAATTTGCACAATCATGCATACGCCTGTGTGAACTCTATCACATGGACATCAAAGTTACAGTACTGTTGATGAGTTTCAGTTATTTTTTATAAAATCTGCATTGTGATAGTGTGAGCAGTTTGGATGTCTCTATCTCAGACATTTTCGATCGAAATATACTATTTTGTCCAGTGTGGCGGAGTGTGCCAAAGTGGAATCAGACCAGAACACAGACCTACAATCTCCTCTTGGCTTCTCTCACGGGGAACTGGAGGTCCAATGGTCCTGACTGGAAAAACACTTGATGTTAAACAAAGGATTTCCTTTTTCCTTTAGACAGGAAGGAGGTCTCACTTACTGAACTCTACCATTTATTAATTGGCACCCAGTCAAACCACTTTAAGCTTTTCAATTAATGGTTGGTTCCCTTCTTGAATTTTATGCAGCAAAAATTCAAGTTAGTTGGGAACAGATTTTTGATGTCCCAATCATAGAGATCCTATTAAATTACTCTAATTATTCTAATTCCTAATTCTATGGTTCCAATACCATGGCATAGGGTTTTTGAACTGATATACAAAACAACAATTGACGCATCAATCCGTTCTTTATAAATTAAACTATTATATAATTCTCGCCACAAAAATAATGCTCATTATATGGGGCATTGAATAGTCAGCCTTGGGCAGACTCTGCCACGAGGAAACAGAATAAATACATCATCTGGAGTCAGGTCCAGGAGTTGTTCATTCATAATGTCTGTGTTCAGATGGACCTATAAACAATACTATTAGGCGATCTGAAAAACCACAATCAATCAATGGAAAATATGATTACACTCTTAGGTAAAATATGATTTTTTTTCAGCAATCTCTGTAGAAATTGTACAAATAGAGAGGTTCAAGACCCTCGTAAGACATCACAGTAATATAGAGGGATGTATTGCAAAAGGAAATAGTAAAATGGTAGTGTACTGGGAAAGATGGTTTAGTCTGTGGACATCTGAGGATTGGAATTAAGATTGGAGGATTGATTGATTGGCCGATACAGTTGGGAGTCCAGTGTGATTAGGAAAGAAAAGTTAATGTTTTCCAAAAAGTCCTTTGGTATATATACAGTGGGGAGAACAAGTATTTGATACACTGCTGATTTTGCAGGTTTTCCTACTTACAAAGCATGTAGAGGTCTGTAATTTTTATCATAGGTACACTTCAACTGTGAGAGACTGAATCTAAAACAAAAATCCAGAAAATCACATTGTATGATTTTTAAGTAATTAATTTGCATTTTATTGCATGACATAAGTATTTGATCACCTACCAACCAGTAAGAATTCCGTCTCTCACAGACATGTTAGTTTTTCTTTAAGAAGCCCTCCTGTTCTCCACTCATTACCTGTATTAACTGCACCTGTTTGAACTCGTTACCTGTATAAAAGACACCTGTCCACACACTCAATCAAACAGACTCCAACCTCTCCACAATGGCCAAGATCAGAGAGCTGTGTAAGGACATCAGGGATAAAATTGTAGACCTGCACAAGGCTGGGATGGGCTACAGGACAATAGGCAAGCAGCTTGGTGAGAAGGCAACAACTGTTGGCGCAATTATTAGAAAATGGAAGAAGTTCAAGATGACGGTCAATCACCCTCAGTCTGGGGCTCCACGCAAGATTAGTCTGTGGTCCTCTGTAGCTCAATTGGTAGAGCATGGCGCTTGTAACGCCAGGGTAGTGTGTTCGATCCCCGGGACCACCCATACGTAAAAATGTATGCGCACATGACTGTAAGTCGGTTTGGATAAAAGCGTCTGCTAAATGGCATATTATTATTATTTATTTATCTCACCTCGTGGGGCATCAATGATCATCAGGAAGGTCAGGGATCAGCCCAGAACTACACGGCAGGACCTGGTCAATGACCTGAAGAGAGCTGGGACCACAGTCTCAAAGAAAACCATTAGTAACACAATACGCCATCATGGATTAAAATCCTGCAGCGCACGCAAGGTCCCCCTGCTCAAGCCAGCGCATGTCCAGGCCCGTCTGAAGTTTGCCAATGACCATCTGGATGATCCAGAGGAGGAATGGGAGAAGGTCATGTGGTCTGATGAGACAGAAATAGAGCTTTTTGGTCTAAACTCCACTCGCCGTGTTTGGAGGAAGAAGAAGGATGAGTACAACCCCAAGAACACCATCCCAACCGTGAAGCACGGAGGTGGAAACATACTTTTTTGGTGATGCTTTTCTGCAAAGGGGACAGGACGACTGCGCTGTATTGAAGGGAGGATCGATGGGGCCATGTATCGCGAGATCTTGGCCAACAACCTCCTTCCCTCAGTAAGAGCATTGAAGATGGGTCGTGGCTGGGTCTTTCAGCATGACAACGACCCGAAACACACAGCCAGGGCAACTAAGGAGTGTCTCCGTAAGAAGCATCTCAAGGTCCTGGAGTGGCCTAGCCAGTCTCCAGACCTGAACCCAATAGAACATCTTTGGAGGGAGCTGAAAGTCCGTATTGCCCAGCGACAGTCCCGAAACCTGAAGGATCTGGAGAAGGTCTGTATGGAGTGGGCCAAAATCCCTGCTGCAGTGTGTGCAAACCTGGTCAAGACCTACAGGAAACATATGATCTCTGTAATTGCAAACAAAGGTTTCTGTACCAAATATTAAGTTCTGCTTTTCTGATGTATCAAATACTTATGTCATGCAATAAAATGCAAATTAATTACTTAAAAATCATACAATGTGATTTTCTGGATTTTTTTTTTGATTCCGTCTCTCACAGTTGAAGTGTACCTATAATAAAAAATTACAGACCTCTACATGCTTTGTAAGTAGGAAAACCTGCAAAATCGTCAGTGTATCAAATACTTGTTCTCCCCACTGTATATATATATATATATATATATATATAGTACCAGTCAAACGTTTGGACACACCTACTCATTCCATGGTTTTTCTTTATTTTTACTATTTTCTACATTGTAGAATAAAACGATGAAACTATGAAATAACACATATGGAATCATGTAGTAACCAAAAAGTGTTTAACAAATCAAAATACATTTTATATTTGAGATTCTTAATTGTAGCCACTCTTTGCCTTGATGACAACTTTGCACACTCTTGGCATTCTCTCAACCAGCATCATGAGGTAGTCACCTGGAATGCATTTCAATTAAGGTGTGCCTTGTTAAAAGTTAATTTGTTGAATTTCTTTCCTTCTTAATGCGTTTGAGCCAATCAGTTGTGTTGTGACCAAGTCCATATTATGGCAAGAACAGCTAAAATAAGCAAAGAGAAACGACAGTCCATCATTACTTTAAGACATGAAGGTCAGTCAATCCGGAAAATGTCAAGAACTTTTAAAGTTTCTTCAAGTGCAGTCGCAAAAACCATCAAACGCTATGATGAAACTTGCTCTCATGAGGACCGCCACAGGAAAGGAAGACTCAGAATTGCCTCTGTTGCAGAGGATAAGTTTATTAGAGTTACCAGCCTCAGAAATGGGCAATTAACTGCACCTCAGATTGCACCTCACAGAGTTCAAGTAACAGACACATCTCAACATCAACTGTTCAGAGGAGACTGTGTGAATCAGACCTTCATGGTCGAATTGCTGCAAAGAAACCACTACTAAAGGATACCAATAAGAAGAAGAGACTTGCTTGGGCCAAGAAACACGAGCAATGGACATTAAACCAGTGGAAATCTGTCCCTTGGTCTGATGAGTCCAAATTTGAGATTTTTGGGTCCAACCGCCGTGTCTTTGTGAGACGCAGAGTAGGTGAAAGGATTATCTCCGCATGTGTGGTTCCCATCGTGAAGTATGGAGGAGGAGGTGTTATGGTGTGGGGGTGCTTTGCTGGTGACACTGTCAGTGATTTATTTAGAATTCAAGACACATTTAACTAGCATGGCTACCACAGCATTCTGCGGTGATACGCCATCCCATCTGGTTTGCGCTTAGTGGGACTATCATTTGTTTTTCAACAGGACAATGACCCAAAACACACCTCCAGGCAGTGTAAGGGCTATTTGACCAAGAAGGAGAGTGATGGAGTGCTGCATCAGATGACCTGGCCTCCACAATCACCCGACCTCAACCCAATTGAGATGGTTTGGGATGAGTTGGACCGCCGAGTGAAGGAAAAGCAGCGAACAAGTGCTCAGCATATGTGGGAACTCCTTCAAGACTGTTGGAAAAGCATTCCTCATGAAGCTGGTTGAGAGAATGACAAGAGTGTGCAAAGCTGTCATCAAGGCAAAGGGTGGCTACTTTGAAGAATCTCAAATATAAAATATATTTTGATTTGTTTAACACTTTTTTGGTTACTACATGATTCCATATGTGTTATTTCATAGTTTTGATGTCTTCACTATTATTCTATAATGTAGAAAATTGTAAAAATAAAGAAAAACCCTTGTATGAGTAGGTGTTCTAAAACTTTTGACCGGTAGTGTATATACAGTATATTACATTTTAATGTTTTCCACCAAGTCCTCCAACCAGGGTAGAGGGGGGTAGGGGCATAATAAAAAATAAATACAAAATAAACAAATATAGATAAGAAAATAGGTGTTAGAAATTATGCAGGTAATGTTATTTGATAGACTTCAATTCTATCTGCTAATTTCATACCCGATCTGTCCCCCCAAAAAACAGTTTGTTCCCATTGTCATTCTTTCTTATTTTTGTATTTTCTACCCCCTTTTTCTCCCCAATTACCATCTTGTCTCATCGCTGCAACTCCCCAACGGGCTCGGGAGAGGCGAAGGTCGAGTCACGTGTCCTCTGAAACATGACCCGCCAAACCGCGCTCCTTAACACCCGCCAGCTTAACTCGGAAGCCAGCCGCACCGCAGGAAACACTGTTCAACAGAAGTCAGCCTGTAGGCGCCCGGCCCGCCACAAGGAGACGCGATGAGCCCCGGCCAAACCCTCCCCTAACCCTAGCAAACATTATTTGTCGTTCTGCTGTTCTACTATAATTGTTCTCAATGTAAAGGCTAGATGGTGTGCCAGATATAATTTGTGCTAATTGAATAGAATAATGCTGTATACATTGTTTATGGGTCGTTTTGGAGTTTCCTTTGAGACAAATTTAAGTGGAACTGACCCTGACCTTAGCCTAGCACAAACAGTCACGTAGTATTCACATATGAAATATATCTGGTTCTGCATGTCCCTAGATGTCATTCAAGCATGTTATGGAATTTTCCCATTGAGGTAACAATGCTGTTTTAGACTGTTAAAGTTGGGATTGCTGGGGTGCTATTTCCAATTGTTTATATATCCCATAAACGATAACAAAAGAAAACATTGTTTGGTGTTATTTCAGGGGATGTTTTTTTGGGAAAGGACAGGACATACTGAAGACTTGATGGATAATTCATCCTTCCGTCTCTCAATGTTTTTATAATAGTTGTTTCATGTTCTCATTAAGTGTATGGAAAGCTGTGGTCTGTTGCCAACCTAGGGGGTATTGTAAATTTTGGGTTTTGTATACACCGGTGTTTGTACAGATGTAGGATCTTAATTTGATCACTCAGCACAGCAGGAAATGCAAACTTGTAGTGTATTTGAGTTTTAAAAAGGCTTCTAAAGTTTGGAATTTCCACTTGGAATTTCAGACTTGATTTTCCCTAATGAAAAATGTAATTATAATCCACATAATAATTCACATTTCCCGTTGCTGCAGGATTATTTTACTGCTTTAGCAAAGTGGCTCAAATTAAGATCCCACATCTGTACCTTTCCCTCCCATCTGCCCCAATTGGTCTGACAGGTTGACAGATAAACATAAACATCTTGGTTGGATCCAATGGTCTTCCAGTAAATTATGTCAGTAACGTTATTATACTCACAATGGGTCACGCAAATGGGGACAAACAATTAATATCCGTCTTGGATGGGTTACATAGTTTTTTTTCTGAAATCAGAGTTGTGACATTCAAAGTAGTCCCTTAAACATAGAAGTCATCACACTTCATTCATAGAACCGGGTTTGCAAGAAGTATTCCTTAGTTTTTAATAAAAGTATATACAGTACATTGAAAAGAGCTTATTTACTACTTTTATGCCTTTCTCCTGACTAAATAAACATATTCAAATAACATGCATTTGTGGGTAGTTATCAAGGACATTCAAAAAAATTGAATACATGTCACAGTAGCAGCAGATTTTATTTTATTATATATTACAATGCAGCTGCTGTTGGTATAAATTATATTATACATATATTGACATACCAGAACTCAATATGAGGAGACTGGGTTTTATAGAAGGAGCAGAGGGTTCCATCTTTCCTCCATTTTCCTCTGTGAAATTTCATGGATTACCCAGATACTCTGCAGGCAAGAAGAAATAACAGAGATCCTTGTTCAGTTCATTGCATAGACTGCAGGCAGCACTTCTCTCATGTCCTTGCCTCGATGGCTTGCTCCCTTACAGAATTTAATTTACAATTATTTCATAAACTTAGCTTATTAGGATGTTTAAGGAATCTTTAGAATCCACAATTGCAGTTTCTATAGGCCAATTCCACTACTTAACATGGAGCTAAAACTCATCTCTAAAGCTCTATGACACATTATAAATCAACATTTGTTTTGTAACATTTAGATTACATTCTAATGTCATAATAAAAATGTGTCTCACCCATGTTGAATTAAAAGGTCTAGTAAGATGCACATTTTGGCATTTTTAACAACAGAACTTAATACATTTATTAAAGATTCACTTAAATACCCAGAGGGTATGTGAACTCACTCTGAGCCGGAGTTGGGGTTGGAATACTGCTGCAGCTCTCGTAAGTGTTGATTGATATGTGCTGTGGAAACAACAGAACAACAACATAAGCCGTTGTCCATAGTATATCACAGTGTTTATAAGAAGTTATTTTTATATCAAGCCTTTATATCTTACCTAAACTGTAACCGTTCGAGCTGTCCATTCCTGATCCGTTCATCCTTGCGGCGCCTGATGATGACAAAGCACTTGACCCGGCCCTACCCAATCCTGTGTTGCCAAAACCTGCGTTGCCGTTTCCTGTTGCAGAAGCACCCCACCCACCTGTTCCAGCCCCCAATCCTGTTCCAGCAGTTGACCCCCTGTTACCTTGCCCTGTTGCACTCAACCCTTCCCCGCCAAATGCATTCCCAGTTGAGCCAGGGTCACCCATCCCATGCCTGCTACCCCAGGGCCCAGTCTGATTTGGTCCGGACATCCCTGAGTTACCCATGCCGGTCTGAAACATAATAAGACAAAGATAATAATGTTTGGTTACTACCGGTATGTGAAAATACTTCAACATATAACAATGAGTCATCAGTTTATCTAGCATATTCAAAGATAATAATAACACAAACATATCATGTTTATTATAACATGACCACCAATTGTATCTTATAGACTGTGGCACTTTACCAGCCAGTTGGGCCGTTACCTATCTTCGAGTTCCCTGCATTGTTTCTTTGGAATGAGACTGACACCCCCTCTAGTACCATAGTGGGATCCCTGCCAAGTTGATGAGATTGACACCTCCTCTAGTACCATAGTGGGATCCCTGCCAAGTTGATGAGATTGACACCTCCTCTAGTACCATAGTGGGATCCCTGCCAAGTTGAGGAGATTGACACCTCCTCTAGTACCATAGTGGGATCCCTGCCAAGTTGAGGAGATTGACACCTCCTCTAGTACCATAGTGGGATCCCTGCCAAGTTGAGGAGATTGACACCTCCTCTAGTACCATAGTGGGATCCCTGCCAAGTTGATGAGATTGACACCTCCTCTAGTACCATAGTGGGATCCCTGCCAAGTTGAGGAGATTGACACCTCCTCTAGTACCATAGTGGGATCCCTGCCAAGTTGATGAGATTGACACCTCCTCTAGTACCATAGTGGGATCCCTGCCAAGTTGAGGAGATTGACACCCCCTCTAGTACCATAGTGGGATCCCTGCCAAGTTGAGGAGATTGACACCTCCTCTAGTACCATAGTGGGATCCCTGCCAAGTTGATGAGATTGACACCTCCTCTAGTACCATAGTGGGATCCCTGCCAAGTTGATGAGATTGACACCTCCTCTAGTACCATAGTGGGATCCCTGCCAAGTTGATGAGATTGACACCTCCTCTAGTACCATAGTGGGATCCCTTCCAAGTTGATGAGATTGACACCTCCTCTAGTACCATAGTGGGATCCCTTCCAAGTTGATGAGATTGGCACCTCCTCTAGTACCATAGTGGGATCCCTGCCAAGTTGATGAGATTGACACCTCCTCTAGTACCATAGTGGGATCCCTGCCAAGTTGATGAGATTGACACCTCCTCTTGTACCATAGTGTCTATTCTGATCATACACATTTTATGATCAGAAGTTTCAGACATTTATGAAGGCATAAATGTATGAAAGCGTGTACTCCTGCATCTCTCATTTACATGATTAGATCTTTTGACCAGCGTCCCAACTCCATCCTTTCACACCAATGACGGAAGCCATTTCTGGCCTCAGTTTGACTACCACCACTCTGAGCTGGATGTAAGCCCGGTGTAATACCACGCAATAGAGATTCCCTTACCCTGGAGCCACAGTTGGCCAGTGAGCTGTTGAGGTTATTGATCTTGTCCTTGAGAATGCTGATCTCACCCTCCTTCATCTTCATCGCCGTCTCCTGCAGCTCCTTGTTCCCCTGCAGCCTCCTGCGGTCCATCAGCATTCTCTCCGTCTCTAGGTCGTATTTCTCCTGGGTCTTCTGAAGCTTCCTGCGGTGCTCCAGGGCCATGGCGCTGCGATTGTAGCTACACCAGTCGTAGTCCTCCTTCAGCTGGTCTTTATCCGCCTGCAGCCGGGCGCTTTGGCCCTCGATCTCCGACATCTGAGAGCCCACCTTGTCCAGGTAGTGCTGGAACTTGGTCTCCACCTCGCGGGACAGACCGGTGCAGTTGTTGCGGATCTGGTCCAGGTGGTGGAGCTGCTTCTCGCAGGTGAGCAGGAAGGGGCTGACATTGGGCAGGAGGTTGTCGATCTTCAACAGGAAGGCTTTAGAGACGTCGGAGATGCCGGCCAGTGATTGGACAAAGTCCTCCTTGCACTTCTTCCTGTAGCCCTCCAGTTGTCTCTGCAGGAAGGTCTTGTCCCTCTGGAGGGAGATGGCCTCAAGGGTGAGGGAGTCCCGGTCCATGGCTGTGTTCTCCATCTCCATCCTCATGAACTGCACCGTCTGACTGAAGTTGGAGCTCACTAGCTTTAGCAACTGCTCCAGCTGCTGGACCTGGTTTTCTTGCATTTTCTTGTTGTTGCCTATAAAAGATTTTGAAGAACAAAAAGAAGAAAGAAAAACCTTTTATGTTAATACTTCGGAACCAAGATCAGATTTTGTCCGGGATTCAATCCGAGGAGCACTGTCGACATTGTGCCTTTTAAAGGCAATGTTCCTGCATTTGCGGAGATTGCGTTCACAGTGCAGATGCGGGCTCAATAGAAAATAACCTTTAAATCAAGCTCTCTACAATGCAGCTTGGATTGAATCCCGGGCCTGTGTTGGTTTTAAGTGAATTCAGAATGGCAAGTAAATAATTGTAATTATAATTTAACTATTTGTATTCTCACTTCGGTAACAACAACAACAACAACAACAGTGAAGACAAAAGATCATTGCAAAGTTGTAATTTGCACCATGCTTATTCTTGTCCAAATAAGTACCAGTTAGGAAACCCACTGGGCACAGACGTCAATTCAACGTCTATTCCACGTTGGTTCAACGTAATTTCCTTTAAATGATGTGGAAACAATGTTGGTTCAACCAGTGTGTGCCCAGTGGGAAGCTGATAGGTTTAGGAAAGCTGTGAATGATTAGAATGAGATTCTGAGTGGACGACTGAACAGGAATACTGTATGTAACACTAGAGCAGAGCAGAGCAATTAAAACATTGTTTGTCTTACAGTTGTCTTACCATTTGGTGGCATGGCCCTGTGGCATTGGTTCATGCTAAGTTGATGCTGACAGCTTCCCTTATCCTTTTCACACTGATACTGTGGATATTAATAACAGATATGCATCAGCACCACATTTTGTCTGCCAAATACAATTTGAGTGAAAGTTTCACCTACAGATTTAGGATCTGCAGCAACAGGAAATGTGTATTATATGCATATTTTTTTATTATGGACATATTTTGTAGAGGTTGATCAATTTTCCATTAGGTCAAATCAAGACTGACATTTTTAAGTGGAAATTACAAACTTTAGAATCCTTTTCAATCCTTTTCAAACCTTGAACACACTACACTTTTGCATTTTCTGCTGTGCAGGAACATTTCTGCAACAACAAGATGATCAAATTAAGATACGGCATCTGTACATGCACATTATTGTTGACACTGTTGCTAAAACGTTTTATAAATCTATTTTATAGAAATGATGAATAGTCAAGCTTAAATCTGAATATACAGTGATTAGTGATTGTTAATGTTTATGACTGTTGTAACACTGTTTTAACCTTTTCAGGTATATTTGCTGAAATTATCTGAAACTATCTGAAATTATTGATATGATATATGATATGTATAACAGACTTGAATGTAATGTGTTATTTTATGTTAAATTACACTCAAATCAAATCATTTAGCACATGTTTTGTTTTCCTATCCACTAATACAGCTAAACTGGCATTTTAATATTCAGTAAACCAATCATTGGGATCCCACTGTATGTACTGTGCTGCTGTCATTGTAATGAATATTCAAAATCCACATATTGAAGATCCACCAAAGTATTTAAAAATATGCATGCCTAAAAATCCAACACAACCTCACAAATCCCCTCTAGCATTGACCTGTGAACATCGATAACAAAACCAGTCTCAGTTCTTACCACTAGTTCTTTGAGATTGGCGATGAACATGCCAGACCTGTTTGCCACTTGACGCAGACTCATCATATCCCTGTCGTTGCGCATCTTGTCAGTCAGGGTGGCGTTCAGGAGCTGCGTCAGGTTCTTTCCCTGCTGCCGGAGGTTGACGTTGTCAATGGAGAGGTGGCTGAAGCTCTTCTCCAGGTCCTGGACCCGGCTCTCGGCCGCCGCGTCTGGGGAGCTCCCGTAGACCAGGAAGAGCACCAGGCTGACGATGATGAGGGACTGGATCAGAGAGGAGAAGAAGAAGACGAGCCTCATGTAGTAGCCGCAGCTCTTCCCGCTGGGCTTCTGGATCTTCCTCCTGCTCTCTAAGCCAAACTTGGCCTGGGAGTAGCTGCTGTTGTACATGGCTGTTAAGCCTCTGAGGCACAGTACAGAACAGAACAGAACAGAACAGAACAGAACAGAACAGAACAGAACACCCTTACTGAGAAACAGCCAAGCCCAGACAGAATCAGATGGTTCAAATGGGGTCCACTTCTTGAGGACCAAGTAGAGAGCGTTAAACCCCAAGCACTGAACTCTTCTTTCCCAAATTAAATGAAAAATAAATCAATAAGATGTGAGATATCGTAGGCAGACCCTGGTAGTGGAGATAGTATCCCCCTTCTGACCTAAGGTAGCACACACTGACAGCCCAAACAGTAAAGTTCCAGACGTTTCTTCTGCTGAGCGTAATGTCGTGTGAGAAGACGGGATTGTGTCTGAGGTGTAAACATGGTCAGGAGTTTATAAACGCCTCGCCACACTTCCCACTCTGGGAACTCCTTCCTTGACCCACTCTCCACCCCTGGACATCATGTCAGGGGTTAGGATAACATCACACATACACACACATATACACACATGTATATAACATCACACAAACACAACATCACACACACACAGACACACACACACAGACACACACACACACACACACACACACACACACACACACACACACACACACACACACACACACACACACACACACACACACACACACACACACACACACACACACACACACACAGGAGGTGGTTCAGACCACATTCACCCAACCTTAGCCCCCTTTTGTTTGACAGGTAGCCTAGCGGTTAAGAGCTATGGACCAGTAACCGAAAGGTTGCTGGTTTGAATCCCGGAGCCGACTAGCTGAAAATCTGGTGATGTGCCCTTGAGCAAGGCACTTAACCCTAATTGCTGCTGTAAGTTGCTCTGGAAAAGAGCGTCTGCTAAATGACAATGTGAGCACGTGACAAGAGATAGTGGTCCTGAAATGACATGCTCTGAAGGAGATTATAATCTTAGGCAAGTTTTAGGAAAATTCTTCAGGTATAACAGTCCTATTTAACAAGGTGTGCCTAGACTTTACCAGTCTATGTAACTAAGATGTATTAGTGTACCTAGGTATTAGGTACACTATTGTTTTTTGTATCTTATATGATGATCGTCAATTTTTGTTGATCTAAACACTACGTCAACCTTTATCTTCTCTCTGATTAGTTGTAAGGTCAGGAAAGGCCACTGTTAACAAGTATGTGGCGTGGTTAGGTACATTAATTTTCACACTCTTAACAGGTAAACGCTCCATTAACCTTTGTTCTGATCATTGTTCTGAAGATAGTCTCTGCTCTGAAGATTTGATCTGTATGTATTATCTTCCTCCATAACTACCTTTCTCAAAATGGCACATTGTAAAGACCTAATTTCCAAGAAAAACTCAACTGTTCTATGGCATTATGAACATGGTTTCCGGTGCACGGCACCAAAAGTTATGTAATAATAAGCCATTTAGCAGACGCTTTTATCCAAAGCTACTTACAGTCATGTGTGCATACATTTTTACGTATGGGTGGTCCCGGGGATCGAACCCACTACCCTGGCGTTACAAGCGTCATGCTCTACCAATTGAGCTACAGAGGACCACATGTGTCAGGACCATAGCACATGTTGTTCCACAGACATTCTCATCAAGTATCGGAGCCAGCGGCCCTTTGATGCTCTGCGTCTCAACCCAACTTGCTGACGTGGGCAGCTGACAGTCAGTCTCTCAGGAGACAGGAGACCCCAAACACAGCAGCAGAATGAAAGCCAGAACTTTTCCTGCCTGCCAGCCATTGTTGCCTTGCCAACCCTGTCTTTAGAGGAAGCAGTAATTCACCAAGGTATTGGCCATCTCATCTGAGTTGTTACCATCAGGACAGATCACAGATAAAGCTTGGGAACAAAAGCAGGATATCAGGGACAAACACAGAAGTACACACAAAATGTTGAATATTGAGAATGAAATGGGTTGTTTATCTGGAGCATAAACAACTGGTATTCTGGTCAGTGCTGTCAGAATAACATTTTGTTTTTTTTGGACCAAGTGTTGGAACGTTGCGTTTCCCCTAGGGTACCTGCCTCCTAGAAATCTATCAACTCCTTCACTGTAATATTGTAGATGGCCGTTTAGGAATGTCACAGAACAATATGGTACTGTTATATTTTCCACCATATCTAATGCTTTCAGATCTCAGAGGGAGAGTCAACAAGGGCAGGATCATAAACATGGATTGTTATTGAATTAGAATTGGACCTCTTTTTATTTTTTCATGTATCAGGTATTTGCAATTCATAGATTAGAATAACTTTATTCCTGTCCATAACACATACTGCCACCTAGTGTTAACTGCAACTCCTGCAACCAACTTTCCCTCCAACCAATCTACATCAGAGAGAATTTTAGAAATGGACGTGTGATGGAATGACGGAATGAACGGACTTCTTGGAGAAGAAATAAGTAAATATCAACAAAGTTGAAGAATATACAGTACCATTCAAAAGTTTGGACACTCCTACTCATTCCAGGGTTTTTCTTTATTTTTACTATTTTCTACATTGTAGAATAATAGTGAAGACGTCAAAACTATGAAATAACACATATGGAATCATGTACTAACCAAAAAAGTGTTGAACAAATCAAAATATATTGTATATATGAGATTCTTCAAAGTAGTCACCATTTGCCTTGATGACAGCTTTGCACACTCTTGGCATTCTCTCAACCAGCTTCATGAGGTAGTCACCTGGAATGCATTTCAATTAACAGGTGTGCCTTGTTAAAAGTTAATTTGTGGAATTTCTTTCCTTAATGCGTTTGAGCCAATCAGTTGTGTTGTTACAAGGTAGGGGTGGTATACAGAAGATAGCCCTATTTGGTAAAAGACCAAGTCCATATTATGGCAAGAACAGCTCAAATAAGCAAAGAGAAATGACAGTCCATCATTACTTTAAGACATGAAGGTCAGTCAATCCAGAAAATTTCAAGAACATCAAGCGCTATGATGAAACTGGATCTCATGAGGACCGCCACAGGAATGGAAGACCCAGAGTTACCTCTGCTGCAGAGGAGAAGTTCATTAGAGTTACCAGCCTCAGAAATCGGCAATTAACTGCACCTCAGATTGCACCTCAGAGTTCAAGTAAGAGACACATCTCAACATCAACTGTTCAGAGGAGACTGCGTGAATCAGGCCTTCATGGTCGAATTGCTGCAAAGAAACCACTACTAAAGGACACCAATAAGAAGAAGAGACTTGCTTGGGCCAAGAAACACGAGCAATGGACATTAGACCGCTGAAAATCTGTCCTTTGGTCTGATGAGTCCAAATTTGAGATTTTTGGTTCCAACCGCCTTGTCTTTGTGAAACGCAGAGTAGGTGAACGGATGATCTACGCATGTGTGGTTCCCATCATGAAGCTTGGAGGAGGAGGTGTGATAGTGGGGGTGCTTTGCTGGTGACACTGTCAGTGATTTATTTAGAATTCAAGGCACACTTAACCAGCATGGCTACCACATCATTCTGCAGCAGTACGCCATCCCATCTGGTTTGTGCTTAGTGGGACAATAATTTGTTTTTCAACAGGACAATGACCCAAAACACACCTCCAGGCTGTGTAAGGGCTATTTTACCAAGAAGGAGAGTGATGGAGTGCTGTATCAAACGACCTGGCCTCCACAATCACCCGACCTCAACCCAATTGAGATGGTTTGGGATGAGTTGGACCGCAGAGTGAAGGAAAAGCAGCCAACAAGTGCTCAGCATATGTGGGAACTCCTTCAAGACTGTTGGAAAAGCATTCCAGTTGACTCCCTCATGAAGCTGGTTGAGAGAATGCAAAGCAGTCATCAAGGCAAAAGGTGGCTACTTTGAAGAATCTAAAATCTAAAATATATTTTGATTTGTTTAAAACTTTTTTGGTTACTACATGATTCCATAAATCAAATCAAATTGTATTTGCCACATGCGCCGAATACAACAGGTGTCGACCTTACAGTGAAATGCTTACTTACAAGCCCTTAACCAACAATGCAGTTTTAAGTAAAAAATAGATAAGTAAAAAATAACAATACCACATAATTAAAGAGCAGCAGTAAAACTATATACAGGGGGTACCGGTACAGAGTCAATGTGCAGGGGCACCGGTTATGTGTTATTTCATAGTTTTGATGTCTTCACTATTATTCTACAATGTAGAAAATAGTAAAAATAAAGAAAAACCCTGGAATTAGTAGGTGTGTCCAAACTTTTGACTAGTACTGTTCTGTCGAGGCAGAAAAACAGCACAGAACATCACAGTAAAAAGGTTGTATTGACTTATTCATGGTTGGGCTTGTTTGATCAGATTATTTGTCTTGAATTAGTCATGGCTTGAACCACTTAGATTTTATACAGTAGTGCATTATTTACCAGAACTTCCCCTCAAAACATAAAACATTTAGACAAACAATAAATTTCGCTTGAGTTACTGTGTACTCGAGACCTAGTAAATGCAGTTAGAAAGTTTTCCTCCACATTGAATTACACAAATTGTCACGGTTTCGGCCGAGGCTGCTTCTCTCCCTTGTTCGGGCAGGTTTCGGCGTTCGTCGTCTCCGGAATTCTAGCTGCCACCGTTCTATGTTCTTTGTTTCCTGTTTGATTAGTTTTGTCTGTTAGCCACACCTGTCTAGTGTTAGGTCTCATTAAGCACCCTATTTAGTTTCCTTGTTGTTTGTATAGTGTTGTGTGTAATTGTTTTGTCAAGTGTCTTGCGTACATTTGTCTTGTTTGCCAGTACGCCATTTATCAGTAGTTCCTCCGCTGTTAGGAGAGTTTTGCGCACTGTGTTTCGTGCGATAGTTTGTGGACGCCTGTGCGCGTCTGTTTGGCTTTCAGCCGCTTTTTGGATTATTTTTGTTCAAAGTAAAGTCTTGTTGGACTGTACCTCTGCTTCTGCGCCTGATTCCCCACCACACCAATACAACAACACTGACACAAATCAAGTTAAGGGTCTTCAAAAGAGAAGTGTATTTAGTATATGTATCCCACACGTCAGGCAAACTAACTCAAAAGAAAGAGCTACTGTTACAGTGGTGTCACGGTTTCGGCCGAGGCTGCTCCTCCTCCTGGTTCGGGCAGGCTTCGGCGTTCGCCGTCCCCGGAGTACTAGCTGCCACCGCTCTATGTTTCTGTGTTCCATTGCTTTTGTCTGGCTGTCACACCTGTGTTTGTTTTAGTGTTGATTACGTGTCTTATAAGTTCCATGTTGTAATCTAGGGTTTTTGTGTGTTGTTGTCCGTTGCCACGTTGTTTGATACGTGTTTATTTTTCCGTGTCTATTTTGCCTTGTTGAAGTGTTTTACACGTGTGCGTAATGTTCCTCGCCTCTTCGTGTTTTCGAGGTCGGGGCTTGTACGCTTACTTTGGACACTATTAAAAGTCTTGTTGGACTAACCTCTGCTTCCTGCACTTGACTCCTCCACCACATCCACGACGGCTCATGACAGAACAACACACCATCATGGAGTCAGCAGGATCAGCGGCGTCTCCCGAATCCCTGCTGGACCGGATCAATTTCCAGGACGCCATGATCCAGCAACTCGGGACCGCTATGGACAAGGTGTCCAACACCCTGCGCCGTTTGGTGAACTCTGAGGACCCTTACAACATCGCATCACCAACGGCCAGTCCTCCTCTCTCAGTACCGGAACCCAGTGGCATTCGGCTCTCACTCCCGAGGGCATATGACGGTTCTGCAGCCGGGTGTCAGGGATTCCTTCTGCAGGTAGAACTGTACCTTGCCACTATACACCCGGCGCCCTCGGGATACGAGAGCGTCTCCGCCCTCATCTCCTGTCTCTCCGGCAAAGCGTTGGAATGGGCCAACGCCGAATGGAGGGGAATAGACGCCGCTACCATCACCTACGCCTACGTTCTCTCGCCGCTTCAGGACTGTTTTCGATCATCCCCCTGAGGGGAAAGCGGCGGGAGAGCGTCTATTCCACCTCCGACAGGGGAGGAGGAGCGCACAGGAGTTCTCACTGGAGTTCCGGACACTAGCGGCGGATGCGGGGTGGAATGAGAGGGCCCTCATCGACCAGTACCGATGTAGTCTACGCGAGGACGTTCGTAGGGAGCTGGCCTGCAGGGACACCAACCTGTCGTTTGACCAGTTGGTGGACGTTTCCATCCGTCTGGATACCCTGCTGGCTACCCGCGGACGTCCCGAGTGGGGGTCGTCCAGTCCACCCTCCAGCGCCCCCGAGCCGATTCCCATGGAGCTAGGGGGTGCTGGCGCTAGAGAGAGGAGGAGAGGGAACCCGAGGGGGGCCATCCACTGCACCACCTGCGGTCGTGGAGGACACACTGCGGCCAGGTGCTGGGGAGGGTCTCCTGGGAGAGGTGACAACAGGCCACGCACTGGGGAGTCATTTCAGGTGAGTAGACGCTCCACTCACCCAGAGCTCTCTGTTGGTCACATGAGCATTCCTGTGAGGTTTCCACAGGTGGCACCTCATTCCCAGCATAAGGCGCTAGTAGATTCAGGCGCAGCTGGGAACTTTATTGATCGGGCATTTTGTAGTAGGTTAAGGATTCCCCTTCGGCCGGTAGACAATCCATTTCCTGTCCACGCACTAGACAGCCGGCCGTTGGGGTCGGGCCTAATCAGGGAGGTCACAGCACCACTGACTATGACGACGCAGGGGGGTCATGAGGAGAGCATTCAGTTTTATCTGATTGACTCTCCTGCGTATCCCGTGGTGTTGGGCCTTCCCTGGTTGAGCACCCATGATCCTACTATAACGTGGCAACAGAGGGCTCTTATGGAGTGGTCTGCTCAGTGTGTAGGGAGATGTCTAGGTGTTTCCGTAGGGGCGACCTCGGTAGAGAGTCCGAACCAAGTGCCCGCACTGCGCATTCCCCCCGAGTATGAGGATTTAGCACTCGTGTTTAGCAAATTGAGGGCAGCACGGCTACCTCCTCATAGACAGGGGGACTGTGCGATAAATCTCCAAACAGGAGCGGCTCTTCTTCGGAGTCATGTGTATCCCCTGTCTCAAGAGGAGACAGCGGCTATGGAGACATACATAGCCGAGTCCTTGGCACAGGGATACATACGGCCCTCTACTTCCCCAGTCTCCTCGAGTTTCTTCTTTGTGAAGAAGAAGGACGGGGGATTGCGCCCGTGTATTGATTATCGTAGTCTCAATCAGATCACAGTTAAATACAGCTACCCACTGCCACTGATTGCGACGATGACGGAATCATTACGCGGAGCGCGATTCTTCACAAAGTTGGATCTCAGGAGCGCGTACAATCTGGTGCGCATTAGGGAGGGGGATGAATGGAAGACAGCATTTAGCACCACCTCGGGTCATTACGAGTATCTCGTCATGCCATACGGGTTAATGAATGCTCCGTCAGTCTTCCAATCCTTTGTTGACGAGATTTTCCGGGACATGCATGGGCAGGGTGTAGTAGTTTACATCGACGACATCCTGGTGTACTCTTCTACACGAGCCGAGCATGTAGCCCAGGTGCGCCGAGTATTGAGAAGACTGTTGCAGCATGACTTGTATGTCAAGGCAGAGAAATGCCTGTTCTTCCAGGAGTCCGTCTCTTTTTTGGGTTATCGGTTGTCCTCGGCTGGTGTGGAGATAGAGGTAGACCTGGTATCGGCCGTGCGTAATTGGCAAACTCCAACCACTGTAAAAGAGGTGCAGCAGTTCTTGGGTTTTGCTAATTACTACCGGAGGTTTATTCGGGGTTTTGGACAGATTGCAGCTCCCATTACGTCCCTGCTAAAGGGGGGTCCGGTTCGTTTGCGGTGGTCGGCTGAGGCGGACAGGGCATTTATCAAGCTTAAGAACCTGTTCACCTCGGCTCCGGTGCTGGCGCACCCGGATCCCTCTTTACCATTCCAGGTTGAGGTGGACGCGTCCGAGACCGGTATTGGGGCAGTCCTGTCACAGCGGTCCGGCGCGCCACCTAAACTCCGCCCCTGTGCTTTCTACTCGAAGAAGCTCAGCTCGGCGGAGCGCAACTATGATGTTGGGGATAGGGAGTTGTTAGCCGTAGTCCAAGCCCTAAAGGTGTGGAGGCATTGGCTTGAGGGGGCTCAACACCCTTTTCTCATTCTGACTGATCACCGTAACCTGGAGTACATCCGGGCAGCTAGGAGATTGAACCCTCGTCAGGCTAGGTGGAATATGTTCCTAACCCGGTTTGTTTTTAAGATCACATACATCCCTGGGTCCCAGAATGTTAAGGCAGACGCACTGTCCCGGCGGTATGACACGGAGGAGAGGTCCAACGAGCCTACTTCCATATTGCCGGAATCTTGTTTGGTGGCTCCGGTAGTATGGGAGGTCGATACGGAAATCGAGCGGGCACTGCGTACCGACCCTACTCCCCCCGCGTGTCCTGTGGGGCGGACGTACGTTCCGCTCGAGGTCCGCGATCGTCTTATTTATTTGGCTCATACATCACCCTCCTCTGGACATCCAGGTATTGGTCTTAGCATGAAATACTGGTGGCCAACGTTAGCCAGGGATGTGAGGGTTTATGTCTCCTCCTGCTCGGTGTGTGCCCAGTGTAAGGCGCCTAGACATTTGCCCAGGGGTAAGCTACATCCCCTGCCCGTTCCACAACGACCATGGTCCCACCTATCGGTGGATTTCGTAACTGACCTACCCCCCTCCCAGGGGAATACCACCATATTGGTCGTTGTGGATCGGTTTTCTAAGGCCTGTCGTCTCCTTCCCATGCCGGATCTCCCAACTGCCCTACAAACCGCTGAGGCTCTCTTTACCCATGTGTTCCGGCACTATGGGGTCCCCGAGGATATTGTGTCTGACCGAGGTCCCCAGTTCACTTCCAGAGTTTGGGGAGCGTTCATGGAACGGTTGGGGGTCTCGGTAAGCCTTACCTCGGGGTACCACCCAGAGAGTAATGGGCAGGTGGAACGAGTCAACCAGGATGTGGGTAGGTTTTTGAGGTCCTATTGCCGGGACCGGCCGGAGGAGTGGTCGAGGTTCATCCCCTGGGCAGAGATGGCCCAGAACTCTCTCCGCCACTCCTCCACCAACTTAACACCTTTCCAGTGTGTTTTAGGTTATCAGCCGGTCCTGGCTCCGTGGCACGAGAGCCAGATCGAGGCCCCTGCGGTGGACGAGTGGATTCGGCGCTCGGAAGAGACGTGGGACGCTGCCCATGTCCATCTGCAGCGTGCCATCCGTCACCAAAAGGCGAGCGCCGACCGTCACCGCAGTGAGGCACCGGTGTACGCACCGGGAGATCGAGTCTGGCTCTCGACTCGAAACCTGCCCCTCCGCCTGCCCTGCCGGAAGCTGGGTCGGCGGTTTGTGGGGCCCTTCAAAGTCCTGAGAAGATTGAACGAGGTGTGTTACAGATTACAACTGCCTATAGAGTATAAAAATATTAACCCCTCGTTCCATGTGTCTCTTCTCAGGCCGGTGGTAGCTGGCCCACTCCAAGAGGATGAGATAGGAGAGACCCCTCCGCCCCCTTTGGACATCGAGGGGGCCCCGGCGTACAGAGTCCGGACCATCTTGGACTTGAGACGCCGGATGAGTGGTCTCCAGTATCTCGTGGAGTGGGAGGGTACGGTCCGGAGGAACGGTGCTGGGTGCCCAGGAGGGACATACTAGATCCATCCCTCCTGACTGAGTTTCACCATGGGCATCCCACGCGCCCGGGTCCGCGTCCTCCTGGCCGTCCCCGAGGCCGGGGTCGGCGCGCGGCTGGTACCGCGCGTCAAGGGGGGGGGTACTGTCACGGTTTCGGCCGAGGCTGCTCCTCCTCCTGGTTCGGGCAGGCTTCGGCGTTCGCCGTCCCCGGAGTACTAGCTGCCACCGCTCTATGTTTCTGTGTTCCATTGCTTTTGTCTGGCTGTCACACCTGTGTTTGTTTTAGTGTTGATTACGTGTCTTATAAGTTCCATGTTGTAATCTAGGGTTTTTGTGTGTTGTTGTCCGTTGCCACGTTGTTTGATACGTGTTTATTTTTCCGTGTCTATTTTGCCTTGTTGAAGTGTTTTACGCGTGTGCGTAATGTTCCTCGCCTCTTCGTGTTTTCGAGGTCGGGGCTTGTACACTTACTTTGGACACTATTAAAAGTCTTGTTGGACTAACCTCTGCTTCCTGCAGTTGACTCCTCCACCACATCCACGACGGCTCATGACAAGTGGCTTGCGAAAGCCTTACAACCTGGAATTGAAATGGATTTTTTGGGGTTTGTATCATTTGATTTACACAACATGCCTACCACTTTGAAGATGCAAAATATTTCTTTTTGTGAAACAAACAAGAAATAAGTCACAAAAAACAGAAAACTTGAGCGTGCATAACTATTCACCCCCCCCAAAAGTCAATACTTCGTAGAGCCACCTTTTGCAGCAATTACAAGACTGCAAGTCTCTTGGGGTATGTCTCTATAAGCTTGGCACATCTAGCCACTGGGATTTCTGCCCATTCTTCAAGGCAAAACTGCTCCAGCTCCTTCAAGTTGGATGGGTTTCGCTTGTGTACAGCAATCTTTAAGTCATACCACATATTCACAATTGGATTGAGGTCTGGGCTTTGACTAGGCCATTCCAAGACATTTAAATGTTTCCCCTTAAACCACTCAAGTGTTGCTTTAGCAGTATGGTTTCCCTCAAGAATTTCCCTGTATTTAGCGCCATCCATCATTCCTTAAATTCTGACCAGTTTCCCAGTCCCTGCCAATGAAAAACATCCCCACAGCATGATGCTGCCACCACCATGCTTCACTGTGGGGATGGTGTTCTCGGGGTGATGAGAGGTGTTGGGTTTGCGCCAGACATAGCATTTTCCTTGATGGCCAAAAAGCTCAATTTTAGTCTCATCTGACCAGAGTACCTTCTTCCATATGTTTGGGGAGTCTCTCACATGCCTTTTGGCGAACACCAAACGTGTTTGCTTATTTTTTTCTGCCCACTCTTCCGTAAAGCCCAGCTCTGTGGAGTGTACGGCTTAAAGTGGTCCTATGGACAGATACTCCAATCTCCGCTGTGGAGCTTTGCAGCTCCTTCAGTGTTATCTTTGGTCTCTTTGTTGCCTCTCTGATTAATGCCTTCCATGCCTGGTCTGTGAGTTTTGGTGGGCGGCCCTCTCTTGGCAGGTTTGTTGTGGTGCCATATTATTTCAATTTTTTAATAATGGATTTAATGGTGCTCCGTGGGATGTTCAAAGTTTCTAGTATTTTTTTATAACCAAACCCTGATCTGTACTTCTCCACAACTTTGTCCCTGACCTGTTTGGAGAGCTCCTTGGTCTTCATGGTGCCGCTTGCTTGGTGGTGCCCCTTGTTTAGTGGTGTTGCAGACTCTGGGGCCTTGCAGAACAGGTGTATATATACTGAGATCATGTGACAGATCATGTGACACTTAGATTGCACACAGGTGGACTTTATTTAACTAATTATGTGACTTTTGAAGGTAATTGGTTGCACCAGATCTTATTTAGGGCTTCATAGCAAAGGTGGTGAATACATATGCACGCACCACTTATTTTTTTCATTTCACTTCACCAATTTGGACTATTTTGTGCATGTCCATTACATTAAATCCAAACAAAAATCCATTTAAATTACAGGTTGTAATGCAACAAAATAGGAAAAACGCCAAGGGGGATGAACACTTTTGCAAGGCACTGTATGTATAAATCCAAAATGAGCATGTGATGCACTAAAGACAATACTGTAGACCGACTGCAACTATCCAGTTATTGTTTTGCTATCAATGATCCCTCAATGAAGTGACCAAGAGCCCACTGCAAGGCCATATGCATGGCATTCCTTTTTAATCCAGCAGTCGGAGACACTACCAGAGTCTATTTTGACCGTGTATTGAAATTCCATGCATTTGGTAATTTAATGTGAACGACTGATATTTTTCAATTTGAGTCATTACATCTAATGGCTAATAATTTCAAGTAAATGTAAATAAATATCTGAATATCAGATTGATCCAGAAATTGAGCCAGGGAGGTCTCTTATTTTCTGCATTCAGCAAATGACTTACTGCTCTCTGGAGGATCTGATTACCTTTATCACAGCATTGCGCTATACACAGGTCCATTAGCAGAATAGGATCCTGTAGGTGAGTCACAGAGGAGAGTGGGGGTGTGGTAAATGCCTTAGCTGGTTAGCAGACTCTTGTTTTAACCCTCCTGAGACAAATAACCAATGTGGTGCTAAATACTTGTGTAGGAAGTCTGAGTTATATGTAAAATAAAATAAAAACATTTTTGAGTCTACCTTCATGCTTTAAAACACAGTCTTTCATCTAAAGGAGGTTGTCAATCACAAGGCTGGTCATATAGCATACAGCTTATGTTTTCTACATATATTATGCGATTTGCATTATGTGATATGGAAATATTGTACCATTGTTGAGTCTGGAGAATATCAGACATTCATTAATTATCAGTCTGGAGAATATCAGACATTCATTAATTATTAGTCTGTATGATAACATCAAAGCAGGAAGGTTTTTCTATTTCAATAGAAATAATTTCTTATTGAACTATCATGCTTTGAGGCTACTCATTCAGACCAAACGTAATAAAAAAATGTAAAAGACTTGCTGCGGTAAGCGCCGGGCTTCTGTAGCCTTGCGATAAGACTACTGTATTCATAGGGAGAGATAGGTATTTTGAATACTGTATGCATCAGAGGAGGCTGGTGGGAGGAGCTATAGTAGGACAGCTGGAATGGAATAAATGGAACAGAGTCAAACATGGGGTTTCCATGTGTTTGATACCATTTTTACATTTACATTTTAGTCATTTAGCAGACGCTCTTATCCAGAGCGACTTACAGTTAGTGAGTGCATACATTTTTTTTTCATACTTTTTTCGAATCCACAACCCTGCCGTTGCAAACGCCATGCTCTACCAACTGAGCTACACGGGTACCGTTCCAGTGATTCCATTCCAGTCTTGACAATGAGCCCATCCTCCTAGAGCTCCTCCCACCAGCCTCCTCTGTTATGCATATTACATATTTCAAACCATGCCTTTTAAGCCATGGGATTTGGAACTCCGTAATGGAGGGATTGGTTTCCTCCAAACACCTCTACTCTAATCAGAGGGTCTTCTGTGGAAGAAAAGACTGATGAGTCCCCGACCTTAATCCCTCCTCAGTCCAGCAGATGTTTTCCTTTGACTCAGACAAAGGGCTTTGTTTTTATTACCAGGCTTGCCTATTCCTGTGGGGTCAAAGGTGAAGCCGGTCTCGGAGAGAAGCTGTCCCTGCAGGTCAAACAGTTTGACAGTCATTGGAGCGCGATGAAATGTCCCCCTCGTGTAAATGTCCATTATCAGTTTGTGTTGAAAACCTAGGCTACTTTCCATATGCCGCTATGCTTGAGTACACATTCGTCAACACCCAGGATTCGAATAACACATTGACTATTGGGAGTGCCTTAGGCTGGACCAGTGTTGCTATTTCTAATGTTTACGGGGGTGTCCTGGTTTGTTGTTGGAGTGCCCAGCACCCACGTAATCCGAAAACCCTCCAAGACACCCCTGGACCCCCACATTGACCCACAACAACAACAGCAACAAGTAAGGTATTTTGTGTGGAGGGTTTCTCATGTCAAAACAAAGTAGAGCCTTACAAAAAATGGAGCAAACTATTTCTAGAAGGAAACTGTGCAGTTCTGTCCTCTGCCGTCCGCTAAGGATCAGCCGGCTGGTTGGATCTGCAGTAATGCAATGAAGTCGCCATGCAATCTGTATCTCAAATGACAGAGATCTAATTTATGGCTTTTAGGGATGTAACTCGTAGTAGTAATGACTAATATCAGGTTACACTTAGTTGGAAAGCCTTGTGGTATGTAATTATGCCATACTACTACCACTGTGTGTGTGTGTGTGTGTGTGTGTGTGTGTGTGTGTGTGGAGGGGGATGGGGGCTCAGAAGATATTGAAACTGTTGACCTTCCTTTTCTTCCACAACATTTTCAAGATCAACATTTTCATGAGACGAGCTACATAAATCGTCATGAAATAACGATAATTTCTTAAATCCGACATTAGTGTTACATTAGCTAAAGCCTGTGAAACTACTCCTGACTTCAACCTCCACAGCAGCAGTTTGCCAAGCTAAATTACTACTAATTAACATGCTGCTACCATAGCAGGGGCTTGGTACATTCCTAAGAGTGCTTGTTCAACCGTCACACCAATTTAGGCCCCTCACTTCAACCTCCCACTGTTATAGCTCAAAACGTGGTGCTGAAAAGATTATGCATTTTAGCCTTTAATGTTTGGCATGTCTCTGATGTCTGATTTAGTATAACACAATGTGTGTGTGTGTGAACTCGTGTGTGTATCTGTTTAATGCTCACATACTTTGTGTGTGTGTGTGTGTGTGTGTGTGTGTGTGTGTGTGCCTGTGCTGGTGTGTGTGTGTGTGTGTGTGTGTGTGCATTGAGGGTGGGGTGCCATGGTCTTTGAACCGCCACTAAGGCAAGACTGCAGAAACACACACACACACAGCCAGGGGGAAGGGTTTGGGCTCAGGAATTTCTTTTAATTATCTGTATGATCTAGACAAAGAAAAAAGATACGTTGGTGTTAGTGACACGTTTTTGGTACGTCTTTTTGTCTCAGTTAAAATCCCATCATAGTAATATGTCTGATCAGATTCATGACGTTTCTCTGCACTTTTAGCCAGGATTGTTTTTCTTCTCTCCCGCTTTTGTTTTATTATCATCAACTAGACCGTCAGGGAGAAGCAGACCCAGAAAGACCAACAGTTTAGGACAGGGATCATCAACTAGACCGTCAGGAAGAAGCAGACCCAGAAAGACCAACAGTTTAGGACAGGGATCATCAACTAGACCGTCAGCGAGAAGCAGACCCAGAAAGACCAACAGTTTAGGACAGGGATCATCAACTAGACTGTCAGGGAGAAGCAGACCCAGAAAGACCAACAGTTTAGGACAGGGGTCATCAACTAGACCGTCAGGAAGAAGCAGACCCAGAAAGACCAACAGTTTAGGACAGGGACAATCATCAACTAGATTCAGACGCAGGCCAATTTTTTTCTTGAGCAAATGGCTGGGGGGCCAGAACATAATTACAAATAATTTGTAGACTGCAAATTAACCACAAGAAGCCCAAACTGATATAATATTTGACTAAAACATAATAATTTCAAACCTTGCTTACATTTGTACACGATCACGTCTCTCTATTATGCGTGTGAATACTTGGGAACGGATTTCCAACATTTAAATTCGTTGGAGCTGATTTCCTGGTGTTTTTACAGTATTTTATGTCCAACAATGAAAATGATCAATAATAATAAAAAATATATATACTGTATATATATTTTTTAATGCTCAGAAAACTTGGGGGGCCAAATAAAACCACCCGCGGGCCTCCAGTTGGAGAACCCTGATCTAGGATGACCCTGGGCATAGCGAGGCAGGGGTGAGAAAGTCTGCGTGACCTTTGGGGTTAACCTCAGACACAAATCACCATGTGCTCCACAAAGCAAGGGAGCAAGGGGACAGAGGACCTTTGTGAAATGGCGATGACCAAAACGTGGCGTTTTCTTTTAGCACAATGAGATTGGTCTTAAGCTGACTATTCATTGGCCAGGAGTTAATATCAAAGTGCTGGCTATAATTTGCAGGGTTAATGCATTACACTGAGAAAACATGTGTAGGCCTACCTCATATTACTGAAGTCAAAGGTTGTAGAGGAATCTGTGTTTTGTTATCGACATTATCAGGAGGGATTCAGGTATGAAATGTTCAAATTTCAAGCGGTCTATTGCATAACTTGTCTGTAGGAACAGAGTAAACAAACAAGTAACTTGACAATACGCCATAGAAATCCCACCCTATGTGGTGGGAGCTGAGAGAACCATGTCTTGTGTATTTGTAGGAGGGCTTCGAGTTGTTTGGCATGGTCGGGGGTAGCTCTGGCCGTGTGCTTAGAGTCAGGCCTTGGGGTCATGCCTCTCTCAGAGGAGAGCGAACCTCCACATTCTTTTTCTCTGTGTGTGATAAAGCCCCACAGCCCACTCTCTGCTCTTTGACTTCAATGTCCATATAAGGCAGCTGGTGCCATGGCAACCACAGGGCTTGAATAGCAGTGTCAAATCCCTGAGCACACACATGCCCCCATCCCCCTCCCTGCACACTCCCTCCCTCCCGCTCTCTCTGCTAGCTCACACACACAAGCTGAGGAAAACGGAGGGAGAGGGAGAAACCCACAGACACAGAGAGAGGACGGTATATGTGGTGCCTCACAACAGCCAGTCTGTCTAGAGCCTAGCCTTCTTTTTAAATCTTAATTCAATTTTGTGGACTCTGAGGAGAGAAAGCCCCGTCCCTTCCCCCTCAGCCACGGGAAGCACCCACACGGTCGGAGCACAGGGCTAGGCCGCAAGTCGTTAGTGCTCGGTGGGCAAGCACTGACAAAAGACTGGAGGGAGAGGCTAACACGGATGCTTATAAAGCAGCTTCTCTGACTTCTGAGGGGTGGAAAGGACGCTTTTAGGATTTCTAACCTAATCTGTGCTGTCTATTTTTGGAGGGACTGAAACAGACCGGTCAAGCCACTACCACAGATGATATTGCTACAGCCTAGCCCTCTGCAACAATAAACAAGGAAGAGAGGGCACTTACTTGAGTTGAAGATCATTTTGAAGAGAGCCAGAACGACTGGTTGATTTTGTACAACACAGCGGGTAGACCGTAGCCACGGTTGAGACTTGATAGTAGTTATTTGTGTGCCTTGAGGATATAGCCATACAGTGTGCTGTGAAACATCAAGTTGTTTTTCTAGTGGTGACCTGTAAGAGCTCTTTTTGTCAACCAGAATGTTGCTGGTGCTCAGAGGATTGTTGGAAAACCCGTCTCTTGCCTCACTCTGTCTGTACCCTCCCTCTCCATGGCTGTAAGGGTGATCTAGCTAAAAGAAGACGTTGACATATTATATGAATGCACTTCCAACGGTAAGCATACAATACAAGGCTTTTGTATTATTTATCTCTAATGTCAGGATATAAGTAAGATATTGCAGAAAGGCAGCAGGACTCCACATAGACACTATAAGGAAGGCAAACAGCATGACGGTTTTACGAGGGGTGGCCACTGCTTCGTCTCCAGGGCTAGCGAGGTCCTTTTTCAGCCATTGTTGCTAGAGAGAGAAGGCAGAGAGAGAATGGAGTGAGAGAGAATTTCCTTCTCTAATCATGTGCAAAGTGCGAGTGAGTGGGGTGTGTTTTGGTCTCTTTTTGAAAATGTGTGTTTGATTCATTGTTTCCTGTGAAAGGTTCTGTGTCTTGGCTGAAGTGTAAACCATTCGACTGAACAGCAAGCTCTTCTAAAAGACAGCCGTCGAAGGACTTGGGGCCAAATAAATAAATAAAAAAAACACAAAAAGAGTGAATAATTGAAAAAGGAGAAAGAAGAAAAGTGGGCATGTAAAACAAAAGTTTCTAGAGTGAAAGGCGAAACTATTTCCAGGTCATAGTGGAGGGGGAGGAGACAAAACAGCTCTAGTGGGTTTTTTGGGACAAACATTCTACACCACACAAATTTTAAACCCATTTCTACTCTTGTATACGTTAAAAGAGGGTGTGGGTATTTTCCTACCTTTGACTATTTTAGTTTTCCGACGCACTTTGAGGACCAAAAAGCCAAAATATAAAATTTTATGAAAAGGCTGAGAATCTTGAACTCTGAACAGAGGTGCACAAAGGAAGTCAGAAAGTTTAGACAGCAGCAACCAAAATCTTTGGCTGTCTCCCATTCCTTCTGTGGTCTGCTAACCAAGCGATGGCCATGGTGAGTGGGGGCTGGGGAGATCCCAACGGGGGCACCAACGGGCTGGGGGAGAAGGGCTATCTGAGGGGAGAGGAGGAGGACGGTTCGCCCCAGGCCGGGGGCAGCGACATGGAGGTCGGGGACGATGACAAGGCGTGTGTGGTGGACTGTGTAGTGTGTGGGGACAAGTCCAGCGGGAAGCATTACGGTGTGTTCACCTGCGAGGGCTGCAAGAGCTTCTTCAAGAGGAGCATCCGCCGCAACCTCAATTATACCTGCAGGTGAGACTCAATGAATATTTTTTAAATTAGTCCACTGTTGATACAGTCCCAAAATGTTTTATTGCGGTGTGCTATCTAGTGATTTTACATTGTTTCCCCTCATCTCCAAGAAGATGTCGTACAAAAGCATACGTTTTCTTGTACAAAACTGGCCTCGAAGTCAGATAATTGAGTTTCCCCACTGCGATCTAGTCATCCTTACATCAGCCACTCTGCCCATATTAAAAAATCCATGAGCATGATACAATATTAATGCCATGGATCATCTAAGGAAAGACAGTGATTGGGTCATACACACTTATATAATCGGGTTCTGTAAACCAGCAGATACCTAGAATATATTTAAATAGAAGCTTATTTTGTCTCGCATCGTGTTTTATGCTTCAGCTTTTTACATCTACCCTCTAGATACGTTATGCAATCATGTAGATACGGTCTGCAAATGTTTTCTATCAAATTGAAGTGACCTTTCTCCATTAAACGTATAGCAGTACACATACATTACTATAGATTTTTGCCAGAGGTTTGTAGCTGTAACAAGTGTCAGCAAAGTTAAATGTCATTATCATTGCTGTGTGGATTTGCATAAGATGTTCTGATCTATATTTCAGGTCGAATCGAGAGTGCCAGATCGACCAACATCACCGCAACCAGTGCCAGTACTGCCGCCTGGAGAAGTGCTTTCGCGTAGGAATGCGCAAAGAAGGTACTTATCCTGTCCACATACAGTAGCACCTTCCTTTAGCTATATTTCTATGTATTCTATGCAGAATATACATGTATGAACAAAGACATGAACTCCAGTCAATAGACTCTGTCCAAAGCCAAATTTCTGTTCTAAAAACCCCCCAATTGTTTTAAAGTTGTACTTTTTTTTACCATTACATTGACCCATAGTGTGTGTCACATAACTATCCTGGCCCTATCATGGCTTGCCATACGTGCAGGCTCGATGCCATGTTCTTTGTCATCTAATCTAGTGCCTGCGTGAGTGAGTGGGATACAACGAACAAGCCACCTGCGGCCCTGTGCACTAGTCAGTCACACACATCTCTGTCTATACCTCAACTGTAGTCTGAAGTCCCAAGTGATGTAGCCCTGTAGATGCAGTGGTTCTTTGGTTGATTGGTTGTTTTTCCATAGACCTTTTGATTAGAAATATGACATACCATCTGTATGGTAGTGGTTCTACTGTTCCACTGGTTGCCATGTCATTTTACACTATATGCCTATTGAAGCCCTAAGTAAAATATAGTATCCCTATGACCTTGATATGAGGCATTTTTGTAAGATAAAGGGGCTGTAGCCTGAAGCTTCATAATGAGCTTCTATCAAAAGTGTTGGAAAATGTATCAAAAGCGTTGGAAAAACTTGTCAATATTCAGCTGACTGGCTTTCTTGATGTCTATAGTATTCTCTCTGGTATGCAATCTGGTTTCCGCTCAGGTTATGGATGTGTCACTGCAAACTTAAAGGTCCTAAATGATGTCACCATTGCCCTTGATTCTAAGCAATGTTGTGCTGCTATTTTTATTGACTTGGCCAAAGCTTTTGATACGGTAGACCATTCCATCCTTGTTGGCCGGCTAAGGAGTATTGGTGTCTCTGAGGGGTCTTTGGCCTGGTTTGCTAACTACCTCTCTCAAAGAGTGCAGTGTATAAAGTTAGAACATCTGCTATCTCAGCCACTGCTTATCACCAAGGGAGAACCCCAAGGCTCGATCCTAGGCCCCACGCTCTTCTCAATTTACATCAACAATATAGCTCAGGCAGTAGGAAGCTCTCTCATCCATGTATATGCAGATGATACAGTCTTATACTCAGCTGGCCCCTCCCTGGATTTTGTGCTAAACGCTCTACAACAAAGCTTTCTTAGTGTCCAACAAGCTTTCTCTGCCCTTAACCTTGTTCTGAACACCTCCAAAACAAAGGTAATGTGTCATAATCCCCACCGGTGTGATTACTACCTCTGATGGTTTAGAGCTTGAGGTAGTCACCTCATACAAGTACTTGGGAGTATGGCTAGACGGTACACTGTCCTTCTCTCGGCACATATCCAAGCTGCAGGCTAAGGTTAAATCTAGACTTGGTTTCCTCTATCGTAATCGCTCCTCTTTCACCCCAGCTGCCAAACTAACCCTGATTCAGATGATCATCCTACCCATGCTAGATTACGGAGACGTAATTTATAGATCGGCAGGTAAGGGTGCTCTCGAGCGGCTAGATGTTCTTTCCCATTCGGCCATCAGATTTGCCACCAATGCTCCTAATAGGACACATCACTGCACTCTATACTCCTCTGTAAACTGGTCATCTCTGTATACCCGTCTCAAGACCCACTGGTTGATGCTTATTTACAAAACCCTCTTAGGCCTCACTCCCCCCTATCTGAGATACCTACTGCAGCCCTCATCCTCCACATACAACACTCGTTCTGCCAGTCACATTCTGTTAAAGGTCCCCAAAGCACACACATCCCTCTGTCGCTCCTCTTTCCAATTCGCTGCAGCTAGCGACTGGAACGAGCTGCAAAAAACACTCAAACTGGACAGTTTTATCTCCATCTCTTCATTCAAAGACTCAATCATGGACACTCTTACTGACAGTTGTGGCTGCTTCGCGTGATGTATTGTTATCTCTACCTTCTTGCCTTTTGTGCTGTTGTCTGTGCCCAATAACGATTGTACCATGTCTTGTGCTGCTACCATGTTGTGCTGCTGCCATGTTGTGTTGCTACCATGTTGTTTTCATGTTGGGTTGCTACCTTGCTGTGTTGTCGTGTGTTGCTGCCATGCTATGTTGTTGTCTTAGGTCTCTCTTTATGTAGTGTTGTGTTGTCTCCCTTGTTGTGATGTGTATTTGGTCCTATATTTATATATACTACCGTTCAAAACTTTGGGGTCACTTCGAAATGTCCTTGTTTTCGAAAGAAAAGCTAATTTTTTTGTCCATTAAAATAACATCAAATTGATCAGAAATACAGTGTAGACATTGTTAATGTTGTAAATGGCTATTGTAGCTGGAAACGGCAGATTTTTTATGGAATATCTACATAGGCGTACAGAGGCCCATTATCAGCAACCATCAGTCCTGTGTTCCAATGGCACGTTGTGTTTGCTAATCCAAGTTTATCATTATAAAAGGCTAATTGATCATTGGAAAACCCTTTTGCAATTATGTTAGCACAGCTGAAAACTGTTGTGCTGATTAAAGAAGCAATAAAACTGGCCTTCTTGAGACTAGTTGAGTATCTGGAGCATCAGCAATTGTGGGTTCGATTACAGGTTCAAAATGGCCAGAAACAAAGAACTTTCTTCTGAAACTCATCAGTCTATTCTTGTTCTGAGAAATGAAGGCTATTCCATGCTAGAAATTGCCAAGAAACTGAAGATCTCGTACAACGCTGTGTACTACTCCCTTCACAGAACAGCGCAAACTGGCTCTAACCAGAATAGAAAGAGGAGTGGGAGGCCCCGGTGCACAACTGGGCAAGAGGACAAATACATTAGTGTCTAGTTTGAGAAACAGACGCCTCACAGGTCCTCAACTGGCAGCTTCAGTAAATAGTACCCGCAAAACGCCAGTCTCAACGTCAACAGTGAAGAGGCGAAAACAAGGACATTTCTAAGTGACCCCAAACTTTTGAACAGTAGTGTATATATTAAAAAATATATATAATCCCAGCCCCCATCCTCGCAGGAGGCCTTTTGCCTTTTGGTAGGCCGTCATTGTAAATAAGAATTTGTTCTTAACTGGCTTGCCTAGTTAAGCAATGGTTAAATTAAAAATTAAAATGAGTATAGCCCACAATTATTTACTTTGGCGGTTGCAGAAAACTAGTGGAACTCTGAATGCTGCCTCTTCAGTCTAATATTGATAACTCTTTCCCTTTCTCTCTCATGGTCAAATTACTCACCCAATGGCTTAATACGTTAACTATGGCTGGGAGCATTTAATACGTTAACTATGGCTGGGAGCATTTAATACGTTAACTATGGCTGGGAATATTTAATACGTTAACTATGGCTGGGAATATTTAATACGTTAACTATGGCTGGGAATATTTAATACGTTAACTATGGCTGGGAATATTTAATACGTTAACTATGGCTGGGAGCATTTAATACGTTAACTATGGCTGGGAGCATTTAATACGTTAACTATGGCTGGGAGCATTTAATACGTTAACTATGGCTGGGAATATTTAATACGTTAACTATGGCTGGGAATATTTAATACGTTAACTATGGCTGGGAATATTTAATACGTTAACTATGGCTGGGAATATTTAATACGTTAACTATGGCTGGGAATATTTAATACGTTAACTATGGCTGGGAGCATTTAATACGTTAACTATGGCTGGGAGCATTTAATACGTTAACTATGGCTGGGAGCATTTAATACGTTAACTATGGCTGGAAGCAGTATTTGATACAGCCACAATCTTTCATCCTCACAATGAGGGGAAATTATTTCCTTTTCTTTCTACGAGCAATAAATATGAACACAAAGGCCATTGCGTCATCTTTTATTCCCCTTTTGGTAATACAAATCTTTACATAGTAAAAGATGAACACCTCCTGAGGAATATTAATCTTTGAGGAAAACACATTTTAATGTAGAATTCTGCTGTCTTTGTTTTTTATTCCTCGAGTTAACCTTCACTTGGAGAATTCTCAAAAAATGCGAGTCCTCTGTTTCGCCCTCTGTTAGTGAGGAATCTTTCTGTGCCCCATTGTGGCTGCTTTAATCTGGAATTATATGGTGCTAATCTGGTCAAGACCGTCTGTTGATAATCTGCCAAACCTCCTACTGCGAGGGAGCATGCCTGACTCCTTTTCAACTTCTCCCCCCCCGCCCTCCCTACTTTTCACCCCAAATCCTAATCCCTTCCGTCCTCCCAATCTCCCTGCACCTTCTTAACTCCAACCCAAACCCATTCCCCTCCCCCTTTGTGCCTCCATCCCCACCCCAGCAGTTCAGCGTGGACGTATCCCCCCCTCACACTCCAGCCTCAGCCCCACGGGCACCCCAGTAGGTGGTGGTAGCGGCATTGGAGTGGCAGAGTTTTACAACAACAACGGCGGGCAGCCCGTGTCGGAGCTCATCTCCCAGCTGCTGCGTGCCGAGCCCTACCCCAGCAGCCGCTACGGCCACCAGTACAACCAACAGGGCCAGGCCACCGGCGCAGGCGGGGCCGTCATGGGCATCGACAACATCTGCGAGCTGGCAGCTAGGCTGCTCTTCAGCACCATCGAGTGGGCCAGGAACATCCCCTACTTCCCAGAGCTGCCCGTGTCAGAGCAGGTGGCTCTGCTCAGGTTGAGTTGGAGCGAGCTGTTCATCCTGAACGCAGCCCAGTCCGCCCTGCCCCTCCACATGGCCCCACTGCTGGCCGCGGCGGGCTTCCACTCCTCGCCCATGTCGGCCGAGCGAGTGGTGTCCTTCATGGACCAGGTGAGGGTGTTCCAGAACCAGGTGGACAAGTTGACCCGGCTCCAGGTGGATTCGGCCGAGTACAGCTGCCTCAAGGCCATCGTCCTCTTCTCACCAGGTGAGCTGTCAGGTTTATTTTATTCCCACTATGTGGATTGAGATAATTGAGTTTAGATATTTTTTTGGGACACGCTGAGACTTTACGACATGCATGTCAGATTTTTTGGCCTACATTCCTGATTTTTCTACCTACATGTCAAGTTTTCAACCTGTTGAGACTTAGATGCATACTTAGATATTCAAACTTTTGACTTGCATGCTGGGACTTTTGACTTGCATATAGGGTTGCAAAGGGAGGGTATATTACTGGAAACTTCCGGTGGCCTTTTGGCTACTTCAGATTATAACAGGTGTCTGCAATTATTTCTGGCCCTCTGTGTGGCCTTTTCGCATGTAAAATATATAAAATAATCAAATAATATATATTTAAAAAAAAAATAAGATTGACATTATCCTAAATATAAACCAACAACTTTAGAAATACCATTGGTGTTTAATATGAGGGTTTCAGAATGAAATATCCATTATACATATTTGTACATACTTTTATTTAATTTACTATGTTTTTGCGCCAAACTGGTAGTCTGACTAACACTAAATACCTCTTGACTTCAGAGTCTGGAATGGCTCTTTGATGTTGTCGGCCCAATGCGTCGATAATGAAGGGGGCTGTGCTTTAACTGGTTCTCCTCTGTGTCTTTCTCACTCACCTGTATAGCCCACATGTATAGCCACACAGGCCGAGCACGCCCCCTTCCATTACAATGGTTGGATTTTTTTATCCATGGAAAACTAAAGGCATATCAACCGTAAATGACTTGGTAATATAAAATACATTTATTTCCATGACAAAATTCAAAAGCAATTTTGGACTGACCAAGTTAGATAAGTTTCATATTTAGATCTGAAATCTTTTGGACATCAGAGCAATCTTGAGGGAATCCTATTTGAGTCTAAAGATATTCATATGATAGGGAAGATATACAAAACCTTGCAGAGAGCATATCCAACAGACAATCTCAGAAAAATAAACTATTGGAATTGAAACTTAAAAAGAAAGTTGTCTGTCATAAGTATTACAATGTAAATGTACTTTTAATCCGTCTGTCTGCATATTTCAAGACATGGCATATGAAGGTGCAGTGAGATACCAGATGGGTTGGACAATACATTTCTCGTCAATCATCTTGAAAAAAGTATACTTAAAAACATGAAATTAACCAATCCTCAATTTTTAACACAATGGAAAGGTCAAATGCTTTATTTTCTAAATGTTGAAAGTGCGTGGGCGACTGAGAGAAACAAAATGGTGTGGTTTGAGGCCATGTAGCGGAGAGTGATGCAAGACCTGGAGATGGGGGTGTGAGCATGTGGCTCTGGGCAGGTGTGATGTAGTTGACGTTTGTGTGGGTCTGTATGCTGTTGTTTGTATGTATATGTTTTGTATTATAAAATAAATAAATACAATTTTACCCAAAATAAATAACTTTCAAATCCAAACAAGGAGCGGTCTCAATCAAGAGAACCAATCTAACCCGTTCCACAATTTCGGAGCAAATATTGCATTAGTAAACGGCCTCCTTTCCAGACCATTGTGGTCACAGCACTTCCTGCGCTGTAAGTCACATGGGTCACGTCAGCAAGGCTACCAAACTGGTAGTAATTGTGAAAACGGTTGTGAAAAGTTGTTGGAAGAGTTACAGAGTTAATTGAAAATAATGCCATTGTTGATTATTTTCATTAATTAGGCTATTTTCTCTTGAACCATATGGGCTATCCACTAGAAACTCATGGACAAAATGGACACAAAAATAGCCTAATTAATTAAATAAATCAACAATGGCATTATTTTCAATATATGAATACATTTTGTAACAGTTATAAATTACCTAAATTACCATAGATTGCCATAGATTACCTGTTAATTACCAAATATACCAAAGATTCCTGTAACTTTGGTAAATTACCGTTAGCTTTGCAACCCTACATATCAATACTTTTCTTCTTGTTTTACTAACATGCTGAGACTTTAACATTTTAATGGGAAAATATACACTGAGTGTACAAATCATTAGGAACACCTGCTCTTTCCATGACATATACTGACCAGGTGAATCCAGGTGGAAGCTATGATCCCTTATTGATGTCACTTGTTAAATCCACTTTAATCAGTGTAGATGAAGGGGAGGAGACAGGTTAAAGAAGGATTTTTAAGCCTTGAGACAATTGAGACATGGATTGTGTATGTGTGCCATTCAGAGGGTGAATGGACTAGACAAAATATTTAAGTGCCTTTGAACGGGTATGGTAGTAGGTGCCAGGCACACCGGTTTGAGTGTGTCAAGAACTGCACCTCTGCTGTGTTTTTGACGCTGTATCAGGAATGGTCCACCACCCAAAGGACATCCAGCAAACTTGACACAACTGTGGGAACCATTGGAGTCAACATGGGCCTGCATCCCTGTGGAACGCTTTCGACACCTTGTAGTCCATGCCCCAACGAATTGAGTCTGTTCTGAGGACAAAACGGGGTGCAACTCAATATTATTATCCTAATGTTTTGTACACTCAGTGTTTCTCTTGATGTTATCTAAGGATACCTAAGCACCTGCTTGTCAAATGACAAAGCCTGAACACAGGTATACTGCACTTACACAAATGACTGATGATTGGCTGAGAGAAATGTATGATAAAATGATTGTGGGGGCTGTTTTTGTTAGACTTCAGTGCAGCTTTTGACATTATCAATCATAGTCTGCTGCTGGAAAAACGAATGTGTTATGGCTTTACACCCCTTGCTATATTGTGGATAAAGAGTTACCTGTCTAACACAACACAGAGGGTGTTATTTAATGGAAGCCTCTCCAACATAATCCAGGTAGAATCAGGAATTCCCCTGGGCAGCTGTCTAGGCCCCTTACTTTTTTCAATCTTTACTAACGACATGCCACTGGCTTTGAGTAAAGCCAGTGTATCTATGTATGTGGATGACTCAACACTATATACGTCAGCTACTACAGCAACTGAAATCACTGCAACAGTTAACAAAGAGCTGCAGTTAGTTTCGGCATGGGAAGCAAGGAATAAGGTAGTCCTAAATATTTCAAAAACGTAAAGCTTTGTATTTGGGACAAATCATTCACTAAACCCTAAACCTCAACTACATCTTGTAATGAATAATGTGGAAATTGAGCAAGTTGAGGTGACTAAACTGCTTGGAGTAACCCTGGATTGTAAACTGTCATGGTGAAAACATTTTGCAACAACAGTGGCTAAGATGGGGAGAAGTCTGTGTCCATAATAAAGCGCTGCTCTGCCTTCTTAACAACACTATCAACAAGGCAGGTCCTACAGGCCCTAGTTTTGTCGCACCTAGACTACTGTTCAGTAGTGTGGTCAGGTGCCACAAAGAGGGACTTGGGAAAATTGCAGTAGGCTCAGAACAGGGCAGCACGGCTGGCCCTTAAAAGTATACGGAGAGCTAACATTAATGACATGCATGTCAATCTCTCATGGCTCAAAGTAGAGGAGAGATTGACTTCATCACTACTTGTTTTTGTAAGAGGTGTCTGTTTAAAATACTAGCACACAGCTCGGACACCCATGCATACCCCTCAAGACATGCCACCAGAGGTCTCCTCACACTCCCCAAGTCCAGTACAGACTATGGGAGGCGCACAGTACTACATAGAGCCATGACTACTACATAGAGCTATTCCACATCATGTAACTGATGCAAGCAGTAGAATCAGATTTTAAAAAAACATGTAAAAATACACCTTATGGAACAACGGGGACTGTGAAGAGACACACACAAAGGTACAGACACATACATACGCACACATTGTGATATTGTTGTATGGTGGTATTAAACATTTTGTATTGCAGATATGTAGTGGTGTAATAATGTTATATGATGTACTGTTTTATATTTTGTTTTATATGTAATGTAAGTGCTTTAATATGTTTGGACCCCAGAAAGAGTAGCTGCTGCCAAGGCAAAAACAAATACTGGTAGATTTGAGGAGTGTGGCACCCTCTCCTGGCACAACAATATAAGTGCAGAGTACAATCACAGGCCAAAATGTGTTGTAGTGGATATTGTAATTGAAAGGTGCACTGCACACTTACCCAAAGAGCGTAACATTTTTACATGTAAACACATTGTCTAGCTCTACATTTTTTTGTGTGCATTATTTTGCTTCAAATTACCTAAATCATCAACAAAACATACAGATGATACAATGTGTAGAAAACAGGAGAACAGAGGAGGTACAACCTGACCTTTTTTAGTTTTGTTGGTGCCAACTGAATTCTGTATGTAGGTCCCCGTCTCAGTTAAGTACTGCTCCCTCCCACTCTGTCCTCACCTCAAGTCTCTGTCACTCCCTCCTTCCCTCTCAGATGCGTGTGGGCTCACAGACCCTGTCCACGTGGAGTCTCTGCAGGAGAAGGCCCAGGTGGCTCTGACAGAATACGAGCGGATGCAGTACCCAGGTCAGCCGCAGCGCTTCGGCCGCCTGCTCCTCCGCCTGCCCGCCCTCCGTGCCGTGCCCGCCAACCTCATCTCCCAGCTCTTCTTCATGCGTCTGGTGGGCAAGACGCCCATCGAGACGCTCATCCGTGACATGCAGCTCTCCGGAAGCTCCATCAGCTGGCCCTACGTCCCTGGTCAGTAACCCCCAAAATGAGGTCTCCTTCTGGGCAGTGACGACAAGGACCGCAGGTTCCTCTGAATCATCATGATCCATCTGTGTGATCCTATACTAGCGCCAGCTGGACATCATGCATACTGTACTGTCTCCATGAACTGAGCTCTCCATACCAACCTAGTGCCAGCTGGGTCTATTGCCAGCACACTGGTGCCAACACACCTACTGTGCCCCGTTATGGCGACCTGAGTCAGCCATGCCATCCGCATGTCATAGTGACTAGGGACACCTTACATATAGACATTACTGTCCCACCAATAGAGGTCACTGGAACCTTGTCTCATTTTCCACATCTCATTGCCTTCGGTGCAATGACTGTCGACATCTACATCAGACCTTGAAATTCTGGAATTCTGGTAGGAAAACTGTATTATGGAGCTATTAGTCTGTTCCATTTAGATCCTTATGGCTGGTTTATACTTGGTCTAACGACATGTCTATAGACAAATAGAATGCGACAAGTGTCTGATCAAAACAACATTTAATGAATGTATAGACCTGTAGACCAGTAGGTTTATAGGTCTGTAGACCGTCGCTGCGACTGTTGGTTTCCTTGTCGGAGACACATAAAAGTTCAACTTTGACCCTGTCGCAGCATCCGTTGTCATGGTTACCTGACTGAGACAGCAACAAGACTCTACAAGTTCTACAATTCTTTGGTAGAATACCCTGCTTTTATTTCGTCACACTCACAACCATAAGCTATTTTCTGTAATTAGCTAGCTAGCTTGCAATTACCTTGTAAATAATGATCTTGTTGAGTTTATTTTTCTGTAATAATGAATAAAAATGTGCAAAAGTTAACAACGACAAGTTTGATGTCGGACGTCAATAGACTGTTCATGATGTCACTGCGACAACTTTCTACAGACATGTCGATAGACGGACTATAAACAAGCCTCTTCACTGAAGGGTCTTCACTTAACTTAGAGGGTCCTCCACCATATTTCTCACTCCTACCCCTTCAGATATGCGAACACAAACGTGATAGGAGGAAACGGGAAGGTGCTAGGGGCTGAAATGAAACTGGAACAAGAAATTACACCAAAATCTTTATCGTCCACAGAAATTTCACCAAAAATGTAAACGTCCTTAAAGAGGTTATAGATTTGATATTTGAACTAGTAGATCAGCCAGGCAGATGAAGTGGAGAGACTTACAGATGGACTCAATGACCGTTTCCATGTATCACTCATAGGGATCTTACTTGTTGCATTGGGAAACTTTTAAAAAGCCGCAGTTACATGAATATGGATTGATACTTCACAAGACAACTGAATGCTATTGATTGATTTATTCTTAAGGCAACCTCTCTCATTGTTGTTCACCACAAACCGCCTTCTTTTCAATGACTGCTTTTTCAATATGAATTAGGACACTGCAGTAACAGTAGATCATTCATCTGGACATATTCTTTCAAAATCAACACTGTTTTTTCAATATGGACTGATATTTTAACTACAACAGATGACGAATGCAGCTGATATGAGTGACAGGCTGATTGTTGAAACAATATGTAATCAAAAAGGTTATGGCCAAATGGTTCACCTATGACCATACTGAAAACAAAGAGCAAATGCAGTTGGTACTTTAAAAAGGCCAAGAAATCACATCAAAACCTATTTTACATTACAAGCTATAAGAAGTGTACATATTGTAAATGTAGGGAACCAAAGGCTTAAAAAATGGTGTTGATGGTATAATTTTTAGAGGCCATGTTGTCCTGCTGCATGTCACAATGTTGTTTTTGCTCTGTTCAAAGTTTTAAACGGTGTTTCATCTCTACCAAATGGGATTGGAAAGTAAAGTAAAAAAAAAAATGTTATGTTGAGTTCACAGGTTATTTTTTAAAACCTTTATATTTTATGTAAAAATACCTCTACCATCCCCTGAGATGTGTTAAAAAGACGTGAGTCTCCATGGCGGTGAAAATGACACTACTCTGGTGCAAAACAAGAGGCTACTCCTGAGCCAATTGTGTTCCCATCACAAAGCAATGCATCCCAGGAGCTAACTGTACAACACTTAGGTGATATGGGAGTTTATTGTCATGGCTGTCTGGCAATGGGACTGCGCTTGGAGGCTACGATCCCAAAACATCACACTACCTGTGAGAGACTGAGAATCGGTCCAATAGCCTAGCGGTGACTAGGAATTACCTCATGCCCTTCAAAAGATGTGGGATATCCTTACTCACTCACTCACACACCATATCACCAATAATATTTACAAAAGATAAATGTACTATTATTCATGTTTTACTATCTTTTACTGTTGTTGCTGAGTTCTTTAGATTTGGAATTGTATGTGTATGAAAGCATTATTAAAATACCAAAATGACATGGTGAGTGTGAGGCTTGTTTCTTTCCTTAGTTACATCCATAAGAATGTCAGTTAGATGTGGGCAATATTATTTTATTCAGAAACTACTACTGTAAAGTACATCCTTAATAATAGATGTAATACATAGCATTAAATAGTTTATTAATGTCTGAAAACGATGTATAAACCATGGGAAGACTAATTGATCAACAAGCCTGTTGAATTGCATCGGGCTTTCTTAAAAGAAAAACTACTGTAAACATTTTAAAGAAATGTCTGGAATGAATGTACTGCATGATCACATTGCAAGACAGAATATTCTACAATAATTGTATATTATTGTTCTTCATTAAATACATTAAAGATAGAACATTAGACAGCACACTAATGTGCAAAAAAATTATGCATACTTTTTGTAGTTAGGAATAAGTGAAAACATACTTTTGCAATGTTACACAGAGCAGACAAGAGACAAGAACAGATCTGTACAAAATGTATAAAACCACAAGAAAACAGAAAAAAATTACATAGGAATATCACTTCTCTTTTTAAGCATAAGAATACATATTAAAAATGTAACAGAATGAATCACTAAAATCACTCAATCATGCCCTACAACAAACATTCACCTCAAGTCAAAGGTTTTCCTTAAAATACACGTTCAATGTGGTTGTTTCAGCCTCATAATCTAAATATACCTAGTGTAAATCATTTTCCGAGAATGAACCATTCAACTGTTGCATTTTGAACCAGTGTGAAGCGGCATCAGTCAAAGTTACTATTGTTCACCATCAAACAATATCCCATAAGAGCATGTGTTGGTGTCTTTTGTCGAGAACTGCTGGCCTGGTACCATATATTCAGCTGTGTGGAGTAGTTATGGATGGTACAGCAGACCCAGGCTGCTTCAACAAAGGCTATTGTCATAGTTCTTCACTAGGCGCTTGATGTGGAATAGTTTCTGTCTCAACTCTTTGCTCTGCTGCTTCTTGGCCTGATAGTCTGGTGTCTGCAGAGGAGAAATGCCACACTACAGACATTAGATCGCAAATGTACAATGATATATCAATTGGTCAAGATAGTCAGTGAATAATATCATTACATAATGCACATTATATAATATATTCAATTATAATATATTTAAAAAATTACATAATATTATACAATTAATATCTCCCAAAATTAAATAAATGGAGAAAGGAGATGTATAGGGAGTGTTTAATTCTTGATGAACAGTAACATGAGCTATGCCCCCCCCCCCCCCCCCCCCCCCCCCGGGCAATTATAACTCACCCGCTTCAAGTCCTTGATACGGTTATATTCATCAGCCACTCCCTAAGATATAAAGGAGATCTCTCAAAGGGTGGTTATTCATAAAAGTTACCGACACGGTCAGTGTATGCGCAACGATGAGACAAATTCTAGGTGAAATGATTGAACGCTTGACTCCTTTTACTGGGAGAGCCAAGTCTTCCTCTTCATCTGATTTTGTTCTCAAAAACTAGTTATAAATAAAAACAATTAAAGTAAGCGTTTGTGTGTGTGCTGTAATGTGGCTTGTTTCAATGAATTAGCAAAATGTTATTATGAGATAACGATGGAGTTTGCTATTTTAACATTTCTACGCCAATATCAGGAGAATATTAGACCGTAAAGAGAGCATAACCATATTGTTTTTGCCAGAAAATGTAATAGCATATGTTTTTTCTTGTTTACCTGGTACTTCATCGTCCGCTCCTCCAGGGTGTCCAGCTCTCGGCTCAGCTTGTGCATCTGTTCACTGATGTCATCCATCTCGGCACACACACGCTTGTAGCTCGCCAGGTCGGAGTCAAACTCTTTCTTATACTGCCGCCGTTGCCTGTCTGATGTTATCTCAGGGTACATACTGAAGAGACACATTACACAGGAATAAAAGAGACACAGGTAATTCCATTTAGATCAATACTGCAATTTTCTTGAATGCTTTCTTGAACGTAGAGAGCTTTGGAACAAAATGGCTTTCTGTCACGCTTTCCCACTAGCATATCTGACACAGCACACACAGCCGATAACAGTTGGAAACAGTCTGTCTGTTTTAAAGTTTAATCTATCACTCCATCCCTCATTCCATCCATCCATCCATCCATCTTCTCAACAAATATGGCCCACCTATGCAAGTGGTCACTTTGGTCTTGGTCCAGTTCGTTACCAGTATCCCCACCAGTTGTGTAGCCTGTCTCACACTGGGTCTCCTCCTGGGAAGGGGGGGTAGGATCCCGTTCCCTCTCCCTGTGAATGGAGGTCTTCTTCAGGCTCTCTGCCTCCACAGAGGGGCTGGAGCTGACCCTGGTGTTCTGGTACAGGGGCTCAGGCACACGCCCATTGGTGTTGTCATAGTAACTGGAGATAATATCAAACTGTCAGTAAAGCTAGTTAACCTTTATAACTACATGATTACATGATGGTGTTATTCTTTGGACCATTCAGTCAAAACTGCATGAACATTGATAAGGGAAAATCAGTTATCTGTATTGACAACAAAGCAGAAGTGGAAGGTGTCAAATTGATAACCAGGAGGCAGAGAAAATCTAATTTTAATAAAAAATAATTAATTCATTTTCAAACTGTTATGAACTGTTTTTTATATTGTTTTCCTGTGTCTAATCAGGCTTTACATCTGGGGGTGAGTAGTAGGGTTCTGGTAATATTATTGTTACCAATAAGAATACAGCTGCTCTTGATCATTGTCACGAAGCCACACCCGTCCCACTCATGTTGGAAGTTCAGAATGAGAAAGTGTAGGCTATATAGAAATAATTACACTCAAATTGAAAATCTTTAAACAAAAGAATGAGGATTTTGTTAGCCTAATCAAGGTGTAGATCACATCTCACATTCCAGTGTTTGAACGTGTAAACAAGGCTGCATGGGTTTTCTCTTAATGCAACTCCGTGCAGCCAATGGCAATGTCTGCTTTAAGTATAATGCCAGGAGCCGCTTGTGGATTTGACGCAGTTCCACCTCCGCCGCCGCCAAAACAACCGCTATGCAGATGTCGGTTAAAGCGGATCTGATTGAATAGAGCCCTAAGACTATTCAGCCTAGGTCAAGACTATTCACTCTAGGTTGAGACTATGGGAACTCAGTCCAGGCAAACACTATTCACTCCAGGCAGAGACTATGGGAACTCTGGGTCGAGGCTATCCAGTCCAGGCTGAGACTATCCTCCCCAGACTGGCCTATTTACCTAGACTGGACTATTCAATTTAGGTTTAGGTCACTAATCGTTAGACTATATGAAGCCCTATGACTCACACATTGCCATTGTAGGTCTCCTCACTGTAGATGCTGACTGTTCCGTCTCCGTCTGAGGCAACACTGTTCTCTGTCCTGAGGTCAGGGACGGCCTTCTCTGATAAGATTACAGTAGGGGCCCGCTGAGTGCTCTGCCCCTCTGCAACATAGTCCACCTGAAACAACATAACAACATTGCTATTAGCCTAAATATTTCATATGGCTTGTGAGGGTGTTTTGCTGTGTCCTGCCTCGAACGCTATGAACCAAAAAGTCTCATGCATCTTAACCAGAATGTCAAGGACATTCTCATAATTATACTGAAGTCTTACCCTGTGGACCACTTATACTACCTACACTATATATACAGCAGTATGTGGACACCCCTTCAAATTTGTGGATTCGGCTATTTCAGTCACACCCGTTGCTGAAAGGTGTATAAAATCGAGCACACAGCCATGCAATCTCCATAGACAAACATTGACAGTAGAATGGCCTTACTGAAGCGCTCAGTGACTTTCAACATGGCACCGTCATAGGATGCCACCTTTCCAACAATTCAGTTCGTCAAATGTCTGCCCTGCTAGAGCTGCCCCGGTCAACTGTAAGTGCTGTTATTGTGAAGTGGAAACGTCTAGGAGCAACAACGGCTAGGCCGCGAAGTGGTAGGCCACACAAGCTCACAGAACGGGACCGCCGAGTGCTGAAGTGCGTAAAAATCGTCTGTCCTCAGTTGCAACACTCACTACCGACTTCCAAACTGTCTCTGGAAGCAACGTCAGCACAATAACTGTTCATTGGGAGCTTCATGAAATGGGTTTCCATGGCCGAGCAGCCACACACAAGCCTAAGATCACCATGCGCGATGCCAAGTGTTGGCTGGAGTGGTGTAAAGCTTGCTCTGGAGCAGTGGAAACATGTTCTCTGGAGTGATGAATCACGCTTCACCATCTGGCAGACCGACGGACAAATCTGGGTATGGCGAATGCCAGGAGAACGCTACCTGCCCGAATACATAGTGCCAACTGTAAAGTTTGGTGAAGGAGGAATAATGATCTGGGGCTGTTTTTCATGGTTCAGGCTAGACCCCTTAGTTCCAGTGCCCGACCTCACTAATGCTCTTGTGGCTGAATGGAAGCAAGTCCCTGCAGAAATGTTCCAACATCTAGTGGAAAGCCTTCCCAGAAGAGTGGAGGCTGTTAAAGAAGCAAAGGGGGACCAACTCCATATTAATGCCCATGATTTTCGAATGAGATTTTCGACGAGCAGGTGTCCACATACTTTTGGTCATGTAGTGTATTTTCAATTTATGTAGTTCTGTCCTTGAGCTGTTCTTGTCTATTAATGATCTGTATTGTGTCATGTTTCATGTTTTGTGTGGACCCCAGGAAGAATTGCTAACAAATACAGTGAGGGAAAAAAGTATTTGATCCCCTGCTGATTTTGTACGTTTGCCCACTGACAAAGAAATGATCAGTCTATAATTTTAATGGTAGGTTTATTTGAACAGTGAGAGACAGAATAACAAACAAAAAATCCAGAAAAACGCATGTCAAAAATGTTATAAATTGATTTGCATTTTAATTAGGGAAATAAGTATTTGACCCCCTCTCAATCAGAAAGATTTCTGGCTCCCAGGTGTCTTTTATACAGGTAACGAGCTGAGATTAGGAGCACACTCTTAAAGGGAGTGCTCCTAATCTCAGTTTGTTACCTGTATAAAAGACACCTGTCCACAGAAGCAATCAATCAATCAGATTCCAAACTCTCCACCATGGCCAAGACCAAAGAGCTCTCCAAGGATGTCAGGGACAAGATTGTAGACCTACACAAGGCTGGAATGGGCTACAAGACCATCGCCAAGCAGCTTGGTGAGAAGGTGACAACAGTTGGTGCGATTATTCGCAAATGGAAGAAACACAAAAGAACTGTCAATCTCCCTCGGCCTGGGGCTCCATGCAAGATCTCACCTCGTGGAGTTGCAATGATCATGAGAACGGTGAGGAATCAGCCCAGAACTACACGGGAGGATCTTGTCAATGATCTCAAGGCAGCTGGGACCATAGTCACCAAGAAAACAATTGGTAACACACTACGCCGTGAAGGACTGGAATCCTGCAGCGCCTCCAAGGTCCCCCTGCTCAAGAAAGCACATATACAGAGCCGTCTGAAGTTTGCCATTGAACATCTGAATGATTCAGAGGAGAACTGGGTGAAAGTGTTGTTGTCAGATGAGACCAAAATCGAGCTCTTTGGCATCAACTCAACTCGCCGTGTTTGGAGGAGGAGGAATGCTGCCTATGACCCCAAGAACACCATCCCCACCGTCAAACATGGAGGTAGAAACATTATGCTTTGGGGGTGTTTTTCTACTAAGGGGACAGGACAACTTCACTGCATCAAAGGGACGATGGATGGCGCCATGTACCGTCAAATATTGGGTGAGAACCTCCTTCCCTCAGCCAGGGCATTGAAAATGGGTCGTGGATGGGTATTCCAGCATGACAATGACCCAAAACACACGGCCAAGGCAACAAAGGAGTGGCTCAAGAAGAAGCACATTAAGGTCCTGGAGTGGCCTAGCCAGTCTCCAGACCTTAATCCCATAGGAAATCTGTGGAGGGAGCTGAAGGTTCGAGTTGCCAAACGCCAGCCTCGAAACCTTAATGACTTGGAGAAGATCTGCAAAGAGGAGTGGGACAAAATCCCTCCTGAGATGTGTGCAAACCTGGTGGCCAACTACAAGAAACGTCTGACCTCTGTGATTGCCAACAAGGCTTTTGCCACCAAGTACTAAGTCATGTTTTGCAGAGGGGTCAAATACTTACTTCCCTCATTAAAATGCAAATCAATTTATAACATTTTTGACATGCGTCTTTCAGGATTTTTTTGTTTTTATTCTGCCTCTCACTGTTCAAATAAACCTACCCTTAAAATTATAGACTGATCATGTCTTTGTCAGTGGGCAAACGTACAAAATCAGCAGGGATCAAATACTTTTCTCCCTCACTGTACAACAGGACTTTCTGATGATAGACAGTGCCTTCTAAGAATTGTTATAAGCAGTCATAACAGCTGATGGTCAAGGCTCTTATATAGAAACATTTCATGCATTCATAAAGGCTGCAAATGTATTCATAATATACACCATAGTTGTCCTCGGATGGTATAGCCCAACATCAAGCACTTCCAGCAATGACCTACAACATCATTAGGAGCAGACAGACTGAACAGTCTGTCGAGACTAAGAGTCAGTGACATGGATCAGATGGGCTGCGAGCCATTACTGTTCCCAGCTGGGATATGTGTAAAACCTCAAAGGCACTGTCTAGCCAAATCCCTGCTCAGTCAGCAAGTAGTAGTATTTATTTATTTATTAATATGGTTTCTTTTAATATTTGTTTTAATTATTTTTTTCCACCTTTATTTAACCAGGTAAGCCAGTTGAGAACAAGTTCTCATTTACAACTGCGACCTGGCCAAGATAAAGCAAAGCAGTGTGATTAAAAACAACAACACAGAGTTACATATGGGGTAAAACAAAACATAAAGTCAAAAATACAACAGAAAATATATATACAGTGTGTGCGAATGTAGTAAGTTATGGAGGTA